TTTATAGAGATGACAGCCAAGAATTTGGCTAGACCCCTTGCTTCTATTGAGCAAGCATTAGATTATAAGACCTTGGAAGAAATTCCAAATAATATTTATTTAAATTAGATAATAGGACAACAGAGCACCACTCTTGCAATAATAAGGTAAGTATATTATGTGATAAAATTCATTCCCAAAAAATTATTGTGGTTCATCAAAATATACAGGGGATGAAAAATAAAGAATTAGAAATTGAACTATTCTTGAATAGTCAAAAAATAGACTTTTTGTGCATAACAGAGCACTGGTTAAAAAAATATGAAGTTTTGTTTAATTTTTGTAACCACAGGGTTGGTAGTGTGTTTTGCAGAGAAAATGCAATTCATGGTGGCTCATTAATCCTAATAAGTAAAAAACTTAAATGCAAAGAAAGAAAGGATATTATCAGCCTCTCTGTAGAACTAACTATTGAAATCTCCTGTGTGGAACTGGAGCAATTCATTGTTGTATGTCTATATTGTCCTCCATCAGCTGTCTATAATAATGTTGAAAATGTATTAGAGGAGATATTGTGTAAATTAGTAAAGTGTAATAAAGGGCTAATTGTGTGTGGGGACTTTAATGTCAATTTACTTTGTCATTCTAATTCAAGTGTACGCATACTTAGTCTTTTTCGTTCATACAATTTAATAAATCAATTTCATTCACCCACAAGAATAACAGCTAGCACCGCAACTTGTATAGATAATATATATAGTGACATAGCCCCTTTGAATGTTTGTATTTTCAATAGATTTAAATCTGATCACACTGGTCAATGGTTTGAATTCCAATTAAGGAAACAAAAAACATGTAAAAAGAAGAAAATTGTGATAACTCCTATTACAAATGACCGTTTGGACAGATTTAGAGAAGCATTGGTCTATAGAATGCCATTTCTGTGTGGCAACTCATCCCCTAATAATTTATACAATACTTTTTTTGGATCATTTATTGATGAATTCAAGAAAGTATTTACTCAAAAGACTTTATTGGTCTCTGAGAAAACAAGTTTCTGTGACTGGGCAAATGAGGAGTTACACAGGAAAAGGTTAAAATTATATGAAATCTATGACGAAATGCAATATAACACTAGTGTGGAATTTAGGGAATATGTTAGGTTGTATTCAAATAATTTCAAAAAAGATTGCAAAATCACAATATTTAAGTTCAAAAATAAAAAATAGCATGGATAAAGTAAAAGCTACCTGGAAAATAATAAATGAAGAATCAGGTAAAACGTCTGACAAACGAACTGATTATATGTTAAAAGTTAAAGGGAAGTTAATAAAATCTGACCCAGAGGTAGCTTCTTCTTTTGAAGAGTTCTTTACAAATGTACCACTAAATACGACCAAGTCCCTAGATTCTTCACCTGCTGCTGCGATCTCATTGCTAGAAAAATGTGTACCTGAATGTAATATTAAATTTCAGTTTAAACATATAACTTGTAATGATATCGTTAAAACTTTTAAGCTTATTAATTTAAAAAAAGTAAAGATATATGGGGTATGTCAACAGTCATTTTAAATTCCGTTATTAATGTAATAAGCTCTGAATTGTCTATAATTTTTAACAGATGTATCGATTGTGGAGTCTTTCCGGACGAAATGAAATTAAGTAAGATTACACCGTTGTTCAAGGCCGGTAGTGAGTCTGATCCGTCAAACTTCAGACCTGTTTCCGTGCTCCCTGCGTTGAGCAAAGTTTTTGAAAAGATAATGCTAGACCAGCTTTCTTTACATTTTAATAAAAATAAACTCTTACATAATAAACAGTATGGTTTCACTAAGGGTCGCTCCACAATCGATGCCGGTGTGAAGTTGATTTCGGACATATTTAACGCCTGGGAAGAATCATATGATGGAGTCGGCGTCTTTTGTGACCTGTCAAAGGCCTTTGACTGTGTTCATCCTGATATACTCGTTGGAAAGCTTCAACACTATGGCGTTGATGGCAAAGCTTCCAGCCTGATGAATTCATATTTAAAGGGAAGGATCCAAAGAGTTCATGTCAATGGAGTCACCTCTCCGGGTTCGCAGGTATCAATGGGCGTCCCCCAAGGATCGATTCTCGGGCCTTTCTTATTTCTGATTTACATAAATGACCTCCCATTCTTTGTCAACGAAGTTCATGAGATGGTATTGTTTGCTGATGACACTTCACTTCTATTTAAAGTGAATAGGAATAACGTATTATTGGACGATGTAAACAATTCTATCTCTCGTATAGTTAACTGGTTTAATGTAAATAACTTATTGCTTAATGAGAATAAAACAAAATGTATTAGATTTACAACTACTAGCGTAAAGCGAGATATTGGTAACCTGAAAATTAAGGACAGTGAACTAAACTTTGTTGACAAAACTGTTTTTCTAGGCATAACAATAGATAGTAAACTCCAATGGGGCCCACACATAGAGACTCTTTCGAATAGGCTGAGCTCTGCAGCATATGCAGTAAAGAAAATCCGACAGTTTACTGATGAGGACACGGCTAAAATTGTGTACCATAGCTACTTTCATAGCGTTATGTCGTACGGCATTTTACTGTGGGGTGCTGCTGCAGAGGTTCAATCCATATTTGTGCTGCAGAAGCGGGCTGTTCGGGGTATTTGTTGTGTTTCTCCGAGGGAGTCGGTACGGAATAAGTTTAAGGAATTAAATATTATGACACTATCTGGTCAATATATTCTTGAAGCCTTGTTGTATGTCCAAAAAAATATAAACGATTTTAAAACAAATGGTGACTTTCACCAGTATAATACGCGAAATAGAACTAATTTGAGTGTACGACCAACCAGGCTCCAAAAGATAAACCACTCCTTATATGGAAATTGTATTCGTTTTTACAACAAGCTCCCAAGCGAAATTAGAGAATTATCACTAAATAAATTCAAAGCCCTCGTTAAACGAAAATTAATCAACAAAGCTTTTTATAAATTTGAGGACTACTTAAATGATCCTAATCCTTGGGATTGAATTGCTCCAGTTCAAACAATTTGTATGACAATACTTGGCGATTAAAAAGAGTGGCGGAAAGTTTCTTGCCAGTTCTTCTTACCCGCTCTACGCCCTTGACTTGCGAACTGGTAGTAAATGTAAATTTACGATTAATTTAACTTGACGATTCAAAAGTGTACTTGGTTACCTACTTGAATAAAGATATTTTGAGTTTGAGTTTGAGTTTGAAGTACTTTACGTGTATAATAGATGCCAGCACTAGTTTTTTTGTGTGTAAACAGTTAAAGTTATGGTATTACATTTGCCCCGTTCATGCATTTACCCCACCTGACTATACTTTCGAAAGATTCGGTAAAATAAACTACAGGATTTTTTTCCTAACCAATGTCACTGTATTAGTACGTATACTATTAGTTTAAGGCTATGGGCGCACGGGTTACTTTTGTCACCGTTGTATTTAAGGTTATATTTTTTAAAGTGGAGTTCGCTCACGAAGGGTGAGTGACAACACTTTCTAGAAATCGAAGCGTCATTTAGATATGGATTTCAAAGAGACGGTCGGCTATCCCAAACAATGCTAAATATTATTTTACTTATCTCTTCCCATGCTTAAATTTTCAAATTAATGTCAGAGTAGCCTTTCAGTTTTTGAAGTAATACTTCTTTTGGCGCGTAAGGGAAAAATTATGAGAGTAAATTTTTACGATGCACGCGCACACCGTCACAAAAAACCGACATCCTGAAGTTAGCATTAGAAGTTAGCACATTTTAAATGAAAAAATGTCCATTTCTTTAAGTATGAAGAAATATTTTTTTGTGTTATTTCAATAAACTTTATTTAACTAGATAATGCGTTATAATAAAACTTTCAATGTATTAAATACCTTTTTTCTATAGGCAGTGTCGTTTTTTCTACCTTCTTCTTATTCTACGTTTGTAGAAAAAAGGACGCGAAAGATAAAGTTTTTAAAAAGATTTTTATCTTGTTACGCCAAAGAAGTATAACTTCTAACGCGTGTACATAAGTACTCACACATGTTTTTATCATATAATGCTATAACGGCGTACAAAAATGTCACCCAGTTTTTCCACTCTATATTTTTATACTATTTGAAAAAAATATTTTTGCAAAAATGAGTATACCGGAGCTGCGACATTTGAATACTTTGTTGAGCTTGTGTTGGGGTTCTGACCAGATACTCTTAAAAATGTATGTTCAGTGAGTGAGCCAATAAATTAGGAGAATCGTTAATTTGTAGTCCTTGATTTGTATGTACTAATAAATAGGTCCTATTATTTTACTCGAATTTTATTCCTTATTGTGAAGGTACTTCAAAACTTTTGTCAGACCGTTTTTGGTATGTTTCTGACGTCGAGTTTTTGTTCTCATGGGTCAGTATGATACTCGTAGAGAAGGTTGCAGTTGTATATTGAATTATTACTTTAAATCATTTAATGGAGCACGACTTCTTCATTACCTGGCATATGGGCTGCTAATCTTTAAACTGGCTTTAATATTTACTTAACACTCAGTTAAAGCAGGAGATTAATTACACATTTTAGAATTAATTATTAGGTACTAATTAATTTGTACGTTATTCTCTAGATCAGTGTTTCCCAACGTTTTTTAGGCCATACCCCACATGAACCTACTATTTTCTATATTAATTTAGTGAGATCCTTGCGCTTGATGCTTACCGCACAGAGATTTTGTATTAGGCTCCAATTTGGTTAGCTTCAGTCTAAAGTCTCCACGTTGTTTTATATCCAACTAATTTCGATTGCCCCCCTGTGGGGCGTGGCCCCACGTTGGGATACACTGCTCTAGTTTTTCCATCCCTTTTAGAAATAGTTTCTATATTTACATACAACAATATCTGTAACATTAAAGAGTATAGACTGATATTTTCTGTCCATTATTATCACATCTATATATAATATGTATGATCAAAATTATTTCAGGTTTTCCCAGCGACGGTAGCTTTCCCCCGCCAGTAATGACAAACAGCTAGCAATATGGGGGTGGCCGACGATTTTGCCCCAAGCTTCACGCAGAAGCCGCAGCTGAGGCAGGAGGATGACGGGAACAAGCTGGTCTTCGAGTGCCAGCTCTTCGCAGGTCCCAAGCCTGAAATCAGCTGGTATCGCAGTGATGAGCTGCTGAAAGAGGATAATAGGACACAGTTTAAGTAAGTATCTATACATTTGTTAGGCAACATTAGAATAATATTTATTGTTCGAAAATACTCTGCTCCTGAAGTCCAGCAACTGAGTTTCATCATCGGACGTCAGGGCTGAATACAAAATACCATCAGTATCACCTCGACGTCCGTCGTTCCCCAACTGAGCGTTTCTTAAGGCAGTTTTTGCCGCGCCGACTAGTATTTCCGAACCAATTCGTCTAGGGCCCTTCAAGAAAGAGCGTGGGTACTGTTTTCTTAAAGGACGGCAACGCACTTGCGAGCCTTATAACATCTCCTTCTCAATAGCTCATTTGAGTGTCCATCGGCGGCGGTATCCCTTTACATCAGGTCAGCCTCCTGCCCGTTTGCCTCCTATTACATAAAAAAAAGCTAGTTTAATAAGTTAAAGATGGTTATAAGGTTTTGCATAGCAGCTTTTGTAAGCTTTCTTTTTTAAATAAATACATCTATATTTGTAATGTAGTTGTATTACTAGTTTTTGTGATATGAATGATAAAAATGTATCTTATCTTTAACGATTTAGAAACTGTATTTTAGTGCATTTTGCCAATATTCACCAAGAGTAGTTTCCCTTGAAAAAGGGCATACGAATCTTGTCCAATGCCTGTTGCAGTAGTAAATTTAAATTGGCCTACTATCTACTTAGGGACTTGCGGGGTGTGGTGAGCAACCCAAGTGTTCACCAAGAACTCGGTTTCTTTGTACCTAGAGCATATGTGTGACGGCGAAGGCCAAGGTTGCTCGTGATACCAAGGTCCAGAAACAGTCTGTTCCACAGATCCCCGTTAACAAAGACGTTGCGCTTACTGAATGCTGTCTCTGACATCATAGACATCTTTATATGTTTCCGGAGTGAGTTCACAGTAGCGATATTGTGTATCTTATGTACTTAATACTATATTTATTTATTTTTCGTCTTTATCGTATTGGCTTGGTACTGTAAGGATAGTGTATGAATTTTTGTGAATAAATAAATAATTTTCAGAATCCAGAGTGTGGCAAACAACAAGTACCTGGTGGTACTGGAACTGGATGATGTGGTGGAAACAGACGCTGGACTTTACAAGGTTAAAGCTAAGAATAAGATGGGCGAGGTGGCCGCTTCCATCAATCTTAACTTTAGCCGTAAGTATTTAGAGGTTCTAATTTACAAATAATAATTAATTTCTTATGTTATCCAGAAATTACCAAAATGTTCAATGTCCTCGGAAGTAATTCATTTAAAATGTCTAATATTGTAAAATTTAAGTGTTTTACAAATAAGCAATGAAAGAATTGATATGATAAAATTTGATTGTCATACTATTTTTAAGAGCAAAAATAATTAAGGTAATTATTTTTCGATTTTTGTCTTTCAGCTGCAGACGAAGAAAAACAGAAGTGAGTATTATTTACTTTTCTTAGTATTATATTTTCGTTTAATGTTAAATACTTTTAAAAGCAGATAAGCTAATGTGAAAATATATGTCTCTGGTATATGAAAACTGTAGCTTTGCTAAATATACTTTAGAACAGTGTTTCCTAATGCTGCGCCCACGCCCAACAGGGGGGCAATTTAACGGGGGCTATTCGAAAAATTATTAAAATTATTTGTAATTTTTCATTACATGTTTAACTTTCTGTGTATCGTTAACAAGTTCCTAGTAATTTCTTTCTAAAATGGAAAACTTATGATATAGTATCATTTGTTTCTTAAATTTAACGATTAAATTTTAAAAATGAATGTTATGTATGTAGAATAGGGGGGGCATAAGAATTTTAGTAAGGCTAAGGTGGGGCATGGTACAAAAGGTTGGGAAACACTGCTTTAGGAGGTTTATACAGTGCAATGTTAGGCCCCAACAATCTTATGTATGACACGTCGTAAAGATAACGTTATAAAAATAATAATTCATTTTCATTTAATTGTCTTTGTTACAACAACAGAAAACTCCCTGAATATACTTTTTGAAGACCGATTTCAAAGAAAGATTTTACTCGTAACTTGAATATGACGTCCACTGTTAAAAAATTATTTCCTTACTATACTAAACCAATTAACCGGGATTAATTAAGGAATTTCTATTTACAGACAAGTAGACGGTAAGGCGCCAACGTTCGCGCGCAAGCCAGCAATCCGACAAGAAGACGACGGCAAGCGATTGATCTTCGAGTGCCGCATTGAAGCTGAGCCAGTGCCCAGTGTCAGCTGGTCTCATAACGGGACCGGAGTCTCTCCCGGTGCTAGACACAAGGTATTAAATTCAACATCTATTTTGAAGTGACAACGTATTATAAATCGATGAACGCCGGCCGCACGCACGAAAAAGCATGACTCGTTGGCCCGTTACGCTCATTGTACGATTGCGCCGCATCTATCTCTCTTTCACTCGATTGGCCTGCGACCGATGCGACCGAGGACGCATAGGCCGATAGGCAAATAGTGTTAATTCAATAAAAATGATTCAATTTTCTGTCAAAAAATACAAATGTCCATAAACCGACATTACAGTCAATTAATTTTTTTTATCATACTTTTCTAATAAATTATCGATGTTGATTTTTACTATATCTTATGGCGAGACGAGTAATACCTATATCCTTATAGTATCCTAAATGAAGTTTAGTTCTTATAATCTAGTTCTAGATCGTATAAAAATAATTATACAACCAATAGATATATTTTAGCTGTTATAAACAGACCTGTGGCCATATAATATGTATAAGAAGTGACCTTGACCTCATTAGTTCTTCAGGACACATGAACGTCCTTGGCTTTGATAACCTATATATAGAATTACCTTATCTAGAGGTTCAATCAAAATTTCCTCACTTCCAATTTTTTAAATGCACTTTTTAAGTTAAGTTATTTTTAGAAAGATTCTATTAATCCATCTGTCAACACAATATTTTTTTAAATTATTAGGGGAAGGTCGGGACCCTTCGTACGGTTTTCACATTTTATTTTTAAAATTTTTCTTTTTCCATGAATCAATCATCTAATAGCTTAAATTTATAGTCTAACTATCTGAGATTCATATTAAAAAATGACAAATGATTTCATCTGATGTTTCAACCATAATTATGATTTAAACTAAATCTGGAATACGTACGAATCTGCCCCATCAACGGGGCACCTTCGTACAGTGTTGGGGGTACATTCGTACGCTGTGGGGTAGTTCCGTACGTGCTATTAAAACGACACGTATAATTCAAAATTCATTTATTAGCAATAAAATTAAACACAAAAATAAAGATTTAACTTCTATTAAACAAAAATAAAATACTTTTCTTATACTGAACAAATATTACATAGCTTTTCTTAAGTAAAACAAAATTTAATTAGTTAGGTATCTTAAATTTAGAATCACATTTTTTAATCTTTGGTGCGGATTAGCACTTCTTATTTTCGGGTGTGGCAGTATAAATTCGTGGTTTTCCTGGCCGTCGTCGTCATTTTGTTTGTTTTATTACTTCTTACAACATGCGGATAGGGTCGAAACGCTTCTGGTGTCAAATCTGACTTCGAAGGAACAACTATTTCATGGATTGGTAAATTATTCAAAGCATCTGGTTCACAAGCATCAAAATCAACCTTATTAAAGATAATAAAAATAGGTATTAATATATATTTACATCGACGATAGCAATGATAGCAAAACAGGACAAAGTTAATGCAAATATTAGCAATTAGCACACTAACACAATCTTTCCTGCCTACCAGAAGGTTTAGTCAAGATGCCTTAACAGTAGTGAATCATGAATGTAGCAAGTTGAAAACTTAATTTGTATAAAAATGACAGTTCGTGTTTACAAAATGTTTTCATACAAATTTGTTGTACAATTCGTTCAAATGTGCCCCATCTAGTGCTGTCCGAAAGTACCCCACTAACTGAATAACAACAAAATATAACTAATTTTAATATTAATAGGAAAACGTCATAAATTAAGTTTTGGAGACGTATCTTAAGTATATTTTGCTAGTTACTGATAGAATACTCTACACGAAAACTTATTTTATCTACGGTAACAAGAGACAAAAACATTGATCAAAAAATTATTTACCGAGCGCGAAAACACGTCCATGCCTGTAACTTCACTCTCATCGGTGCGAATTTCGCGAAACTTCGCTGATGGTACCTCGACTCATGCACACACACAAAAACAAGACTGTACTTTGTTTCGTTCAAGTTTTATTTTGACTGTATGAATGTGCCCCGCGTACGAAGGGTAACGATCTTCCCCTATATTATTACAAACTAAAAATTCATTTTTAAAAAAATATAAATACCGCCCATTTTTTTGTAATTTGACAATTTTTATCAACTAAGACTTTCAATATATTGAATACCTTTACTAAATTTTTTACAGCATACTAGCAATGGTCTATGGTTCAAGCCGTATTATAAAAGTTTCATTATACTTAGTCCATTTGTGAAGGCTTTAATAGGATTCTGGCAAATGCTTATAGCTCTTGAATGCCATACAGAAATCTATTTTATATAAATAATTAAGAGATCAATTTTTGTCGTAATCAATATTACTCTGTACCTACTTCCACAGCTGTCAAGATCTCCCAATGCTTTTAATAATTTTAATTTGTTCATTTAATTTTCAGTTAACGGTTAACAAGGACGGGAAATCTTATTACGCGTCGCTTGAAATCAACAATGTGACTGTTGAAGACGCGGGAAAATACAGAGTGACCGCTAAGAACGAACTAGGAGAGAGTAACGCTACAATAAGTTTAAACTTTGACAGTAAGTATCGAAAAAATTTTTTTAGTCCGTTATAATTCACCAAAATCGGAAGAATTCGAGCAAAAACTTTTAAGAGAAGAGCCTTTTTAACTAACTTTACTATTATTCTATTATTAAAGTAAGCTAATTCGGTATTCACTGAGGCAGATTGTAAAGCACGCAAAAAAATACATAATTTAAATGTTTCGTGAATTAAAACGCGTAGTGTCGGAGCAATGGCGCTGGTATCAGCTGCCATTTTCATTAATTAAAAAAGTGAAAGGGGTTGGTTTATTTTATTTGCCAATATGAATATATCTACAAATTACAGACTATTTGATAGACTGTTGTAATTTTATAGTCTTTATTATTTATGTTGAAGCAATGGTGTTAGTGTCAGCTGCCATTGTTCCGACATATTTAAAGTATATTATTAAATTTCTTATCTGTCTTTTTTCACCACAGCGTAAACATAATATCAGGAAGAAACGAAAGAGTACTTCAGTTAAGCAAGTGCAATTTAATTGATTTAGTTATGATTGATAATTATATGTTTTACAATATTTTAACCAATATACTCATTCGTTTCTTTTTTCTTATTAAGTTTATGCTTTGATTAAAAAAAAACAGATCTTAAAGTTAATAAAGGGATTAGAAAGCAACGTTTGGATAGTTGTAACGTCACAGGGAGAATGTAAACTATGTGTTAAATTATTGCTATATAAAAAAACCTATGTGTTTACGCCATATTTTAATTTAAAAATAATACTGTGTTTGTGTAAACTGTCAGTGTTACACTTATTTACTTAAAGCTTTGAAGGTGCGATTTTTATTTAACAATCTGTGTCATTTTGTTTTAATTCACAATATTGTTGTAAATGTAGAATTTGCAGCTTTTGTTTCATGAACTAATTTCTATTATACACATTACACTTATATACATGTATTGTTATCCGTTTAAGATGTTTTCTCACACTTCAATGCATGTATATTATTTATATATTTTTAACATAAAAATTCTCAATAAATTACACTGCACAATTTACTCTTATCATCTCTCATATTATGCACGCGTAGCGTTGTATTCATTATTATTTTATTCAGTTGCTATAACGCTTTATTAATTTTTCTTATATTCATTAATCAATGTAACTTTAATCTTAAACTTATTGGCAACTGTTATGCGTACTATCCAATTATATAAAATAGGTTTATTATTTGTATTTTTATATGATCCAGTTATACTTTTACTATATTCGTATTCATTAACTTCTTCAATACGTTCCTCATTTAACTCTTAAACCTGCCTGAATATTGATTAATAATTGACACAAAACGTAAGAAAACATCTTAAATGCGATATTAAACTGATGACTGAATTTTTGCAAATTACGCCCTGATTGATTAACGAATGTAATTTGATGATTAGGCGATGAAGCGCCCGTGCCTGAAGATTATATTAAACCTACTTTTACGGAGAGACCAGTTATCAGACAATCGGAAGATGGTACCAAAATAACGTTTGAATGTCGATGTGTTGGCAAACCGAAACCAACCATTACATGGTAAGGGCCAATATTTATTCTATTAACACTGACAATACTCGAATATCAATTAACTGAAACTTGACGAAACAGGTATCACGGCAAAAAGCTAGTTAAGGAAAGTAGTCGATACAAAATATCGCTCGAAGAGGATCAAACGCTGTATCACATTGCGCGACTTGAAATAATAAACGTAGAGAATGCAGATAAAGGTGAATATAGGGCTGTTGCTAAAAACAAGCACGGTGAAGGCGTAGCAAAGATCAATTTGAATTTCCAAAGCGGGGACAAACCTAAGTATGCATTTGTACTTCTACTGTACTTTAAATCGTTGTAGGTCAGAAATAATAACAATTACCCTTTTAAACAGAATTCCCGACGGTAAAGCACCCAGATTTCCCAAGAAGCCTACTATTAGACAAGAGGGTGATATCCTCATTATGGAATGCATACTAGAAGCTCATCCATTACCAGATATAACATGGTTTCATGGAGATAAAGAAATAAAGGACGGTGTTAAAATGAAAATGTCTAGGAAAGCTATTGGAAAAGACACGTACAATTTAACGTTAGAAATATTAAGCCCCACTGCAGAAGATGGTGGAAATTATAGATGTAACGCCTTTAACTTGTTTGGCGAGAGTAATGCTAACATTGCTCTCAATTTCCAAGGTAAAATGGAAGTTAAATATATAGAGTCAGTACGCATACAGTAGCGAATGCATGTTAGGTAGATTTGTCAATTGCATGATGCAGTATTCAGTTTATCATTCCAAAACATCACGAAAAAATTTAAATAAGATTTTAAAGTTCATCACCACAGCTTAAAATAAACTAAGCAGGATAAATAAAGGATTACTTAAAAAACAAAATAGGAATAAATTTTTAAAACTATGACTAACTCTAAAATAAATTATTTTATTTAGGTGGGGATGACGAAAACGGTTTCGCACCTTCGTTTATTGAGAAACCGAGAATTGTTCCCAACGAAGATGGCACGCTCATCACAATGCGTTGTGTTTGCAAGGCTAAGCCGGCGGCTGAAGTCACGTGGTACCGGGGATCAACCGTCATTAAAGCTAGTAGTAAAATTCAAATCAAATCATCAGTCATTAGCGAAGATGTTTACGAATTAGTGTTGCTTTTATCAAACCCGACTGCAGCGGATGGTGGCGCTTACCGCTGTCATGTCGTAAATGAGTTCGGAGAAAGTAACGCTAATCTGAACTTAAATATTGAAGCAGAACCAGAACCTGAGGGTGAAGGTCCGACATTTGTTGAAAAACCAACTATTCAATCAAAGGACAATGGAAAATTAGTAGTTATGGGTTGCAAAGTTAAAGCTAGCCCAAAACCAACGATCGTCTGGTACCACGAGGGTAAAGAAATACGGGACTCATCAAAAATTAAAACCAGGATCGAAGTGAAAGAAGATATTTATACCATAATATTAGAACTTATCGATCCTGGAATTGAAGACTCCGGATTGTATAAATGCAATATTAAAAATGAACTTGGGGAGCTCAACGCGAATTTAACGCTCAATATTGAAAGTAAGTCTTTTTAATTTTTTTAATTAGTAAGAACAATTAAACCGGTTTTTTCAATTATTACATATTTAATCGATATTATTTTTTTCATTCCAAAATCTGTTTTCCAGTCATTCCAGTTATTAAAGAGAAACCAAAGATCATTAAAATAGTTAAGAAGAAGACTGTGATTGTTGAATGTAAAGTATTAAGTAAATTTGCTCCTGCGTGTACGTGGTATAAAGAAGCTAGTGCTGTTAAAGAAAGTTCGAGACATACAGTTTTGATAGAACCATCCAGAGAGGTAAATAATCATATCTTTGCTGTTTAATAGTAACCCAATTTCTATATTTTTATTTAAAAACTATTTTTTTGTAGGGTGAATTTACAGTTAAGTTAGAAATTTCGAATGTTAGCCAACAAGACAAAGGTTCTTACAAATTAGTTGCTAAAAACGAAAAAGGTGAAGCCACTTCACAAGTCGTGGAGATCACCGAGATACCTGAAGAAAAGGGTGAAAAACCATATATCATTAAACATTTTAGAAGCTTGGTAAGTAATAACTACAAAATGATATTAAAACGAGGAAATTCTGTTGAGCAAAGGTTGTTAAACATACAGTTTAATTACAGGCTAAAAAAGAAAACGAAGAAGCTGAATTTGTTGCTGTTTTGAAAACATCTGATCAATCATGTAGATGTACATGGTACAAAAATTCAACAGTTATAAGAGATTCTTCAGAAGTTAATACATCATTTGATGGTACAAACGCTCGCCTTATTATAAGAAAGGTGACATCAAAATATGTCGCAAATTACAGAGTTGTAATAAGAAATGAATTTGGAGAGGATGAGTCTAGTGCAGATTTAACACTTGTTGAGGAAAAGGTAATGTTTACACAAAAACATAAATTAATTTAAAAATTGATTGCCATAGTAGAAAATCATTATAAAATTTTTTTTTATTTTAGAAAAAGAAAAAGGAGGAAGAAGAAGAAGAAACTACGGTGATTGAGGAATCTGAAGAAGAAATGTCAATCGTAGAAGAAAAATCAATCATCGAAGAAAATCATGTTGAAGAAAGAAAAGTAAGTTGATAAAAATAAAAAACCATATTTCTCCTATTTTCTTCTTCTCTTTCATCATATTATCCGTCCATCTCCACTTTAGTTGTCGGTATGTGGTGTTCGTGTCTTTAAATTTTATTTTATCATTCCTTTTACTCCTGTTGTACTTCTTTCTATAATGGTTTGACATATTTTTGTTCTATTTTCAGATTTTCTGTCATTGCAAAAAAAATGGCTCATATTGTAATTTTTTTTCTCTTTTCCTTCATAGGCATTTCCTTGTCTTTCATTATCTCACCCAGTGATCAGTTTCCGAGCGTTGGCTTTCATTTGTATATTTCTTTATGCATGCACACTTAAGGGCATACCTATTAGTTAATAAATAAATTCGTTTACGTATTTTACTATTTGTCTTTAATATTTATAGTTTCTTATTGTGTAGAATTTGACATAATTTTTGATTTTATTAAGTTCATTGACTGTTTCAATAATATCTCAAAATATTTCTGGCTAAAGTCAAGGTGCTTTTATAGCGTGAGCGAGTATTTAGACTATAAGTTTAACAATTATAAATGACTTAACTTCTTATTATGACATTATGTTAATGTTCTTATTATATGACATTGCAAAAAATTTATATGACACTAGCAAACTCGGCGAACTCCGTTTCGCCACCAGATGGCTTCGTTTTATGTAACATTTCGTTTGGTGATCCCGCTTTTCTGTTGAAATTTTTCCTGAATTTTTTTACTTTTTCTTTCTATAAACCTCACGGAGCCCGAGACCTTTCCAACGAATGCAAAACCGTGGAAATCGGTTCGTGCGTTCTGGAGTTTTAGCGTCAGGAAGGAAAACCCGACTTATTTTTATATAGTAGATTTGCATGCCTATTTGTATATGGCTGATTGTGCGGATTTTTCTTGTTGTTAATCCAATCCATTTTTGGCTACGGAGCCTCTGTACACGCAATGATGATGCTGCAACGTTATGCAGTTATATATTGATATGTAATAAAAGTACTTTTTTTCTAATAAGGAACAGAAAAAACAAGCGGAGGAGGAAGAAACTACTATCATCGAACAGAAAAAGGCAGCTGCTAAAAAGGTTACAAAGAAGCAAGAAATTAAAACTGAAACTCAAAATGAAGAAGTCTCAGTTGAGGCAAAGAAGTCTGAAACAAAATCTGAGGCTAAAAAAGTTGAGACTAAAGTTCAAGAAACTAAAAAAGCTGAAGTAGAACAAGAAGAGATCAAGAAAGTTCTAGAGAAGAAGACTGCAAAGTCAGAGGAAGAGAAAAAGGCACTCTTAGAAAAGATTGAAAGTAAGAAAAAGCCAGAGCCTGAACCAGAAAAGAAAATTGAAGGAATTCCCAAGCTCAAACCAGTTAAGCCAAAAGAAGAACCAAAGGAAGAGACAGAAAAAACTACAAAGAAAACTGAAGAAAAGAAGAAAGTTATTAAAAAGAAGGTTATTAAGAAGAAAGAAGAAGATGTAAGTAGCTCAAATATTTCTTTAAAAAATCTCGTAGTAGTTTTATGTTAAATTAACTAAATGTTATTTGTTTGGTAACAATATGATTCATTTCAGATATTCAAGGAGTATTTATTATGTAACTTTATGTTTCATGCTAATAGTGTTGTGGATATTTTGTGATAACCTTTGTTATAATATGTATTTATTAGGAATTCAACTTTGATGACGATTATGAGCGCCCTGTTCTGGAGAAGTACGAAAGAATCACACCTACACCACTTCAAAAAACACCTAAGGTTGATGAAACACCAAAGGTAAACATAAATACACAATTACAAAACACATATTATTTTTTTAAATTCGTATAACATAGCAAAACTCAAACCGATTTACGTTTCTTTAGACCAAGCGTGCTTCAATTTCTGAAAGTACTAAGAAGCGACAAGAAGAACCAGAAGAGATACCTAAAGATACTCCTACTGCAGACAAAGACCATAAAATTGATACAAATGACGAGGTACATTTTCATTATCAAAAAACAAATTAAAAATAATTTAAATTAATATACATCTCGTACGTATAACTTGGCAGTCGTTTTAAAATACTAAACTTTTTAATGATAGGTTGTTGAGGAAACACGAAGAACAAGTATTAAAAAAGGTATTCGGAAACCTGAAGAACCTATTGATGAAATATCACAGGTTAAATTATCAAAAACTCCTACAAAACCAACTGAAATGCAGACCGAAGAACCCCAAACTGCTCAATCTAAAAAGGCTGTTAAAAAGGTAGAATTGTATTGTGTAATTAAATAAATAGTATTGTAGGCAAAATCATATAATTAAATTATTTATATTTTGTTAAGCCTGAAGAACAGAAAGAGTATGTCGATGATTACGAAAGACCAGACCTCGAAAAATACGATAAGGTCTCTCCATCGTCTCTTGATAAAACAAAGAAAGAAAATGGCGTTTCTGAGGTATATAAATAATTTACTCACAAAATTATTAACGTCGATTGACTTCATATATAAGTACATTTAACGATAAACCCCTCCAATTTATAGGAACCATCAAAGTATGTAGACGATTATAAAAAACCTGAGCTTGAAAAATACGATAAAGTTACACCTACACCTAAAGATATACGTCGTCCAAGTGATACTCAGGTATTTCAAAACCTTTTCATAAACTTCTATTGATTTCTATTCTCGGGTATTAAGAACTGTTAAGTTAAATTCAAACAAAATTATATAAAATCGTAATGAAATTTTCATAGGATGAGACAGATATGATGACTGGTAAAATTAAACCTAAACCAAAAGATGGTGAAACAGAAATGCCTGCACTCCGAAAACGAACTATCGTTAAAGATAAGGTAATAAAAAGTAATTTCATCAACAGTACTAGATACGTTAAATAAGTATTAACTTAAATTATTATGTAGGAGGAGGAGAAAAAGTCTGATGAGAAATCAAAGCCCAAAACTACCAAGAAAGATGACACTAAACCAAAGAAACGTCCATCTCTTAAACAGAAAGAGGTAGCTTACAAATCTATACATTAACAAAATACAACTAAACAAATAAAACACAATGCATCGATATTAGACAGGCCTATAATCTTTTAATTGTTAACTTCTCTTTAAATCTATACTCTATCTTCTACCAACAAATAATTTTCTTATTTGCTTCATTAATTTAGCTCTATATAACGTTCTTCTTCGTTACTGGTGATACAAGGCAAAAGGATATAATATGCTGCATGGCTGATGAAAAATAATCACCGAGGCTTTGTATTCCGTAAATGTGTGTAATATATTAAAATACCAGTGTAAGTCATTACTTAATGTTTCGTTTAAATCAATAATGTGCTTGTATTGCCTTTGTCGATTCTTTAGTTATTTAAGTTTTTATCTTGAAGGTTGATGAAGAAGAATTTATTGATGATTATGAGAGGCCAGTTCTTGAGAAATACGAAAGAATTACTCCGACTCCTATAGAGAAAAAGAAGAAGGTACACTTTTACACTAACACTATATCGCACAAAGGTCAAAAATATATTAAAGGTTTTAAGAAAGTTACACTACGATATCATAGTATAAGTAACGTTTTATTTTTGCCGTAACAAAATGAAATAAATAGATTTAGTTAAAACCCAAATTTACATAAACTTTTTCATAGGAGGAAAAACTTCCAAAAGAAATCACCTCTACTTCATCCGTACAACGTCAGTCAATAAAAGATAATGATAAATCTGAGGTACGGCAAACATACATTTAATTGTCTTTATTGTAATTTATAATAATTAAAAAATATTAAATAAACAAATTTTAATAGCCTATGGAAATTGACGAGAATGAAGACACAGAATACAAACCTAAACCAAAGAAAGATGAAGACACGACAACAAAAACAGGAACATACCAAAATGCACAAAATGAACCAATGGTTTGTATCAAACCTATAAAATAAATAATAAAATTTAAACACGTTAAATATCATAAAATGAGTTGTTTTGGTATTTTTCTTAGGAAGAAGACGATTTTGTAGAAACAAAAGCACGATCAGTAGGGCCAAAGAAGGAAGAAACGCAAAAGTATCCTTCTTTCAAAGAAAAAGAGGTAATCTTAATTTCAGATAAAAGTTAAACAAATCTTTTACTGTTACATTTGTTAACTTAAAATATTTTTATTAGGACATTCCAAAACACACTGACGACCGAAACCAAACAAAACCCGAAAAAGATAGCAAATATGTAACTTCACCTACAGATACTGATAGCCCAATTGTTAAGGTATATTGATAATCAATAAAGAAAAACATTAATCAGAATCAAAACAAGATAATGATATTTTTTTCTATTAGGATGATGACGCGCTGGTTATTGATAAATCAAAACGTAAAGATAGCGTCACTAAAACTAAACCGGAAGAATCAGATGAACCAGAAGAAGTTAAAAAACCACTTCTCCCTAAACAATCTATTAAAACAAAGGTATAAAAAAACGAATTAATTAATTACAAAAAAATATTCTAAATGTGATAATTTAATGTATTTAATTTAATGTGTAGGATGATGAGAAGACGACGGATGATAAAGAAAATATTACACCGATTAAAAAAGTTAAAACTATTTCAAAAAAGCGTCCTTCTTTAAAAACAAAAGAGGTATACACTTTCACAACAGTTACTGCTCACACACATTAACATGCACAGGTTTTGAATTTTCGACACACGGCCTCTAACACACTATAAATTATATGGTTATGAACATATTTTAACTCCAGCTCACTGCAATTTTTATACACGATAATATAGTCTGAAGTATTCGATAAGTATTGTTTGGTTTGTACTTAACTTTACAGAGCAGATTGTCTATGCTTAAGTTTTCTTCAACTTTAGCTCTGCAGAACGAGGTTTGGCGACTAAATACGTGATGAGCATTGCATGTTTAAAAGCTTTTTCAGCATCTTCCAGGTGTATCTTTCTTCACGTTGTTTATTGTTTAATATACTTAGAAAAACGTTCAAGCCTTTACTATCCCTTATAGCAATTATTTTTTATGTCATAATTTTCAAAGGTTGAGGAAGAAGAATTTGTCGATGATTATGAGAGACCTGTCCTCGAAAAATACGAAAAATTCACGCCAACACCAATTGAAAAAAAGAAAAAGGTACACAGTACCCTGCACGCTTTAAAACACAATAATCTCGTAGTGTAGTGAGAAATATTGAAAAAAATACACATGCAAAATATATAACACCCACGGCTTTAGATACGGTCCCATGCACAAATGAAATAATTATACTAAAAGTTACACCCTAGTTACATTTTAACGCAGGCAATTACGACCTTGGCTTAATTTAATTTGCTTAACACTTTTAAATCGAATAATATTGTTAAGAAGCTTTATCCAAACTTCCTTGGAAAATATTAGTAACTAAGTGAGTAGTTTAGGAAAGCATTCAAGGAAAACTTTTTTAATTAAACCAAAACATAACAGGAAGAAAAGACACCTGAGGATGTTCCTTCTTCAACTGTTCAGAGACGCCGTTCGGTCAAAGGCAAAGATAAACCAGAGGTAATCTTTCGTTTATGGCATATAACTTCTTTTTTTTGGAAAGTGCATAATATATAATCATCTTCTATAGCCGATGGAGGTTGATGAAAATGTCAATTTGTCTGCACCGAAAAAGCCAGGAAAGCCTGAACCGGAAGACGTTACACTTACACACAAAACACCCGCTGATACTACACCCACGGTTCGTATATTGATAACATCAACATTTTTATCAAAATAAAAAGCGATATTAATAGTATATTAATTACATTTAATAAGGTGGATGAAGCCGAAGCAAAACTAAAGGTTAAAAAACCTGAAGTTGTTGAAGACGCAACCATCAAACGGCCTTCGGATAAACCTAAAAAGGTATTTTTGAAGACGTTTACGATACTAAAATATTATTATTTTATAGAACTTCCTCGATTACTTTAAATTCAAACATTCAGTTTGTAAAAAATGTCAACAAGTTTTGTTTAAAAATAATTCGCAGATGTTTACCAACCCTATTAAATCAAAGTCAGAACTGCCAATAGAACGAAGATACTCATATATTATAAAGGTACAAAGATAAAAGATAAAAATAATCACATTGACGTAACGACACGGAAATAGCACAAGATATTTATGTAGCACTTCACAAAAATCTAAATATAGTGACTAAACTGTCAAGCACAAACATCATTCGTAATTGTACATACACAAATAGACTGCGTCAAATTCTTTCTTCCGTTCTTGTTACTTTATATTCACCCAAGTTTCTGCAAATCTTCTTTACTTTTCTACCTATGGAATGTATTCTTCTGTATCTAATACCATGTATGTGTGATTGTGATGTTAGGGAGAGGACACCGAAGAGTCAGTCAGCCTCACCAAACCCAAAACTAAGACAAGCACAACTGCTCCTGAAGATGCAACACTGACACAAAAAACTCCATCAAAGAAAAAGCAGACGGTAGTATTATTTAGTATTTTAAGCATTTCATATTATAAAAACAATTACTTGATTATCAATTTCCATTGTTTTACACAGGAGGGTTCTGAAGCTGCTAAGCTCAAAATTAAAAAGCCAGCTGTCGTTAAGAAAGATAATGAAGATGATGTTGGGGTAAAACATATTATATGAGATGCTTAAAATATATAAACTGCATGTTATAATACACGGTTTGATAATTTGAAACAATCCGACTAACAAATAGAACCCGCTTTGTAGAAATAGTCATAGTAGTTAAGCGATAAAAATCCTTAAATAACTTTACGACTTCGTAGGAACCACTCACGATACAAGGTGGTAAATTCCAAGTGCCACAACTTAAGAAAACAACAAAGAAAACACAAGACAAGCCCAAAAATGCCACTGCTACGGACAATGAAAACGCGGATGGGGTAAACACAACACATAACTCTTCAATGTTGTCCTTATCTTCTAGATGTGACAATACTACCATTCACTTTCTTTCTGTAAATACATACTTTACATAAACCACAATGCACACAACGCTTACCATACCACTTTGACAAATTCACGTGAAGTCGTCGTGTTGCAATAACCTATTCGTCGATGTTTTTTTTGATGAAATGGTCGCATGGTCGCATTTCGCTTTCAGCAATTGCAGGTTAAAAATCAACAGCTTACGTCCGGCTGCTTTATGGAATGCTGCGTCAACATATTATAATAGTTTAAACATGAAGCATAAGTGACATCTTTTACGATTTCAGTACCAACTGGACTTCGTTGACGACTACGAAAGACCAGTATTGGAGAAATATGAAAAGATGACGCCAACTCCAACAGTTCGTGAGAAGAAAGAAAAAGAAGTTACACAGGTAGTTACATTTTATTGTAGATTATAAAGCGACTACTATACTTCTGTTTACGTATGTTTTAATATTATGTATGCATATGTATTGTGTTTGAATGTGCGCAATAAACACTTCCTCGTACGTTGAAGGGAAACGTCGCGAGGCCTGATTTCCTATAAAGAATTATTATCAATGTAACAGATGCAGAAATCTAAAAATGCAATGCTTAATGTAATTCGAGTTAATCCAAAATTAATCATAATACACAGATCACAAACTCAATCATAACTATTCTAATTTAATATTATTCTTCCAACCTAAAGGTCGCACATGCAGAACAGCATTTAGCTGTGAAGGTATTTTACTGTCGTGTGTCCCCATTGTTAATAATAATTTTGGTTTTCTCTACGGGTTTTTTATATTCTATTAGACAAGTTGTTGAGCATTATGCTAGGCTCTTTTCTGCTTATCATGCATGTGTCATCGTGATATAGAAGTTATGGAATTATGATTTGGAGAACTCAGTCTAATATATGTAAATATGTATATATATTATAATACCCCATGTATTTAAATAATGAATTAGAGTAATATATGGAGCTGTCTTGACAGTTGTGTAATGCTTAAAACTTTACACCACTTTTTTGTATATTGTATTCTAGAGATTTTCAATTTCGTTGGACAGATGTCGAAGTAGACAGAGACGCAAATCTGTTTATGGCATAAACAGATATGCGTCTGTCTACTTCATCTAAAATAAAAGGAACTAAAAAACGTGACGGTGTGACAGTTTAATAATGTATAGTATAATCATTAAAAAAATAATTAAAAGTTTTTAAATGATTATTGAGATTTTCTAGGACAGATTGTTTAAGACAAATTGAATGAAGATTTTACTTATTTATATTATACACGCCATTGTGTGTTGCAGAATATGCAAAGCAATATTGTACCATTTCTATATAATTGTACCTACTCCAAATTCTAGCAAATAAATGATTATTATAAAACTTGTCTAATAGAATAGGTCAAATAATCTTGTGGTTTCTTCATTGTATTTAAATCATCAACATTTGTCATTTTTTAAGGTTTTAAGGTGTTTTTTATGATTTTAATATTTTAATCTCATTACCTTTATAGACTGACAGCAGGCGTACATCAGTCGCGTCCGTTCAAAGTGAAGTAAGTTGAAACCTATTCAGTACTTAATAATTTTAACACTTTCTGAATATTGCAGAAATTTGTCAATTTCTTTAAAATAGTTTGAGTAATACTGTAAATAATTATAATTTCAACGTAATTTTATCATAATATACTTTTAGAATTTATAAAGATTATGAAATATATTTCACAGTAAACTGTTACTCATTTGTTTATATTAGATATTCAATCCATAATATTGTTAATATCTCTTTCTCCACTGCATCTTGGCCCATTCCCTCAAGGTCCACCCCCAAGTCGACGGGCCTTGTGTTCGCCTATGGTGTTGAGTTAACAATTCCTCTATCTTCTTTTATAACCTCGAATTCGCTATTGAAGATAACTTAATAATTTGCTATAAAACTAAAGCTTTTTCTATCGCAGGTCGAAATGAAATCCGAGAGCCGCAGGAGTTCGATAATCGAGAACAAAGCAATAAAGGTACGATTTATTTGAATAAACGAATAAGCAAAAAATAAAAATAAACACCCACAATCGACGGCTACAATCACAGCGATGATTTCATAACCTTAACGCGCTAACAAAGTTATTCTGACCGCTAAGGATACAATTACTCGACCTTAGCCACTTGGCTCTCGGGCATTTAGTGGTTAGTGGACTAGTCAAGGATCCTCCTCCTCCTTTAGGTCGAAAGAAGAACAGCAAATTCCTCCTCTATATCGTAACTGATTATTTAATATTCAATCTTCCTTTACGCTTTTTAATCCGATAAATTAATATGAATAAAATATATATAAGCTTTCATCTCAACATCAAAAAGTAACATGGACGAAAACAAGCTTTTATAACATTATATTTTACAAATAATTAAAAGTTCGTTTAAGGGTCATAAACGCATTATAAGACTCGATGAATATTTGTGACATAGTTTTTGTAACTTTATAATATAAAAGTTATATGTTTATGTATGTGGGTTTAAAAAGGGGGATAAGTAGGTATATTAGTTTATATTTTTGTCTTATATTTAGATGACGAAGGAATCTGCTGAAAGCAGAAAATCTTCCATTTCTTCGATATCGGAACAACAACAAGTCTCTACTTTCAGAAAGGGATCACTTAAGGTATGGTTATATTTAAAAACAAAGGATTAATTTAAATGAAACAAATTAGACGGAGTGTAAAATATGATTTTAACCTGAATTAATCTCAAGCCAGACACAAATTTCCTTGTTAATACATATTGGTTATATCTCGCCTAGCCTTATTAAGCAGCGTTGAAACTGGATTGACAGATGCTATACTAGCTGAAAACTTTTCCCTTTAATCATACGTATTATAAACCTTAAATATCTCTTGTGCGTTTTCCCCATATTCATAGAAAACTCTATCAGTCTATTGCACCATTTTAACTAAACTATTCACAGTTCTCTTTCCATCATAGCGTAAACACAAAATAGAAACAAATGAAAGTTTTAGTTAATATATGAAATTAGATTGATTTTGTTTTTATGAATAGGGTTTGCCTTTTTTTCACTAAACGGCTTCTTCAACCATGGTTTATAATACGTGTATAGTCCTGTGATATATAAACAGTTTTAGAAAGAAGTTTGTGATGTAGTTAGAATAGTAGATAGAAGTAGAATGAAAAACACTAAAGTTTAATTTGAGTTTTGTAGATTTGGAAGCTTCAGGTTTGGTAGAACTTTTGCCCTAAAATCCGAATACCTCGAGTAGAATTGGAGAAACGTAGACTGATTTTGTAGTTAGAGCAATCCTTTAACGCTTTTAATTAATTGTTTATAGACTGCAGTTAAACAAGAGGCTCAAGTGAATGAATTAGAGAAAATTAAGTTAAAGGTAAGTTTATGGTTAGATAGTTGCATGGATAGTTTAACTCTATCAGTAGTAATGTCCAAGTGTCTCAAATTTTTGATATTACTAGAGAAACATTGACAGTTAAAGTCGGAGTCTCCAGTTCTATAACCTCTTTATAGAATAAAATTATAATTGTGTATCTTGGGCGATACAATTAATGCGCAGTTAGTAAAAGATTTAAGAAAAGGGGTTTTGTTTTTGCCTTCCAAATTTATCTATGGTGAATTAGCTGAAGTAACGATAAATGACTCGGAGTACGACGAGGTCTTTGAACGAGCATCAAAATATATACAATTTCAATAAATGATATTACTACTGATAGAGACATATTTTTCTATTATTTCAAAACACTATTTAAATGTAAATGTAAATACAGTTATCTCCTACTTCTTTGTTCTTCATAAATGTTGTGTGTATCGTGATTATATGTTTATCAATGTGCTAGCAAATGTATAAATTATAATCGCATAGTGCGTTTGTACATACTTAAAATTTTGTTAGGATGACAACATTGGAGATATTAATGATACACCAGACTCACCTCAATGGCGACCTACGCACACAGACACACAGGTAACAAAAATATTGATACAAACATTACATTTTACTATAGTACACATAACACATGAACACATTGGTTTATAGGTGACAGACAAGTCTCAGCCAAAACGTAGTTTTAGCTTAGATCAAACAAAACCCAAAGATGAAGTTAACGGTAGACGAAGACACAGCAAGGTGGAGGTAATAAACAATTTCATAAAATTAATAATAAAAATAAAGTTTTAAGTAATCTAGATCAGCACAGTTAATCTTACATATTTTATAAACAGGCTACTGAAGATGTAACCGAAACAAATGAGACAAATATCAAACGAAAAACATCACTAGATAAACCTATTGATTCCACATACCCGTGGCGTCGATCTAGTAAGGTTGAGGTAAATAAACTTTAGTTAGCAACAGAAACAATCATTTAAAAATATATTTTCTAAAAATGAGTAAATTTTTATAATAGGAAAAAGATGATTCGGACGAAGAGTTCTTTAAGAAGAGAGACATTCGCCGGAAAACATCTATTGATCGACCTACTCACCCTAGTTTTCCGTGGAAGCCCTCTACAGATGAGGTAGTAATTAATAATAATAATAAAACTATTGCTTAGTAGGGCAAGGAAATTAATGTTTCTTTAAAATGTAGTAGTGAAAAACTTTAGGTTACCTTAAAGTAAAATAACGGTTCAAATCTTATATTTGTCTCATATTACTATTCTATGTTAGGAAACCTTGACCAATGAAACGCTTGGATCAGATAAACCAACATCAGTGTTGAATAAAGATAATGATTTGGCTCACACTACAAAGATACCTACATCAGACACATCTGAATCTAAAAAAATACCTTCACAACTACACACAGAGGTACATATTATATTATAGTCAATTACATCTTCACACTTAAACTTTACACTTAGACTCAACATCTTTATTTATTTTTAACACAGGACTCAACGAAAGATAACTTAGCAAAACTAGAACCCGTCATAAATAAAGCCGATCAATTAAAACAGAACAACAACAATATTACACTATTACATAATCGCTTAGATGATAAAACAGATCAAGACGAAATATATCCTTGGCGTCGTCCAAGTAAAACTAGTGAGGTAAATATAACAGTTGATTTATTGTAATGAAATAACAAAAAAGACATACAAGAACTTACACTATAATACTATTCTAGGAGCCCTTGAAGGTACAAGAAGAAAAAGTAAATAATGATTTAGCGAAGCCAAAGGTAAAAGATTTAGACAACGTTAGACATGTTTATATACAAATATCGAATTTATGACATAAAATATGACATTTCTTTAGGTACCAGAAAACGTTACACAAACTGACGCAACAGATATTTCACAAAATACACTATATCCTTGGAGAAAACAAAAAGAGGTAACACAGTTAATTGGCGATTACTTTAAATGCATATCTTAATTTAAAAAATTTTTTTAATAAAACGACTATTATCATAGATTCCAGTTCTAATAACCCCAGAACCGGATAAAAAACAAAGCGAGGTGCCATTCTCGTGGCAAGTTATCCCTGAAATTCCGCAGGTATAAATTGAAAATGTAATATTCTCTTCAATATCGTCGGACATATTTAAATCCAAACTTTGTTGACCAGGCTGAACAAACACCAGAACTAGAGGATAATTACAAACCAACTTTACGTGAACAAGATATCGCACCCTGGAGAAGATCACGATCTCCTCAGGTTCACACACTAATAGAAATCTAAACACATACTTTGCTTTATCTACACCACGCATTACATATTCGCACTCTGACTGGCACAAGCACAACACATTTCTACAGCGCACTTAGATGCACTTAACAAAAACTTGAAAGGCACAAATGATAATTTACACATCGTACGGTCGCCATTAAAGTAAATTATTTTCTATAGGCTGACATAAACATCCAGGAGGAGAGAAAGGCTTCATTAGCACGCAATCAGTTACCTGACGAGGTAGAGAATCGGTCAAATTAAATGCACAATCTAGCACAAATTGTATTTTTATGCACATTGCCCACATACGTAGTTAGGCACTGTAGAAATATAAAACTGTAGATGTTTGGAATGAATGCATGTCAAAGAAAACTAAACCTACCAACATACTATTAGACTTATTTTCCTAGCTTTCGCTTGTGGTAACACCAACTGTTATTAAATCCAAGGATCTGTTATTTTGCTTATTATCGTTGAAAATTTATATTAATTGTGTTCGTAACTTCTAAAAAAAATCGATATTGACACACAAAGAACGAAATATGTTAAAAAATAACGGTTCCTTATAATATTGAAGGTAAGTTATGTAATAACTATAAATAACTAATGTTCAAGGTAATTCAGTGTTAAGATGGAGCCAAGAGAAATTTCAAGAGTTTATTAAAGAAATGGGTAAATTTGTAGTTTTGTACTATGGTTACATTCTTTATTTAATTACAGAAAGTGGCTCAGAAAGAAGTAGCGGTAGAAGAAGAGGCTAAGAAAGCAAAGGTCACTTCTGTGAAGAAAAAGGCTGAGGACCTGCCTGAAATTGCTGACTATGATAGACCTGATCTAGAGAAATATGAGAAGATTTCGCCCACCCCGACTACCAGGGAAAAACCAGAAAAAGAGCCGGTACTTAGCGAAAACAAAAACTTAGGATTTTAATAACAATATAATTTCTCACTGCTAACAATATTTACAATAGTCTTTCGGTGTCCTTAGCTTTTTTTATATTCTTAAATATTTTGTAGTATAAAGTCTGGATTTACATATTTTATTTAGCAGGCTGAGAAGCCTAAAGTGCCCGAAATCAAGGCACCTGAAGAACCACCAGCGGCACCTAAGATTGAAGTTATTAAAGAGAAGTCACCAAAACCAGAAATGCCTCGTAAACCATCGCTATCACCAGCTCCTCCAGCAAGACGTGGGTCTCTCATTCCTCCGCCGGAGGAAATGGGTAGACGCCCTTCACTCTTAATCAGCGATGAGGTATTTAAACTTTTATTTTACAAAAATAAAATGGTTAATATTTATTTTAGCAAAATGATACTATTACAATGAAGGTAAAATGTAGATACTGGATATTGTAGTGTCTGATTATAAACTTTTTCATGAATATACTGATACTAAAATATATTAATTATATCTCAAATGATATTTTCTATTGGTATATTCAACAATGTTTTTATCACAGTGTTTAGCCCCGTAGATACCCCGTTCTGTCAAGCCGAACCCTTAACAATAGTTCGTCCTAGAATTTTTATGACACTAATAATACCTACACAAATGTTAGATAAGTGACCCTTGAGCTTTAGTAACGGTTGAGGTTAGTTCTTTGATTAAAGCTTCGTCCTCAAATCCCTGCTTCTAGACTAGATGTTAGGGTAGTACACACACAAATTAAGATAGTAAAAAACGTAATTCACAGGAGAATAGAAAACTAAGACCTGGTGAAGTGATCGAAGAGAAGAAGGTAATAGCAGATAATCTGCAAACGTTTAATGAATGCTACTCGTTATTCTATGCCGTTGCGTCATTTAACTATATCTTGGAGAAACCTAATTTGCATTTCGCGGTTCGCAATACTATTTTTATCAACAAAATTTTCTGACTAATTACATGCACTTTAATCAAATTCATTGAAAAACTCAGTCATGTAATTTTTCAGTAAATTCCTTCGCTAGAATTTCTCGTAAAAGCACAATTCTAAATGCACACACTTTTGCAATTCGGAGCACACCAATAAACTGCACAGCTTGTTAGCACGTTTGCACACAATAACGGTGAAAAATATCTCTAAAGAAATTGAGTAATTGAAGCAGGTTTTTTTGAAAACTGATCGAAAGGGTAACTAACAACACTTTAACAAGAAAATTGAGGCCAAGAATAATTTAAGCACTGCTGGTGAAGTCATTGCACTTAATAATGCGACTAGGTATATAGAATAGGTTGGTCACTCAGGTTCGGCGGCAGAGGTAGATAGGCAAAACTGTCTTGAAACGATTACTATCAGTATTTTTTAACAACAGGTCACGAAATTACGGCCAGGCGAAGTTTTAGACGAGAAAAAGGTGAGAGTTTGGGTCTGGTCAGTTTTAGGTGGTCGCTGCTCGCTTTCGCAAGGCATTTTGTTAAATTTTACTTTATCTTATTTTTTATCGGCATTTTTATTTTAATATTTTTGCACTTTCAACTTGGAACACTGTGACACTAAAACATACATACAATTAAGTCACTTATGCAGTCCCACAGAAACTATTAGAACTAGTAGAATCTATCAGAATTAAGCAAGTTTTTATAGCCTGATAAAGTGTTCTTCTACTATATATTTCTACAGAAATCTTTCCTGTCTAAGTCACATACCTTAAAGCCGCTTAGCCGACTGCGAAAAATGTTGCATATCATTTTTCAAGCAATGTAGTGACTATTCCTACTATAAGAGAACTAAATTTTCTGACGTTCTCTTCTGGCACCTTTTAATAATGAATGGCAGTTCTTACATAACAGGCTTATTCTTCTTTATTTATCTTTTAATATACATTTTAATTAATTGTAAGAACTTGCATCTATAATGTGGCATCTAACATACTCACACGAATGTGACTTTGCACACAACGAAACTGTACATAAGGAACTATTTGATTTGCACGACTGCACACTCACAGACACCTAGGTATAAGTCTATAGGTTTGACGAAATAAATATTGACTGCAAATGAAGAATGAAAAGCACTCTCATTTACATTAGCACATTAACTGAATGTCTTACTAAACTTATTATTTTTTTCCAAAAAAGAAACGCGGCAGGCCGGGAGAAATTTCAGAAGAGGTATACATTGAGTGAAAATATATGTTTAAATCAATGTTATAGAGAAATTAGATTCGTGGCTAACATGGATATGCCAAGTGATTAATTCAATAAATGTACAACACAACTCAAACAAACCAGTAATAAGACTGAAAAGGGTTTTATCATTGGTTAAAATCTTGAAGTAGTACGATGTAGATTTAATAGTGCAAATAATACCTTCTCGTCCTAACAGTTTGGTCAACCATCATATTTAAACATGTCTTAACAAATGCATGGTAAAAGTGCTGGAACAAAAAATTTACTGGCTGCTACAGAATAGCTGCAGAAAATTTATTGTTCAAAAAGTGCTATCAAACGCCCACGCTGTCCTAAATATTTTAGACATTAATGCACCACGCTTAAGAATGTTATGACGCTCATTTCAGTTATTTATTATTTAATAATTGTGAAACACTATGTCTTCCTAAGTGGTAATTTGTCTTTACTTTGATTTATGTATTTAACTGTTAAAGCATGAATGAAGTCTGCCGCAAAACAACGAGAATCACAAATATAGTTTATCATTAAAGCAAAAGAGAATGTTATTGTTCTAAATGCAAATTTTCAGTAACGCAAATATGAATGTTCTTCAGATAAATTATATAAAATTAATATAAATATTAACTATAATATAAAGGGGCCATTTATAATAACTCTTAAATATTGCATAGCAGCCAAGACATATATGCTGCCCGAGTACCACACACTCTTTAATAGTCGAAAACTTGCCAAAGTTCATGAATTATTGCAGCTATCGTGTATTGTAAAGACGATATATGTCTTACAAAATCAGCTGGCATATTGCATTATTGATCTGACTAATAAAAGTATTTGTTGTATAAACAGGTGTTCATCGATTACATCAAATCAAATGCAAAGCTTTTAGAGTAGCGTTTGGTAGAGTTAAAACTACCCTTTTACAGCAAAGTTTATCCACGATAAAAAAGTAAATAAATATGAATGTATGATGTTATAAGACACTCGATGTATAGATTACTAATGTTGAAGCTCTTAAATGAGAATAAATGCCAAGTATAACGTTACTAGACGAGACTATTATTAAAAACAAGGACAGATACAAATAGACAAGAACAAATATAAATCTGATTGATAGATAACATGTATAGATAGAAATACCTGTGGATGGCGCGTGGGCCGACCGCCTGCTATCTGAGCTGCAACAATACTGGTATCTGAAGAACTTTTGGCATTGATGTTGATTCAACATTCGACTTTCGGCGCCTTTAAATCAATTTTGACACATGCCATTGAGGAAAAATTAAACAAATTTTTTCCTTGGATGGTTTTGGGGCGAGCCTATTTTCCGTTTATTAGAATCAGAGTAAAACTGCGTATTTTAGAATTCGATATGATACTACTACTTATGTTTGCAAACATCGACGAAAGATAAAAAAATCTCTTAAAATCGGAAAACTAAAATTTTTATTATTGATTTAGGTATTTTATTACAGAAATATAGTAAACATAACAATACAGTTGAAATAATAACATGAAAAGGAGATCAACTCGCGGCCTTATCGCTTTGAAGTCTATTCCAGGCAACCAATATGAGATAAAAAAATAAAAAATAAATTAGATAAGACAAGCGCAAGAAGTGTAAAAATAGATAAGACATGTAGACAAAACGAATAGATCACAACAAAGCAATTAAATCATATGTAAACAGTGAACAGGACAATATTTAAAAAAAGGACACATGAAAGGAAAAAGTGCTCATGATAACATGATAACAGTGATTAACTGTAAAGATATAAGAATAATATGTGGAAAAAAAATAAAAAGTATAAAAAGTTGCGACATGATTGTCGAGATAAATATTCTGAAACATTGACATAGTTTTACTTATAGTAATATGATGGACAATGTCGCTCTATTGTCGGTCAAGACATTGAGATTGTTTTAGACGATTCAAAGATCAACAATTTGGCTCTTAATTATTGCTAGAATTAAACTTGTTAAGTGATCGTTAATGATATCGTTACTAGAAATGGTAACGATATCGACTTAAAAAAATTAGATACTTAAAATAAGTTACAATCCTTCTCACAGTACCTTCATGTTTCGTACCAAGATATGAAGGATAAAGAACCAAATTCATTACTCAAAACTTAAAAGGCTAGTGACGACAATTTGGTACAAAATAAAACTCTAAATATCCACATGGATACCTCACCTTAATCTGATAATTAATTGAATTGGTCTGCTGATTTGTGCTGAGCACAAATAGACGCGCCTCCCCGCTCCTCATCCCTCTACTTTGGAGGCGACTATGTCCGGGCGACCCTTTCAGTCATTTGACATTCGCGCCAATTTTTAGATGTAACGAATCGAACTACCCAAATCGAACTTTTTTAATTATTTTGTAAGCTCAAGCATTTAATTCCAGATATGTGTGTTTGTGACATAAGAAACGAAGCAATAATAAATCGATTGAAATAAAACGTGTAATTATGAAGTGACTGTGAATTTGTTTCGAACAGTTTCTGTTGTTTTGCGGTTGCTTTATTATGTGTAACAATGGCAGCTGTTATAAAAAAATCTAGTAAATCAATAACATCATCTTCAGTTTCTACTAAAACTGTTACATCTTCTGCTACTGGTAAATCTGTTACTTCTACTACTGGTAGTAGATTATCTGTAACTGCTATAGATTTTCAGCTTGATGTGGTAAGTACTATAAAGCTTTAGTTTATAATTTATGCAATTCAACCCATTTATGAACTTCGTAGATCATTGGCGTACGCAAATAATGATTATTTATTTCGTTACTAATTATTTCGTACAATTATTTTTTGCCGATTCTATAATATTGTGGTATTTCATTTAATATCTAGAACTAATAATTGTATATTTTTGTATACATAATATGGATGAGCTCATTAAAAATCATTACTTCGATTGACTGTTATAATAAAATTTAACTAGTCAAATTAAGTTATTCTCAAATTTTATATATATTAGCATATCAAAATTCAACAGACTAGTATGGCGGAAAATGTTATATTTTTATTATTCATAAATAAGTATATTATACGATTATGTTATTATAAATTTTGTATCTACCATTACCATACCATTGCTAAGGTAATATCTCTTTAAGTGACGTTAAAGAATTTATGATTGCCACATTAGCACTTGCGCTACATATATCAGGAAGTCCAGTATTCATTGTCGGGTCGACTCATTTGGCGAACGAATATGATGTACAGCATCTGTCAGAACACAAATAAAACGATATTTTTAATCTATATTCAGACGCCAGTGTTCTAAAAAGTTCTTCTTTAATTGTTACAGTATATATATGTAAAACAGTAACTGAACAAAAATGTACATAGACAATTTTTTTATTAATCAAACCTGGATAAGAGATAGTAACAGTAGATTATATCGCATAATTAAATTCTAGTAAGCCTAATGGCTTACTAGAATTTAATAAGGCTTATCGGAACCAGTTTAAGAGAAGGAAGTTTTCATACTATTCGTGATACTAAGTTACTAAGTTTCACGTTTTATGAGTTTCTCAATCACACATTGTAGATTGGTTTATGTTTTAATACAAGAAAGATAACATTTAATACAATAAGTATAAATGGTGAAACACTTTGTACTTGTACTAAGGTTTGCTATGAGTAATAAAGTCAAAATCATTTATTCATATAGGTAACACAATGTTCACTTATGAGTCAAAAAATAAATATACATTAAATGCTTCTAATTTTACATTTTTTCAAATTCAAATTCAAAAATCATTTAATCATATGGGTAACACATTGTACACTTATTTACTGCCAGTTCTCAAATCAAGGGCGTAGAACGGAAGAGAAGAACTGGCAATAAACTGTCCGCCACTCTTTTTTTTTAAAATTTACTACTTCTCAAATCAAGGCTTAGAACGAACTAGGGAGAACTGGCAAGGTACACTTTCTTTTCACTCTACGCCGCTCTTTTTTATTGCAATTATTTTTATTAAAAAAAAGTAAAAATGTTTTTTTGGATTATCGTTTATTTAGGTTTGATTATTTATTACCTTATCTTCAAACTAAATAATATAATGTAAAAATCTTTGTGTACATAGATCACTTATTGCTATTAAATGTCAATTAACATCGAAATCTTTAGCGACTACAAATATTCACATTTATATCTGATATAGCGAAGAAAATCCGGTGATTCAAGAAGACCATCGATCCAGGACTTGGAGGACTTAATCAACAAGCCTTCAACACCTCTTAAGCCTTCTGGAAATGACGGCCCACCAATTGTCGAGGCCCAAGAAAACTACAGTGCGGTTGAAGGTAGTTTTATTTTCTTTAATTGAAAATCAGTGTCATTTTTATAATTCAATGCATTTATAACGCGTATTATTTTAAATATGTGATACTATATTTACTCATAGTCGTTTAAATACTGAAAATATAATTATCCAAAGTCGAACTATGACGTCTAAGCCTTTACTAACTACAATAATTATAATTTCATTGGTTTACTTTTTAATTAAGTATGATTGATCTAGTTTTACTTAGTAGGTAATTGATAAAATACCTGCTTAATATTTAAACGTTATAATTTTTACCTTTTGAGACAGGTGTTGCAATATTTAATAACATTACTAATATTCTATTTTTACAAGTATCGATACAGGTAACCAAAGAGCTGTGCCAAATTCCAAGTCGATAACAGAGTAATTACTGAAATAAACAAGCGTGAATGATAGATATATTATATATATGTCGGCAGTATATTGATTCTAATACATTCTGAGACGTTAACACCTATTACGTTGCAACTTATAATGTAGTTTGTCTATGCATACTCTGAATGTTAGAGATTTCATATATCTGTTTCGATACATGATTTTCTTATATCTAGAACAACCTACCTGTTTATGTAGCTAGATAAATCATTATCGGTAAAAGTAAACCTCTCAATGAAATTAGTAAATAATATTATATTATCAAATATTTAGATATAGATGTATTATTTTAATATATCTGATCTTTTCTGTTTCGCCCCATTTTAGGCTCGATTTATTAAATTTGTATCTCGTCCATATTCTAATTTGTACCTCATCTTGAGAAATATGTCTTCAAAAAATGTTTTGACAGCTCTTGAAACGAGATTTAAGTTTGATTGACGTTCTATTTGGGTCTCAAGTAAGGTATCTTTGTAATTTGTCGTTTACATATTTTCTTACTAGAATATTTCTTTAACACAGATCAAACTGGATACATCCAGGTTTCGGTGGAGGGTAACCCACCACCAACATTCAAATTCTACAAAGGTGTCACTGAGATTATCGAAGGGGGTCGCTTCAAATTCGTCACAGATGGCGAAGCGGGTCTCGTTACGTTATGTATGAGAAAGGTTAAACCTAATGATGAAGGTACATACAAGGTGGTTGTTAGCAACATCAATGGCGAAGACTCGGCTGAAACACAGCTTTATGTCTCAGGTGAGTTGATGGTCAATACATTAAATGATATGGCTAAAGTTGATATTGATTACAAAGTAACGGATAGCTCACGAACAACCCTAAACATTTAGATAATTCTTACAACTGTTAGGTTGTTTGTCTAAACTAATCAGGCTAAAATCTTTCTGCGATTTTTATGTCCATATTCGAATTAGAAATGCTTAGTTTAAAAAAAATATAATTAATATTTAAACAGACGCCAGTGGTATGGACTTCCGTGCTATGTTAAAGAAACGGAAATACAAAAAATGGGACGAAAACAAAGGTGATCCAAATTGGGGTGATTTGAAGGAGGTTGAAAAACCTCTACCCGCTCTAAAGAAGGTTGAAAAGGTAAGAATAACATTTAATTGATATTGCAATTGAAGATGGTGATATAAACAAATTTAAACTAAATAACAAATAAACTAAAACACGAGCACAAAATCGAAACGATTTCAATCATTTATTATTGGATTGTATTATTGTATTGGAAATTGAAAACATTTCGAATTTATGTTTAATTAAAAAGTAAATAATAAAAATATGGACGACTCCATCAGGCAATTACTTTGATACAAATTATTTAGGCAAAATGTTATTTGTGTAAATATTAAATTGATACAAAAGTATTCACGTTTAATACGCTATATATTGGTATAACTCTCAGTCACACTCCACTTATTTATATTACCTATATACATATATATTATTGTGACTAATGATTGTAATTCATAAGATAAACGAGAACACCGCATGCATCATTGTATATTGGTTCTTAGGGATTAGAAACTGGATATTTTGAAGAAGAAGGAAATATTGTGGTTGTGTCAGAAGGTCGAGAGATGCTTAGATTTCCGGCACAGCGCAGAAACTCCTCAAACTGGTCCTGGTTTAAGGTCATCAGTTTTGTAAAATTCGTCATTTCATTCCACTTTTCACACTAAAGAACACGAACGGTAAAGAGCTACCACGTGTTAATTTTGTTTCCGTACACTGCTTCGAATTAAATACTTTTAGCTGAGAACTTTTTGGTTTAGTACATACAATGACAATGTCATACGATTGTTATTGTGAATTCTATGCGTGTTGTGAATTTGTTCTTGCGAAAATTATGGCTGGATTATTTAGAAAGATAACCGCCGCATTTTATGTAAGTAAATGGAAATCGATGATGAACATACGACAATAAATATTCGACAAACACATAGCTTACATTAACATAGCTTACGTCATAAACAACTATACAGTTAAATGGTACAAAATATATAAACTAACTATAAATTCTAGGGTATATATCAAATTCGGAGACGAATGTCTCTACCTGAAATAATACCCGATTGGCCTGACTTGATGGAGGCTGTCAAAACGAAGGTTCGATAAAAAGGAGGTTTAAACAAGAAAGATAAAATTTTAGAAGTTCTATTCTATTGAAATCTAAAGCCATCTAGACTCCACATAAGATTTTGGAGCGGAGAAACAAAATTTCAATAGGAAAGAAATTCTATTTAAATAATGGAATGAGATAAATTAAATAAATTTTTAACTAAACCTGTCCTTGAAAGTTGTAATCATCAAAACCGTAATTAAAACAATTAAAATAAGACAATTGCAACAACATAGACGAATACTTTTTTTTAAATTTTGATGATAGTAATTTACAAGCGATTTAAACAAAATGCATCATAAACTGAATTTTAAATAACTCGCACACGGTTTTGTATCACCTCTTCACTTTTCTTCTTTAACGTTTCCAGGGTGAGAGTGGAATGAACCTGATGATCATTCACTCTTTTCGGTATTATCTTCCTTTCAGGTTGTGACGTCAGTTTGAGGAGCTTTTGTCAAATCTTGATTCATTTGTGTCATTAGTACGACCAACGTTTACGACCTTATTTATTAAAGTGTAATTAAATCTCCCAATTTGACTGAAACATGACATGACACAAGCTGATTCTGATGTTGACTTATAAATTGTAAATTGGAAGATGATATAATACTGTTATCATTAGGTCATTAGGTACCTATTTGTACATCTAAAGGTGCTTCTGAGGACAGGACGGAGGGATAAGCTTGTTTAACAAGTTTAGACAGTTATACATCAGAATTAGCACTAGAATAGTATGGTGGCGTTTTTTTACTGCAATTCTATAAACTTCTCTGGTAATGCTCCAGCATCTGAGTTGGTACTTAATCTGATGCATTAGGTGTATGCAGATTTTGGAATTTTAAAAATTTAAATGAAAAGCACTTTTAAAAAGCAGTTACACTACAATACACGTCACGCCATTTACACATAGTTAACTGCTAAGATAATTTAATTTCGAGTAAGTTAATTGTAAAGAAAGTTCAGTAAGGTTCTCTGAATGTGTTGTAGAGACCCTCTAGTAGAAGACAGTCCTTGGCGGACCTGATTCCGGATTGGCCGGTGCTGCACTCGTTCAAAAGAAACGAGGTTTGACACCGCGTTTAACGTCGTTAGATGACACAATGCATCTTGAACTGTGACACAATGCACCACACGAAACGCACAAAAATGTTCACTTTCACACCTCGATCTCAATATGTCCGGGACTATTATAAATTAAATACTTGTGCTGATATCGAATAATTTACCTCTGAGTATCAATTAATTATATTGGAAATAGAATGAATGATAGTTTGAGGCCAGCGCACGCGTCATCTTCTTGGACTTGGGTTTAATCTTAGTCTATTAAATCAGACTTTCATTTAATTAATTGTAATTGAAATTAAAGTACAATTGACATTGGTACATTAATTGGAACTGATATTTGTAACAAAGTACCTTAGATGTCAGCACAAGGGTGATTTACCCGGACTGTATGATGGCGCACATACACCTAGTTCAATATAAAGAGAGCACAACTATTGAACCCTTCTTATCTTTACTCTGTCAATGGCAGCTCTTTTGCACTCTCGAAATCTATAGTAGCACAACGCACTGAACATGGCACAGTGACATTTAAATGTATCAAGATATTTGCACTTAAAAACTGTGAACCTATAACTTTCCTTATACAAAATTTGGTTCATAATTTTTTGCACATTCTAATTGAAAGAAATTCCAATTTCTGTACAGTCGCATGCAGTTTGATTTGATGAGTGACAAAAGAAATAAAAGAAATCTAATTGGCCTTGGTTATCTCATCAAGTCAAGTGTTTACTCTATTTGACATGCATTGGATTTATACACTTTTCGTACTGAGTGAACGTACACACATTTCCAGCGTTCTAAGAGCAAAGGGGTCAATGGTGGACAGCACCTAGCTTGTGTCTGAAGAGCACCTTGTTGTATGCACCGTTAAATAACAGTTAATATTCGGTCATTTTATTATTTACCGCATGTTTCAGAAACAAGAGTCCTTCTTGAAGCCACTTGTAGACCAAAATGCTAAGGAGGGCAAGGACAAAAAGGTTACCTTCGAGGCGATTTTCTCGAAGCCAAATTCTAAACCGAAGTGGTTCTTCCGTAAGGATGTAAGTTTATATTTATTAAATATAATATCATCTATATAGTCAATGGTTATTTAAGTTAATTTTAATTTATAAATATCTTATGAACGTATGAAATGTGTTTATCATCAGGAACTTTTCCCTGGCTCGAAGTATAAGATGACAAATGAACAGGATTCGTACAAGCTGATTATTTTCAACCCGAAAGTGGAAGATACTGGAAAAATAACAATTGAAATCGGTGGTGTATCTTGCACTGCTTTCCTGCAAGTAGAAGAACCAGATCCCACATATAGCTTCACGAAGCATTTGAAGAAAACTTTGACAGGATACACGAAGCATGAGGTGGTCTTGGAGTGTACTATTTCAAGCAGTCTCGCTATTGTATCTTGGTGGAAAGGAGAAGAAAAGATCGAAGATAGCGATGATATTACCATATCAAAGGATTTGTCTGGTGTTTGTAAGTTGATCATAAAGAAAGCTAAATTGGAAGATGCAGCCAAGTACTCTTGTCGAATTGAGAAGCAGAATGATAAGACTGAGTGTGACTTGAAGATTGTGGGTGAGTTAGGACTTTAATTGTTATAATATATAATAGTTTATGCTTATTTAGTAGTTAAAATACAACAGCGTAATAGGGGACGCTCCTAATACGCATCCAATATCATCTAGTAGTTTTATCTACTGAATATTAAAAAAAATGATTAATTACTTTAGGTTTACACTTACAATATAAATTTCTCTTAGGTATATTACCATAGAGTATAAATATAAACCGATCATTCGTCTTAAGCAATTAAAAATACTATGAACAGTTTAAATTTTGAAAATATTGGTTATCGTTATTATTTCCCAAACATAAAATTACAACTGTGTTTCAGAATACCAATACAAATTCACCAAGGTGCTGAAGTCTCAACAAGCTATTGAAAAAGACACAATAACATTACTCTGCGAGCTGGACGATGCTGCTGGTGATGTTAAATGGTATTTGACTTTTCATTTTATACAGTTGGAGTAAAAGTAGATTTATATTCACTTACTGAAAAATTATCTGTTTTTCCTGCCAAATTGATCATGCAATTCCAATCCGGGATTTACTAATAATTTAATCAAAAGTATGCCAAGATGTGTCCTATGTATTGGTCGTCATAGAAGGGATACATTTTTAGATAATCAATAACGTGAAAATAATAATTTTTAATTAATCTAGGTTCAAGAACGACCAGCCCCTGAAGGTAGACAAACGTATATCCATAGTAAAGGAAGGTCGCAAGCGTAAGGTCGTAATCAAAGATGCTAAAGTAACGGATGCAGGCCACTTCAAGTGTGTCAGCAACGCTGATGAGACTACTTGCGAATTGATAATCAATTGTGAGTATATGTTGTTATATGCATGAATTCGCGATAATTAAAATATGTAGAAATGTATTTTTTTTTAAGAATTAGTGATGTCCTTTTCGTGATGATGGCAGAACTTCTGTGTTCCTAAAATATATTTTTAGAAGAATGTAGACTACAAATTTGTGTCTCCCTTTCTTAAGCAGTATTTGTAAGATACAATTTGAGTGCTCCAAGAGAAAGGTACCCATGTCGCAGCCAACTAGCTTAGTAAGCCTAATAAACTGGCTGGCTAATGGTTAGGTCATTCGTACGATAGTGACCATGTGACAGAAATAAAAAATATGGAACGTCTGATATAAAAAAATATTTTTTAAAAATTAAATTGCTTGAGTCAGTCACAGCTAAACTCACATTATTATTGTCACTACTCTTCCATTGTACCTTTGGAAAACACCAAAGTTGTGGTTTTCCGACGACATATTAACAGTTTGAAGAGTTTTGTTTCTAGTTTGAGAGTAGCTGAAAGTGGAACTCAATTACGTCATCGATCCATGTCATTTGCCTAGCTGTTTGGTCAACAGACTGAATATCTTACAGGCCGCTACTTAAACGGCGCTGTTTAGTTAAGAGGCTAGGTTAGCTAGGCTGTTGATTGAACGAATTACTAAGCTAGTTGGCTACGACACCGATAGAATCAGTAATTTCACATAAATGTTTATTTTTGTTTGCTCCTCAAAGTTATACACGTCATTATATTAATTAGCACCGACACAAGCCTTTTTGTATGTTGAGATAAATATGTCGATATCTTTCAGACTCTAATCGCTTCAACAAGAAGTTGAAGGATACAGAAGCAATTGAAAGAGAAAAGGTGGTTCTGGAAGTGGAACTCCAGGATCAGACTGCGGAAGCTGTTTGGTCTTTCAATGGAGAGCCCATTGTTCCCAATGAGAGGTTAGTTACTATACCTTATACTATTGTTATTACCTAATAAAACTACTTTCTTTTACGAATATAAACGCGTATTCTTTATGTTACGTCGACATTGATTGCTTTACTGCCCTGCCTTTAGTCTTTTGATAACCACCATATTTTTCAAACATGCGTACAATCGCTTTTATATTTGTTAAAGAACTTTAATTTTAATCAGATATCATTATGTTGTAATAGAGTTCATTGTGAGACATGGCATTTTTATGATATTTAATTTTAAGGATATTTTTATATTTTCCTTCAAGCATAAGGAATAAGACTCTCAAAGTAAAGACGGCACATCTCTAACAGTCTTAAGCTTGCTACTTCCACATTTTTTGTAGTGTTTCTTTTGTATTTCTTTGTCTTTATATGTGATTCGTATAAAACAGCAAATGTATGTATGTACTTATTCGATAAAATTGATGTTTACGAAGTGTCTAAAAAGATTTATTATATCTAGGATTGAAATCAAAAACCTGGGTGGCGGTAAGCACCAGCTGATCTTTAACAAGCTGGAGATGGAAGATGATGGCGAGATCCTATGTGAATCTGGCAAACTTCAATCATCATGTAAGCTGACAGTGAAGAAGGGAGAGTCCAAGCCAATGATTGAGTGTCCCGATGAATTCCACGGTACTGCTGGACATCCGTTCGTTATCGAGGTGCCTTATAAAAGTAAGTATAAATTACTTGTTGCTTTTTATATCAAAAGGTCTATGTTCTTTTTACCAGAAAGAGCCCAACGTAGAGCGTATTATGTCCCGTAAAACACTAACAAGGAGTGAAGAAGAGTAATATTTGCATCTTTCAGTGGAAAGGGAATTGGGCTCTTATTATTTAGAAAACCATTTAAACAAAAACCCTATTTTTTTATTATTTTATACAGATTTAATCATATATCTTCTTTTCAGTATCCGGCAACAGACAAACACAAATTGAAGCGAAACTTATCAAGGACGGTAAAATCCTACCTAACAAAGAAGTCGAAGCCGTGGTTGAACAAGAGAAGGTTCTATTCAAGATCAAAAAGCCAGTCAGAGAGGCATCTGGAAAGTACCAGATCAAACTATCGAATGCTCAAGGTGAAGACTCGAAGGACGTCAACATTTGCATGCAGAGTGAACCAACAGCGCCACAGAATGTGGAAGTCAGCGAGATCTTCCAGACGTCATGTGTGGTCACGTGGAAGACGCCTCAAGATGACGGTGGTTCACCGATCATCAAATATATAATTGAACGACAGGTAAGACTTGACAAATACTGTGCTTAAACACACCTTAAAACAAATCATTGATAACATTACAATTCACGGGATTACAATCTAATATTGCATTAATATTCCTACAAGAGATTTTACAGAAAGTATTTGTTGCCCCAGTCAACTTGTTATCATAAGTTCTAGCCAGTTCTTCTTGCCCCTCTACGCACTTGACTTGCGAACTGGTAGTAAATGTAAATTTAGAATTAATTTAATATCTTTTCTGTTGACGTTCATAAGTTTACATGGTTACCTATATGAATCAAGTTATTTTGAGTTTGAGTAATCGTTAGGTAAAAAATCACTATTAATTATAATAATTTCCTTAATTTGGTTATACTTGCATAAATAAGAGGTTTTTGTTTTCCAGGATCTGTCTCTAAAAGCAGCGTGGGACAACGTTGGTGAAGTTGCCCAAGGAGAACCAACCAAATACAAAGTGGAAGACCTCATTCCCAAAAAGACTTACAAGTTTAGGATACGTGCGGTTAACAAGATTGGTTCTAGTGAACCGGGACTCTTTGCCAAGCCAGTTTTGGCTAAGGATCCTTGGGGTAAGATTGATTGATAAGCGATATGACTTGCTATTTGCTTTAATTTTGATGTGAAAACTGAAATAGCTATTTAAGCTAAAAACTTAAATAAGCATGATATAAATATTCAACGAAGTCATAGCAGTTTTTGTCTATATACTTACTTAGAATCAACAATACAGGCATAGAAAACCATTTACGATATTTTACACTAATAATGTCTTTTATTAGATGAACCATCCAAACCCAAAGGCGTGGAACTCACAGACTGGGACAAAGACCATGCAGACCTCAAGTGGGAGAAACCAGACAATGATGGGGGCGCTACCATCACTGGATACCAAGTGGAATATAAGGTAAATGGTGTATCACCTAACATGACGAACAAAATCAAAGACAAATTTCTTAGCAAAACTTTCAATGAAAATGACAATTATTAGAGCAACATACAAACTGACCTTATTGTTGAATGACATTAATAAATGTAAAATCATTAATACTGTATAATTATGTATGTGCACTTACAAGTAAATACAAGAAACATTAATTAAAATAGCAGTCGCTGAATGCAAAAGAGGGAAAAAAGGAAAAATTTTGTAACCAATATAATACAATTTTAGGAGAAATTCGGCAAAGACTGGGTGAAGGGTGTGGAAGTATCTGGTGATACACTGAAAGCAACTCAGGATGGACTAAAAGAGGGATGTACCTATGAGTTCAGGGTTCGCGCCATCAACAAAGCCGGTCCTGGTGAACCTAGTGACAGCACTAAGCCTATTATCGCTAAGTGCAGATTTGGTAAGATTCTAGCAGCTAGGATATTTTTTATTACAGGAAAACTAAATATTTCTCTATTACCTTAAACTTCAACATAATAAAATATAAAACTTTATTTTTACAGTAAAACCATACATTGTTGGCGAGGGTCTTCAGAGTATGATCATCAAGAAGGGACAGGTTATCTCGTTTGACATCAAGTATGGTGGTGAACCAGAACCTGAAGTGAAATGGATGAAGGGTGAAGAGGTAATAACTTTTAATAATCATTTTAAAATAGAAAATATAATTAATGTAGACAATTGAGTTGAAAAAATTATGGTATACCTATGAAGTGACATCCTCTAAGTAGAACTACGGTTACTACAAAAGGATGAATGATTATCACGAAATTTCTACACCAAGGATGGCAAAAGGTTCGAGGTGATGAGCCAGAGATTCTATTACTACTACAGATATCTATAGATAGCTAAAGCACATTTGTGTGTATTATAGCTACGTTTTTACTGTCATTTTGTAGAGATCTAAGATTATGAAAAAGTGGCCCCAGTCTATACCCTTGTATAAGAACATTCCCAGTTTATAATTCTCCAAAATCCTTTATTAATTTAATTATTTTGTCCACCAAAAGAGACGCGGAAAGCCGTTCACGGAGAAGGTTAGATGGGTGAAAAATAAATGTTGTCATAATGTTCTAAACTGTACTCATTCTCTTTTACACTTCTATGTGGCTAACACAACACTTTTTGTACGTTTTTTTTATGTTTAACTGAATTCGGAGTGATGACTATGCTTGAAGGGATCCTTGACTCTTACATTTTCTCAAATGAACAATATCTTAATTACCTACCTAATTAAATTTTTTGTAGAAACGAGGTAACATAAATAAAATAAGTAGTAACGTAAAAATAGCAATACTAATGAATTTCAGACATAGTGTATGGCCAACTATAACGCTTAATCCAATGAGTAACATAGAATCACCTTTATATAAAACTGGAATACTTCTATAAAGAACCTAAAAGCGATCTAACTCTAAGTCATCACTTAAAACTCCCCCTTACGGCGAATTCAGTCAAACATAGGCACTTTATCGCTATGGACGCGATAAAAAGCTTTAGATGTTTAACTTTAAGATGTATTGTTACTACCGAATCATGATTAAGGTTCAAGAATTTTTATTTACAAAAATTAAAGCTTCTTATAATTTTGGTAAATTAAAATAAAATTAAATTAAACTGAAAAAAAATTAACTGTATCGTCTATAATTTCGAGTTATTTATCGGAATTCGAGGAAAGCCTCTTTATATTGGCATACAATGCAAAATAAGTAATAATGCATCTAAATGAATGGAAAAGTGAAACAAATGAGTAACGATATACTCAATCTTCAAGAATCACTCAAACTGTCAAAACTTAACAAATTATGCTCACTAAACACTCGATGTTGTGGTTTATACTTCGATGGACATTCATTTGTAATAATTAACGTGAATACATTTTCTTTATGAAGAAACAAATATTGTGAGTCGAACCTTACTACCAACCTACAAACAAACCACTTTATATGATTTTTTGTAATATTTGTATTTGGTAGCAACACAATCATAAGAAAGTTCTAGCAACCTCAGCACCAGATATTATGCGTAATTTTTGGGACACCAATGAGTCCATTAATATCTTTACACACCCCTCACTATCACGAATTACATTTCTGTTTATATTTAAATGTATTCACGTTTGATCTATGTTGTCACAACACACAATTTGTTTCCATGCTCTCATTATTAAATTATTCAGGAAATTAACGACGATGGCGAACGTATCACCATTGATAAATACGAGAGGAACACGGTTCTCACCGTAAGGAAGACCACGCGACCGGATAGTGGAAAATATAAGCTGGTGTTAACCAACTCATCTGGTACCTGCGAAAGTATTGGTGACGTCGTGGTACTTGGTGAGTATGATATTTTGGATGCGCGTACATTATCGAGTCAAAAAAGTTATGTTTTTTATAATATATCATATTATAAAAACTTTATTACCATCAAAACCCGTACAAATCTCTGGCTGAGAACGTGTACTACGTGTTTAAAGAAGCTACGAAGGTCATTCCGATCCGACGTAGCATCATAGCTGCATAGACAATATAATATTTCGAAATATCCAGTTGGAACATCTGAGCCGTGATTCGGCCTTCTTGTTAGATCGGACTTGAAACTTTGGGATTACTGCACTGAAATGCACCCAGCGTCATGTTATAACGGTTAACGCAAATTAAATATAACCTGGTTTAATTCTCGGCAAATCGAACCTTGTTTCAAGTAGGTATAATATTATTCACCTAAACTTGCCTGGATAAGCCATATTTAAACAGATAAATCAATTTATGTGACATATGCAGGGAGTTACGGCTCTTAATACTTAATAAAATATTAAGTTTATACCTACTATAGAATATAAGATACATGGACACCTGGATAATTCATATTACATTTTTTTATAGATAAACCCAACAAGCCTAACGGTCCGATCGAAGTTACGGAAATCCGCGCGGAGAAGGCGACAGTCAAATGGCAGAAACCAGACGACTGGAAGGGATCCGATATCACAGGCTACACGCTGGAGAAACTCGATATGGTGAGTGAATTAACCTGAAAATACCTTGAGAGAAAAGAGGTTGGTACCGATAAGGTCTCGTTGTATCGTGTGTCTGTTTCTGTAAGTAAAGTTTTATATACTATACAACGTGCTATTAAGATTATTATCATGCATTAGTTATTCCGTTCCCGTCTCATGATATTTTATTTTGTATTCGAACATAAGCGTAGCACGTAATAGCGCGTAGAGAATACTCCATGCGTGTGAAAGCTTTATTACGTACTAATTTTCCAGATTGTATAACATAAGTAGGTATTAAGAACCTAATTAGTAGAATAGATTCATACGATAAAAATACTATATATTTTTATGTGTATGTAAACGGCAGTGTTCACGCTCAAGAGAGTTTAATAATGTCAATAATACAATAATATTCCTACTTACAAAATTAAATTATCTCAGGATACCGGAAACTGGATCCCGTGCGGCGAGACTGGTCCAGAACCGACTCAGTTTACCGTCACAGGTCTTACCCCCAACCACAAATACAAGTTCAGAGTTCGAGCCGTCAACAAGGAGGGAGAGTCTGAACCTTTGGAGACTGATGGATTCATCGTTGCGAAGAATCCATATGGTATGTTGATTTTTAATGGTTCAATTAAAATATGTAGTATGTGTAGTCCACGTCCTCAATAAAAAAACAGGGATTAAAAGAACCGAAACTCTTTTTGTCTTTTTGTGCCTCTTTATTACTGATTTGCTGTCAGGCTCACAACTTTCGCCAACAGAAACTAGCAGTTAAATTTTAGGGTCAATGGAGAAATGTTTATCTTAACTTACGAATAAATCAACAATCAACACATTCACGAATGGTTGATATGATCAATATTCCTATATTATAATGACTGAATTGTTTTTTTTTAATTGATGTCCATTGACATACAAAAACAACTTAAATGAACAGCTGTTATTGTTTAATAAATCATTTGTTGTCTTTTGTCAGTGCTCAGTAAACCCGCGGCCAAAACCAAATTTTCATTTTTAATAGACTACTATTAGCAAGTGAAATAATGGAAGTTAGTGATCCCTCCCGCCGCCAGTTGTGTGATTTGCTCAAAAACAAAAAGTGTTATAGTGCATTATATAAATACGTTAAAAATACCGTAGGGAAGATTTAAGAAAACAAGTGGAATATTGGAATAAGAATAAATGTGAAATTAAATGAAGGAAAATAAGTGAAATTTAGTGACCGAAAATAAGACTTGCTTAAAGGTCTGTTACCAGCCATAAAATTATAAAAAAAAAAAAAAATAACCCGCGAAAATTTAGAATTTAAAAAAAATTAAGATGGCGTTACAATCGGCTGATAAATGATAACTGATTAGTGAACTTTTGAATCTATTTTAATAACTGCGAAATTTGTATTCGTTATAATCAGTACCATTCACTAATTCGCAGTGTTAAATAAATTGTTTTGATAAATGAGTCGTTTTATGCCTGCTATGTACTTAAACGTGTGTACTGAGTTAATTTTGTACTTATAAATTAGCTAAGTAATGTGATTTAGTTATTTAGGGAATTAAAATATTTAGCTTACAAGAAAAATATCGTTGAACTGTTTAACAAAACAAAAAAAATCATATTATTAAACTAAATCAAAGAATTCGATAAAGTGTCTATACGTAAAATAAAACGTTACATAAAAAGCATAATGATTTTTTCTTGTTTCAGATCCTCCAAAGGCTCCAGGAAAGCCAACTATTATTGATTATGATAATATGTCTGTGACCCTACAATGGGAGCCACCAACTGACAATGGTGGTCGCGCGGTGATGGGTTATGTGATTGAGATGAAGGACAAGTTCTCACCAGATTGGATAGAGGTATGACTTAATTGATGTTCTTATTGTTTACATACTTATATGATTCTTGGTTGTCTCTGACAAGTTTCTTAACTGTATTTTGCAATACTAGAAGCGGTATAAATATATTGTACATATTATATTGTCTTGCGATTACAGCTTAAGGTTTTATTTTCAGATACTTAATGTTCTTTTATAATATATTTATATTATATATTTAATAAAGCAATTTTATTTAAATTATAAATTTGCTCTTATCTTAATATTTTTATGACATTAGTGTAAAATAAACAGTTTTTTCAGTGGAGTTTAACAAGACAGAATAAATAGTTGTATTCTTTAATGTTTTTTTAAATAAGACAGATTAGTTATATTTATTTTTATGAAAAATGAACATTAGTTCCTATTGCCCTTAAAAAAAGGTACTTATATTTATTAATTAAAATATTATATATTATTTAATCACATTTTCTATTGATGACAATCAATAATTCAGTTTGCAATAATTTATTCAGGTTGTTAAAACAACAGACACCAAGACAGAGGCAAAGGTGGAAGGTCTTAAAGAGAAGATGATCTACCAGTTCCGAGTGAAAGCATACAATAAGGCTGGTGTTGGTGAAGCTTCTGAGCCCACCGCAAACCACCTCTGCAAGCATAGGAACTGTAAGAAATATTCTTTTTTATTTGATGCAAAAACAGAATTAGTAAGTAGGTATGATAGACATGCACCTTGGTATAATTGTTAGTTTGTTGGTGCAATTGTATGCCTATAATTTAAATACTACTGTATAAAATTATTAACCAACAGATTTATATACTATATTAATACTATAACTTTTCTTAGTAGTATTTTTTACCCACATAACTGTTAGAAACTGATATGCTCTAAAAAATTAAATATTGTTCAGTGTCATACATCTTATTTATTGTCCAACAAATTATATTAATGGGGTCTCTCCGTCTCTTAAGATATAACAACATTTTTAAGATATAGTTCTACAGTAGCAATACCAGGTTAAATTACTTGTGGAATAACACCAAATTGTTTTGGTTAAGTAATAGTTAGCATTTTTAAGTCTGCATGTAAATTTTTATTTTATTATGAATGCTTTACAGTGAAACCACGCATTGAGCGCAGCACCTTCAAGTCTGTGATAATCAAGGCTGGACGTACACACAAGTGGTCAGTGGATGTTACTGGTGAACCTCCACCAGAAAAGACCTGGTATGTAACTGCTTATGATTCTAAATTATTGAATATTTTTCACCAACTGTCTTAATTAGTGAGTGTGACCTTTGAAGGTTTAAAATATTAAATTTTCTGCTAAAAATCTATAGAAAATTTAAATTTACATTAAAGCAAGTTGATTTAAGACTTTTAAAATTGACCTTTGTCTTCCTTACAAAAAAATATTAATTTAATAAGTATATATTATGAAGAAATACAATAACCACTAAATTATAAGCCCACTATTTCTTAACTCTCTTAATTTTTTTACTATTAGTTAATACAGTTTTGACTATATTATTATTACTACGCCTTTATTGCTGACACCCAGTATTATATATATAAACACTTATTTAAGTTGAGCGCTTATTACACTACGCGATATTCAGACAGTCTTAGTAAGACTGTCTTAAAATCGAATTAGTCAAGCTCGCTATTACACTGACTGAATATCGCAAGCTAACTCATTTTACTCATTTGCAAAGCGTACGTTGTCGGTGACGGTTGTCTCGCGATGGGAAAACTTTCAAAGCACCAGAAAATCGCCATGGCTCTTGCCGGTCTATTAATTTAAATAAAGAAAAGAAACATATGGGTGAAAGAGTATTTACTTTTGCGAGAAAAATTATTATCAAAATGCAAATACTGAGTGTTTTGGAACCATGTGACTTAAGAAACTACCTTAGAGTAGGAGTTACCGAGTTTGAATGTCTATTGAAATTATTTTTTTTTTTTTTTTTTTAGACAATTCACACCAATTGACCTAGTCCCATGCTGCTGGTGAAGCTTGTTTGGGTAATAGGCAACGGATATACATACATATTATTATAGATATATAGATATAAATACATATTTAAACACCCAAGACCTAAGCACAACACCAAATGCTCATCACATCGATTTCGTCTCAGCCGGGGATCGACCCGGACCCATGGTTGCAGTCAGGGGTACTAACCACTAGACCAATGAGTTACTCCATACATTCAAGAAGATACGGTTCTTAGACAAAGTGTCAGTCCTAACAAATTGGTAGTTACTTTAAGATTCCTGGCAACGGGCAACTCCTATCAAGACCTAAGGTCATCCTGAAGGACTCTGTATCCATGGTTATGAAATAAATTATTAAAAAAATTAAAAAAAAACCTAAGGTCATCAATTATTAATAAATCAATCAATCATGCAGCCATAAATTTGGCATGTCTCGGTACAAATTGATAATATTGAAAAGTACTTTTTTTCTTGCGAACACGCCATGGTGCACGCGGCCACAGCAAACAAACATGTACGAACGTCTTTGCTCTGCGGCTGCCACGCGCTGACTGAACGGTTAAGCGTGCTAAGTCTTATTACACTACGAATTCAGCAAGTAGCAGTAAGCACCGCCGAACCCATTGGTCAGTCTAATTAGACAGGCTAACTTGCTAACTCTTATTACATTATGCTAAATCTTAGTAAGACTGTCTGAATATCGCGTAGTGTAATAAGCTCTTTACATAACCTAACTTGCCTAAAATATGAGCCGGTTTTGGTAATCTTCGTTGTTAAGTAATAAGACAAAAGTTATTAATAAATAAAAACCAATTCTGTAAACGCCATCTAGTAAAGACGTGAGTAAGAGCAATGACTATTCTTACAAAGGGACATACTACACTTCTCTAAATTAAAGTTATAGATAAGCAACCACTAGAGGGCGCTCTTTGTTAGCAAAGGAAACCTTAAACGCGGTAGTGTTTGTATCTTGGATACACTTATAAGCTTCGGGCGAAGCATCGGAAAGCATACTTACCTGGCGTAGGGGCTACCGTGATCAATAAGGCGGTTCCCCCAGAGCGAGACTCCTCCATTGCACTGCGGTTGAGTTGACCTCTGCGATTATCCCTAATGTGGATAACTCGGACGCGTAATTTTTGGTAGTGGGGACTGCGTACGCGCCGTCCCCTCATAAAAGAAGTTAGATGTTCTTATCAAATTAATATAGATTCTACTCGCTAGCTAGTAGCTACTAGCTACCTAGCACTAGTGATTAGTGATTACTTAACTTGTTAGTATTAAGTCCTTTTCAAAAAACATACTTTTCGTAAGTACGAAGTATTTCGTAATACAAAAAAGCTTGTGAAACATCTTCAGTACCTTTACACGTAACAACGATCTGAACTACGAAGAAAACAGACGCTGGAGTTCGACGTACAGTTCTAGACACGCCCTTATATGTCATATATATATTTCTTGTGTGCGTGTGTATGTGACTGAACTTCTCTCAAACGACTGACCGATTTTGATGAAATTTTTGTGTGTGTTAAGGGATCTGGGAATGGTTTAGATTCACAAATCAGCCCGGCAGATGGCACTGCAGTCGGTACTTTCATACTTTGCTTAATATCCTAATCGCTTTAAATATCATGCAGGACAACGTCTGTGGGTCCACTAGTATGGCATATATAACTGCAAATTAATGATAATATGGTAAAATTTTTGGTTTATTAAAACGCACTGAACAAAAGAATGCGTCGCACTACCCTCATGTCCTCTCTTAATATCAAACTCGTTATAAAGAAAACTGTGCTGCAGTTAGATTACCGAACACATACATAATATAACTAATCATTAGCCATTCGTTTAGACCTGGAAACCCCATGACGAAACGAAGTTTTGACTGTATCTGCGAGTATATTTAGCTTTTTTTTAGATTCTCTGCGAGTATATAAGTTTTTTTAAATAAATCAAAACTTAACGAATGTTAGAAAAAGTTAATCATTTAAGTATTTGTTTGTTCACGGCTGGTTGATCTATCGTGGACATTCATTGTTTATTGTCTTTAATACAGCCTTAAGTCTTAATCATTTATTCGCATTAACTGGGAGGGTAATTAAAAAATAAAATAATGTCTTTTTTTTTCTAGGTCTTGGCGTGAAAACATCAAACTAGTTAACACAGAACGTATTAAGATTGAGAATCAAGATTACCATACAGATTTCACAATCGTGAATGCTGTGAGACGTGACACTGGCCAATATACCTTGAGAATTGAGAACTGCAATGGTTTTGATCAAGAGACAGTTGAACTTACAGTATTGGGCAAGCCCAGCTCGCCTAAAGGTAATTTTTTTATGTAACAGGAGGTTCACCTGATGTCAGACCCGCCGCCTATGGACACTCACATTGTCAGAAGGCTCGCAAATGCGTTGTCGGCCTTTCAAGAATATACATTTATTTTGATAGCATACAAAACTTTATGACCTTGCGTCTACTAAAAGCGGTCTCCGACACTATCTGTATCTTTTCGCAGAGTGAGTTAACAGACGCGATATTGTATCTTATATATTTAATATTATATTTTTAATTTCGACATTATCGTATCGTCATAAATAAAATAATTAATACATTATATTTTTTTTATTATCTACCAGGCCCTCTCGAAGTATCAGACATCCACGCGGAAGGCTGCAAGGTTAGGTGGGAGAAACCAGAAGACGACGGTGGTTCTCCCGTCAAAGAGTATGAGTTGGAGAAAATGGATCTTGCAACAGGAAAATGGGTGCGCGTGGGCAGGTATACGGATATTTTCTTTTTATTATTCAACAATTTCAATTAACACGATTTTGTATATTATTGATAAAAAAAATACCAAAAGGCGCTTAGTCTAGAAAGTATGGTACTTGCTTGTATAAAAGAGTCAATAAAAAAGAAACAAAATGTAAAGAAATCAGATTTTTTAAAGGTATATATTACGTTCATTGGACTAGATGACCAAGTGTATGATATATTTTTTCTCTAGGGTTGCTGGTGACAAGAAGCCATTGGAAATGGAGGTGACAGGTCTAGAACCAGGTCACCAGTACAAGTTTAGAGTAACAGCTGTCAATGATGAGGGAGACTCGGAGCCTTTGGAGACTGAAAAGGCCATACTCGCTAAGAATCCGTTTGGTGAGTTTCATACTATTTTTTATTAATTTATTTAAATAGTGACTTTATATGTTTTAAATACTATTATATTATTTTTTGAATAAAATAAATCTTTAAAAAATAGTTTATTCTTCTTATATATTAAGTCTACCGTTATTTTATTATATGGATTCAAATGATTTATTCATATATATATATATAATAATCTAATATATAAAATTCTCGTGTTACAATGTTCGTTCCCATATTGCTCCGAAACGGCTCGACCGTAAAAATTTCATAAAAATGAAATTTTTATGCATATTCAGTAAGTCTGAGAATCGGATAACATCTATTTTTCATCCCCCTAAATGTTAAGGGTGGTCACAACCCTAAATTTTTATTTTATTTTTTAGACAAAACTTTTTGTTTTTATTTTATTATGCTACAAAATGCATACAACCCCTAATTTTCACCCCTCTACCATCAACCCATTTTTTAATATAGTAGACTGTTAATTTTGTTGAACTAAAATAAGGTTTCCTAGAAATAATATACATGGCAAAACAACGTTTGCGGGGTCAGCTAGTAATAATATTAACTCATATTTACCATCCAGATGTGGCCGAGAAGCCAGGCAACGTGGAGGTGGCTGATCACGATAACCAGAGTGCGGAGATCAAATGGGAGCCTCCCAAGAATGACGGAGGCGCGCCCATTCAGAAGTATATCATACAAAAGAGGCCCAAGGGCGGAGACTGGGAGAACGCTGCTGAGGTATGTTTCATTTTTATTCACTACATTGCATTAAGAACTTGGTGAAAGCTCACCGATGTCCAGATTGAGCATTCTGATATACAAGCTGGGTCTGGATATCCATTATTATGTTTAGTTCTTATAATTAATTTGTTTTATTATATCTGCGTGTTTGCATATAAGTGCTTGTCACTTTAAAAATTGTATATTGTGATTCTTTTATTACCGTATCAGTGTGCCGCGCGTTGGCAAGCTTTTATCAATAAAAGAAAATAAAATTAGGAGTACCAATCACATCAGGTAAAGCGATGTGTTCCAGGCAACCCTAGTAAGAAAAAAAAAGTAAAAGGAATTTAATTTAAAGATGTTTAATTTTTTCTTGAAATACTTTGTTACTTTCTGAGATTGGTGAGAGAGAGTATAAAACAAAAGTCAAAGCTATGACCCATTTCATCATCGTCTCATTCATCGTTTCATCGTCTGTAATTGCGCTTAAATTCTATCTATACAAAGAGCCTAGTTTAAAAAGTATTTAGTCGTTTATATGAACTTTTATAAATATTTATTACAAATTTTAATATATAAAAGTATATGTCTATTGCTTATCTTCCTATTAATTTGTTTTTAAATGCTTGATAAATATTACTATGAATAATAGTAAAATTATAATCCCGTAGGTTCCTGGTAGCGCAACAAGTGGCAAAGTCGATGGCTTACCTGAAGGAAGCGAGTACGAGTTCCGCGTGATCGCAGTTAACAAGGCAGGACCATCGGAGGCCTCTGAACCCACCAAGATGACGACCATAAGACATAAAGCATGTATGTATTATTAGCTTGTCTATGAATTTATTTAATTGCTTAAATCAATTATTCATAAAGATACAAAAATATGTTTTATATACGAAGGGTAATCCAAAAGTAATGATAATAATCAATATGAAATAAGGATATTATAACTAAAAAAAAATATATTTCTCTACATAGTCTCCTAGCAAGTCAATACATTTAGTCCATCTTTTTTCTAAACCCATTATTCCCATTGAAAAAAATTCTTTGTCTTGACCCTCGAAAAACACCTCTACAGCAGTCATCACCTCGCTATCGTCGTCAAATTTTTTGCCTCGGAGGTATTCCTTGAGCCGAGGAAAAAGGCAAAAGTCACTGGGAGCCAGGTCTGGCGAATAGGGTGGGTGTTCGAGCAATTCGAATCCCGTTTCTTGAATGGCAGCCATCGCAACGGCGGCTTTGTGAGACGGTGCGTTGTCTTGGTGAAACAACACTCGAGCTCTGAGTTTGCCTCGTCTTTTTTGTTTGATGGCCTCCCGCAATCTTCTTATTTGGTCTGCGTAGTAAGAGCCGGTTATAGTGGCTCCTTATTCCAAGTATTCCACCATTATAATTCCTTCGGCGTCCCAAAAACGGACGCCATAACCTTTCCTGCCGAACTTGACACCTTGAATTTCTTCGGCGTCGGGGAAGAGGCTCGTTTCCAAGTCATTGACTGTTGTTTAGTTTCCGGATCAAAATGATGGATCCAGGTCTCATCCATGGTCACGAAACGATATAAAAAATTTTCCTGATCCGTCTGGAACTTTTCGAGATTCGCCCTCGAAATGTCTACTCGGGTTTTCTTTTGCTCGTCGGTTAACATTCTCGGCACCCAACGCGCAGAGACCTTTTTCATATGCAGCTCTTTTGCAAAGATTCTTTGAACACTGCGATATGAGATCCCTGTGACCTCAGCTACATGCCTTATGGTCACTCTTCGATCTGCCAATACGACATCTTCGACTTTTGTAACGTTTTCCGCATTGAGGGACGTGGATGGGCGTCCCTCGCGATGTTTATCTTCTGTGGATGCTTCTACCCAGCTTGAACTCATTTGCCCAACGCGCAACTGTGGAATATGGAGGAGCAGAGTCCCCCAATGTTTCCACTAGGTCACTGTGTATGACTTTGGTAGAAATTTATTTCAAACAGATGTACTTTATGACAGCTCTGATTTAGATTTTCTCCATTTTGATGTTTACTTTCCGTCTGTTCGTATTCAAATGAACGTACCTCCCGGAAATCGTGGCCTATGTGTTTTGTAATGCTGAACTAGTGGATATTTGAGGAAGCTTAAACAATTTTTTTCATATTTTATAATCTCTACAAATAACCGATTATCATTACTTTTGGATCACCCCTCGTATATTTTATAAATTTGCAATTTGCATTTTTATAAAATTGTTTCGCTCTTTTCTTGAAGGACCCTAAGTGCAATTGGTTCGGAAATACTTCAGTTATACTCACAAGATTTCCACACACTACTCAACCAATAAATGATTAGTAAATTTTCTTTGTTAGTGCATAATATATTTATTTATTTATTTATTTACACTTCGTTGCTAATAATATAAGAAACACAATACATAAAAATTATAAGGGATGCAACGGGCGGCCTTATCGCTAATAAGCGATCTCTTCCAGGCAACCCTAGTTAAGAGAAAAACTAAAAAAAAAAGACACATGATGCGTGTTACAACGTGTTGTAACGGTTTACATCTAATATACGTGGTATATTAGATGTAAACCGTTTTGGTTATATTTTTTAATGAAATAAATAATAAAATATTTATGCCTCGAAAATTATTATTAGTTATATGGTTGAGCAGGACTTAATTACTGAAAAGATAATGATGATGTTTTCAATGGAGTGCAAATCACAAGATTTGTTAATATCAACTTATATTTTTCTAGAGTGATGATGATTTATATAATATTTCAGTGAAACCACGCATCGACCGAACCAACTTGAAGGCAGTTGCGGTGCGCGCAGGCAAACCGATATTCTTCGACGTCAACGTCAGAGGAGAACCCGCACCCAAGGTGCAGTGGTTCCAGAAGTGGAAGGACGTCGAGAAAGAGGTCAGTTCTTCAATAATCAGCTGATGGTGTACGTCCAAGCTATTTCTAAAAATTCTACGTATTTGTTTGAGATTAGCACATAGGATAGTTCCTGTGGGTCTTCTATTCACAAAGACACAGGCAATATAATGAAAATGTTGTATACATTTTAGCTTTTAGCTGATTGATATTAAAATAAATATTTTTAGTCATAATTAACACGAATGACATTCACAGGTGACAGAAAACGTTATCAACGTGGACTACAACACGAAACTGGACATCAAGGATTCGGTCCGTGCTATGACCGGAACATACCGCATTCTAGCGACAAACGAACACGGAAAGGATGAGGCTGAAGTGGAAATCACTGTCCTCTCTTCACCGAGCAAACCTGGCGGTCCACTCAAGGTCACGGATGTTACGAAGAATGGCTGCAAGTTGGCCTGGAAGAAGCCGGAAGATGATGGCGGTAAGTAAAAACAGCTTTTGATTTTGGTTCTTGGAATATTATCTATTTTGTACGGCAATCAATAGTAAAATACCTGAAGATTCTTCAGATTTGCTATAGTAAAGTATTTTGTTTAAAATCATACTACGCTATTCCTAATCAGTGTATCATATTGGGGAAATAATTAAACCATTCTATAGATACTTAATAAAATATAAATGACTAATAATGGACAATCTTGACTTTGAAATTATGTTTTTAAATAATAAGAAATACAGCTCTGTTGTTCAGTAAACATAAGCATAACATTTATTATTAACGAAACATACACACAGAAACACACAAAATAATATTTATAATAAAAAACCTTATTCCTTAAAAAAATAAGAGGTTTTAAGGATGTGTGTAATGTGTGTGTGTGTTGAGGTTGTAACTGGCCCTGGCTCTGCATTATGCTGTGGAGCAGACGTAACAATAACAAGGTAGCTTCAGATAGCTATAATGTTATATTGTTACAATTTAGGTTTCTTAGATTATTTCAGCCAGTTTAGTTTTAACACTACCATTATTTTTTATTTACAGGTAAACCCGTCACAGGTTACGTAGTAGAGAAATTGAACAAAGCGACTGGCCGTTGGGTTCCAGTTGGAAAGACCGATGATACAGAGATGGAAATTAAGGGATTACAGGAAGGAGAAGAATATGAGTTCAGGGTTAAGGCTGTCAATGACGAAGGAGAGTCGGAACCGCTTAAGACTGACCACTCTATCGTTGCTAAGAATCCTTATGGTAAGTTGTAATATATATGTCCGCTACTCAACGTATACGTGTACGCTGATTAACGTACACACGCGTTAATCTTTTTAACGAAATAGCTCAGTTTTGCGTCGTTAATATCAATAAAAACAAATCTTATGGCTGAACTCTATATGTTGTAATGAGTTATATTGTTTATTCCCAGATATCCCTGGTAAGCCATCTGTACCAACTATCGAAGACTGGGACGTGGATCGCGTTGACCTGAAATGGGAAGCTCCCAAAAACAATGGAGGCGCTCCCATCACTGGCTACGTTATTGAGAAGAAGGACAAGTTTGGAACATGGCAGGAAGCTCTGGTCACAACTGTAAGTGTTATTTGATTTTCACAAGAAACTTTCTTTTGCAAACTAGAGAACTGTGTAAGGTAAGACCTCTAATTGTTTAAAGAAAGAGTATACATCACCCTCAAAGGCTGGCAACGCATCTACTATTTTAGTAAAAAAAGTATTTATGAACTAAACAAATATCATAGTTGGATGATGTTTATTTTTAAATCCATATCCTTAAGGTGATAATAAAATACCAAACCATCTTCTATAATTATTAAGAAAGCTGCGTTTTTTAACAAAACACAAATACGATACATAATTATTTTTATTCAAATAATAAAATCCTTTTAAATATTTATCCAGACGCCAGAGTGCAAAGCTCGTGTACCCGAACTAAAAGAAGGCAACACATACCAATTCCGAGTAAGAGCGGTGAACAAGGCGGGTCCGGGTGAACCGGGCGAACCCACGCAACCGCATCTCGCTAAGGCTAGGTTCTGTAAGTACCTCCATTCTTTTATAATTATAAAAAACGTTTGGTTTTTAATAATGTTTATACGTTGGATAACTGTAGGTTGGAGGTGGTGTTTATTCAATTTAATTTGTTTTTTTTAATAGTGAAACCGCTCATCAACCGCGACAAGATGGTGGCGATTCGTGTTCGCGCTGGTACCACTATCAAGTTGGATGTTGACATCAAGGGTGAACCTCCACCGACCAAGACTTGGAAGTTTGCCAACAAGGTACGTTAATATAGGAACTATGGCCGATAATCCGATTTTCCGGACATCCCAACTAAAATAATTTTTATTGAAGTACTTTGAGAAAAAATGGTTTGCTATTTATTTATTTATTTAGGAAAAAAAAAACATATACAATATACATGTCTATAAAATAAGTAAAACATAAAATTAACACACTAGATATATCAAACATATTAGTAGATAAACTTATTCAGGAGAGGAATCTGTATTAAACTTTTGCATCCAAACTGTTTTAGGTCATCGAGACCGGTCCAGGTGTAAAACTGGAGAATGAGGACTACAACACCAAACTGCAGATATCCGAGTCCTCGTGGAAGAACACTGGCATATACACCCTGAAAGCGGAGAACGATTCTGGAGTGGACGAGGCGACTGTTGAGATTACTGTACTTGGTAAGTTATGTGTGGAAAATACATTTAGATGACAGAGCCATCTATTGGTTCAATTATGAACTATTATTAATTGTTATTATAGATTGATAGTATATTTATACATTAGTATGCAATATGAAGAAATTTATTAAAGAAATCTGTGTAAAAAGGCTTACAATAAAGTTAACGATTATCTACATGATAAAAGGGCCTGGGACTAGTGCTAGACAGGCTACTTCTAATTAATTTGCGATATTTGTTTGATTATTTGCTATTTTAAAAGAGTACCGAGAGTTTTTTACGCCGGCTTTTTCTCTCGGCCTACACCCTCTGTCTTCTTTGCCGACGAGTAGGGATGCCTACAGATTCAAATTTAATGACGTGGAATACGTGATACATTTATCTTATGTTCCATAATAAACATATTTTATTTTATTTTTCATGAAAGTTTTTCTTGGAAATTATAGAAAGGAGAGCCAGGTAGAACTTGAATTTTCTTAATTAACTTTCTGCTAAAAAGCAACTGAAATATCTTTATCGTAATAAAAAATTAAAGAGTCCTTCCTGAAAGAAATCCCAGACTTTTTTGTATTAACAATTTGTTATATCTCCTAACCACAGACAAGCCAGGTAAACCCGAAGGCCCGCTGGAAGTGTCCGACGTGCACGCGGAACACGCGAAGCTGTCTTGGAAGAAACCCAAGCACACGGGAGGATTGCCTCTCAGCGCCTTCATCGTTGAGAAGATGGACACGCTCACTGGCAAATGGTCACCCGCTGGTACCATTGACCCGGACGTTACTGAGGCTACAGTTACAGGTTGGTGAAGTAGAAGATCATACATGATCATAGATGGATCTTCCGCTGCACTAGACATTTTATTTTGCAACAAACTATGGAATCGACCCGTGGGAGACTTCCCTGGTAGATACGACCTCCAATTGTTAAAAAAACTCCTCCCTCAAAGGCCGGAAACGCACCCGAAACATGAAAGTGTTTCAAATATTTGATTATTGTAAGCTTAAAATTCAGAATTTAGATAATTTTGTTGCTTATACACCCTTATTTATAAATTAGTCCAATTGCACTGTTATGTCTCTTTTCATGTCAGCGTAAAGACCATTTGACAGAAAGAGACGATGGTGTAATTTACTTAAAAGAGTGCAATAATGTATAATATTTTTTTTTTAAATAATTATGTATACTTAAACTATCGCGCCCAAACGTGTCTGCTGGGTGTGCTTCTCGACCTACACAATTATAATTTCTAGGCCTCGAACCGGGACACACCTACCAATTCCGCGTGAAGGCCCTCAACGAGGAAGGAGAGTCCGAGCCATTAGAGACGGACCACGGCATTCTCGCGAAGAACCCGTACGATGTCCCATGTCCCCCTGGACTTCCGGATATCGTGGATTGGGACGAAAAATCTGTGAAATTGAAGTGGGAGCCCCCGATACGGGACAATGGAGCACCAATTACTGGATATATCATTGAAGCAATGGACAAAGACCGTGGAGAGTTTGTCAAGGTAAGTTTTTATGACTATGCTTTTAATTATCGGTACTGAATAATTTATGGAAATTTATATTAGCCATTTTTCCCTAAATAATTTAATATATCGTAGATAGGCATTTCCGTTTTACTTCGATGTTCGTTGTTCCATAACTGAACGTTTTAAGGCAGTTTATGCCGCGCACCGCTACTGTGTGGAACCAGCCGCCCACTAAAGTATTTCTGAACCCATTCGACTTAGGGTCCATCAAGAAAAGAGCGTACCAATTCTTAAAAGGCCGGCGACGCACTTGCGAGCCTTCTGGCAATGTCATGGACAGGTGGCGGTATCACTTAACATCAGATGAGCCTCCTGCCCGTTTGCTCTGTTACATAAAAAGAATAAGGATAATGCTAATAATATTTTAAAGTAATAATAAATCTGATATTTACTTTTACTTTTAAATAAAAATGTTAATTTATTGTATTATAGATGGCAGAAGTCCAAGGCAACATCTGCCAAGGAACAGTACCAAAACTGGAAGAAGGGCAACCAGTACCAGTTCCGTGTACGAGCTGTCAATAAGGCTGGAAAATCCGAGCCTTCGGAGAACACCAACTGGCATACTGCTAAGCCAAGATTCTGTAAGTTCATTCTAAACAAATATAGCATTTTAGCCATGAAAATGTTTGTTTTTAATGTTCTGCTGGCACTTCAATGCAATATAAAAATGTCCTTGTCCTTTATGGGTGTCCCGTCGGCACATTTGCATCTAATAAAAAAAAGTACTAGTTTTAGCAAAACTGAGGCAAATATAATTTTATAAAGTTCTACTGACTATAAGACTTAAGTTATATTTATTTCACATTAAATAAAAGACATTGTTGGCACTATTTCTCAACTCTGAATCTTACCCTTAGCTCTCTATTCGAGACAGGTTGCTTAGTTCATGACAATTTTAAAGACCAAAGGAACCTGAAAGTAATAGATACAATCCCTTATCATTATCATAGTTTTGTTTTTGTCTTTTAAAGTGTTTCAAATATACGATTTTGTTAGCTTACAATTCAGAATTTAGATAAATTAGTCCAATTGCACTATGTCTCTTTTCATCACAATGTAAAGACAATTTGACAGAAAGAGACGAACGTCTACATTACTTAAAAAAGTGCAATATATGATCAAAATTTCTAGTATTATAGGATTACGTAAATGTGAAAATCCGTTAAAATATTTATAATTTTTTTTAAATGTTTTAATAGCGCTAATAATAACTGTATTAAGCATTACATAATGTGTTTACAATATTTATTTGGGTATTGCTAATTCACAGTGAAGCCACGCATCGACCGCACAAACCTGAACCCGATCACGGTGAAGGCTGGTCTTCCTGTCTCCTTGGACGTGAAGGTGTTCGGCGAGCCTCCGGCCACCGTCACTTGGCACTTCAACGGCCAGGAACTCGCCAACCGGGAGAACCTGGAGATCATCAACGTGGATTATAACACCAAGTTCTTGATGATGAAGAGCAAACGCGCCAACAGCGGCAAATACGTAATTAAGGCGAAGAATGAAGTCGGCGAAGACGAGGCTGAAGTGGAGATTATTGTTGTTGGTTAGTTTGGTTCATCATTATAGTCTATACTTTATGTCATCAGATTTCACTCATATAGAAAACGGTAGTTGTCTTTTATTGGGTACTGCGTATATTTAACAGATTTTTGGGGGCAAAAATTTTTTTTTCTATTATGACTGACAAACTAAATATTCGATTACGATAAAAATATTTTGCAAGTTTTTGTGTAATTATTAAATGTCAAATTTTTTAGGCAAGCCATCCAAACCCAAGGGCCCCTTGGACGTGGCAGACGTGACAAAGAACGGATGTACACTGACCTGGCAGAAGCCGGAAGACGATGGTGGATCACCCATCGAATACTATGAGATTGAAAAACTCGATCCACTCACTGGTAAGCAATAATTGTTTAACAATATTACTGTGCTTATATGACTGCATCATTAAGGAATGAAAAATATTATTTGTTTTCTCATCTTTTTGACAGTTTTAATTGAAAATAGGTTTAATTCTCATAAAAAAATAAAAAAATAAATATATTACGCCACCGTTGTAAGCTGTCATTGCATTATTCAAAAGCTTGTCGATATTTTGTTTTACATTAAAATTAATTTGATTGACTAAGGTCAAAAGTTTTGATGGTGATTACAATATTTATCAGTTTTATCGTGTCTATTCACAGTGTTTGATTACATTTAATAAGGAATAATATCTTTTAAAACGTGTGTGATTTGTGTAACATATTTTTTTAAAAATAATATTAAATTTGTTTTTACTAATAATTTCACTTTTTTTTAGGTCAATGGCTCCCATGCGGCACAGCAAAGGACTGCAAAGCAAACGTAACAGGCTTACAAGAAGGCAAGCCTTACAAGTTCAGAGTAAAGGCTGTTAACAAGGAAGGAGAGTCAGAAGAATTAGAGACTGAGAAGACCATCATAGCTAAGAATCCATTTGGTTAGTTTGATTTTTATTTGATTCATTTGTGTCTTAGATTTAACTTTTTAGCCTAAGTCTTTTAGTTAATGTTCTAATAATATCGTCACTATATACTATATAATTTTATGGACTATACATAACTGAAAATATATTTATTTATTTTCCTCATTTCCTATTTTTACAGTAACTTAATATTAATACTAAAAACAATATAGACAAAACCAGTAATAAACCTTTTCATGATTAATTATAAATAATGCAATTCTTGTGAATTGAGCCAATGTATAACATATATCCATCTCACAAGTAACAATATATAGGGTGCGCAAGACACGCGTAATAATCACTAACCTATAGAAGTATGCCTTTTAAGCAAATTTTTACGAATGAAAATTGAATATTAATAAAATATCAGATGAACCCGGCAAGCCTGGTAGACCCGAGCCACGCAACTGGGACAAGGACTTCGTTGACTTGGAATGGTCGGCGCCGAAGGATGACGGTGGGGCTCCCATCACTGGATATATCATACAGAAGAAGGAGAAGGGCAGCAGGTATATATTATTGATAAGTCCCGACTATTTCCCGAAGGGTCTTCAAATATCTCCCTCGCTTTATTCACCCTCATAATATACACGCTTTGTGACTCTCATACCTGAGGTCGTTCGATCCCCGGCCGTGCACCAATGGACTTTCTTTCTATGTGCGCATTTAACATTCGCTCGAACGGTGAAGGAAAACATCGTGAGGAAACCGACATGTCTTAGACCCAAAAAGTTGACGGCGTGTGTCAGGCACTGGAGGCTGATCACCTACTTGCCTATTAGATTTAAAAAAATGATTATGAAACATACAGAAATCTGATGCCAAGACCGAAATGTTGTAGCACCACTGATGCCAAGACCGAAATGTTGTAGCACCACTGATTTATTATTTATTTTTAATATACACGCTTGTCGATTATCTGTTGTTCAAGTATCATCTGCATCTCAACCAGAATCGTACGAGCAGGTCTACTAGCCCTACCCTAATCATTATCTTTGTTTTATTTTCCAGAACATGGCAAGACTGTCTCCGTACAACTGGCGATCGTCCAACGGGCCGTGTGACTGACGTGGAAGAAGGACACGAATACCAATTCCGGATTATCGCTCAGAACAAGGCTGGCCCCGGAGAACCTTCCGAACCCAGCAAGTCCGTTATTGCTAAGCCGAGATTCTGTAAGTATTTTATTATTTATGTTTACCAAAATTGTCGTATATTTTAGATAAGATAGCTTGTAGATATAGTACTATGTATGATGTGGTAAATTAACTTCAGATAAAACTGGTCCTCCCCCCGAGAAGAACCAAACCCCGAAACCCAGCCGTCGGTGGGATTTTTCCCCACGCCCCCCCACCACCAGCGAGTAGGAGAAAGGTCATTGACGATCGGGCCGGTTGTATACAAATTACTAAATGGTCAAATACAGAACTAACTCTTAAGTCGCTCCTTTACCCATTCCCAAGGTTTAAAATTAGCAGAGTTTTCCAAATTTCTTCTGACACATACGGAGTTTCACTGATTCTTCGTTAATTATATTTAATAGACTTATCGGGGGGGGGGGAAAAAAAAAAGGGGGGGGGGGGGCCTATCTTAAAAAACCCCTCTTTGGGGGAAAAATTTCTTCTCCTTTTTACTTAATAAGCAACTATTAGGAGTATTTTATTTTATTTGTAACATGTACAAATTGTTTATTTTAGTTATAATATATTAAAAAGTACAGTTATGACTGACTATAAAAGGGCTAGGACTGATTATTATATTAAGACTACATGTTTAATTAATGAAGTTAATCGCTAATTGACTAATGTGTATTAATGTGTATGGTTTCTGAACAGTGGCTCCACGCATCGACCGCAAGAACCTTCAGAAACGCAAGGTCAAGGTGGGTCAGACTCTGAAGTTTGAGGCTGACGTGAAAGGCGAACCTGAACCCACGATCACTTGGACGCTCAATGAGAAACCCCTCAAAGTCGAGGAGCGTCTCAAGATTGAGAATCAAGATTACCACACCTCGTTCACCCTGCAGAAGGTGACGAGAGCTGACGGTGGAAAGTATGTGGTGACAGCCAAGAATGACACGGGAGTGGACAGTGTGGAGATTGAAGTTATGGTCGTCAGCAAACCGGCTAAGCCTAAGGGACCTCTGAAGGTTTGTTGGACTTTTAACTCTTTTAATACTTCTAAGGAGACATTAGGTTTAGTTTAATCTGCATAATAATACTAATTTAGTGTTTATGAACGGCTAACATTACAACACACACACACACAGAACCTCATTTCCGAGGTCGTGGGTTTGACCAGTTGTGCACCAATGGAATTTTTTTTATGTGTTCATTTAACGCTCGTTCGGTGAAGGAAAACCTTGTGAGGAAATCGACCTTGAGACACAAAAAGTTTATTAGAAAAAAAATAAGACCGATAATTGAAAGTTTTTTTTGTTGATAATTTTTGTCATATTATCAATTCACCGCAATGACTATCCGTATATTGAAGTACATAGTTATGTTTAATAACTATATGTGATCTCCTCAGGTCTCTGACGTGAAGGCAGACGGATGCAAGCTCCAATGGGAGGCTCCCGAAGACGATGGAGGCGAACCAATCGAAAGCTACGTCGTGGAACGCATGGACACGGAAACCGGACGCTGGGTGCCCGTTTGTACCACGAAGACGCCAGAAGCTGACGTCACAGGGTTGAACGAGGGCAAGGACTATCTGTTCCGAGTGAAGGCGGTCAATCCGGAGGGTGAGAGTGAGCCATTGGTCACTGAGACCGCGACCACGGCTAAGAATCCTTATGGTAAGTTTTTCTTGCTTCTTTATCTCCTTTTAATTCGTTTTTAAGTATGTTAGGTGCTATAAAACAAATTCAGTAAAATTAATAATGATTGAATCATATTAGTAACTATGTACACTTATTATTATTATATTTAATAGAAAACAAATTAAGAATATTAAAGAATTACGTTTCACCTTTGACGAAAATTTCGTATATAATTCGTTCTGTATTAGGTTGTATTTTAATTGTTAGACATTAAAAAAATATATTCATTAATAATAGAATTTTATTTTTGTGCTGACGTTCTGGAAAAGGAAGGTACATATATTATGAATAATATTTCAAATCGTATTGTCTTAATAATTTGCGGTAATATTAAATTATATTGCATTTCAATATTTATTTTAAATTTCTCATTGAATTATAAAAAAGGACATAAAATACTTCATTATATCTTGTTTACTATGTTTTATTTTGAGTTTTAACTAATTTAAAAAATAATGTACAGGCGAGCCAGATGCGCCAGGCAAACCAGAGTTCAAGGACTGGAGCGCGAACCACGTAGACCTGAAGTGGGAGAAGCCAGCAAGCGATGGTGGGGCTCCCATCACCGCTTACATCGTAGAGAAGAAGGACCGGGATACTGGCAAATGGGTTAAAGCTGTCGAGGTGAGGGTTATTCATTCAATGTAAATAAAAAATATCGTTTTAAAAGGCGTAAATTAATAGTCAAAACAAAAATGTTTTGCATAGTTTTATAATTTCCAATCGTAATTTTTTTGTAAACGGGCTCGCTAAGTCGGATATACCGAGATATTCAAAATAAAGTCGATATGTACTCTTATATAAAAAAAAATACTTTTTTAAATAATCTCTTTATTGATAACTGATTATATTCGTTTAAGAATACTATTTATAATTATATTGCCACGTATTGCGTATCCCCGACTATCATCCTCTGAAGTGTTTCCGAACCAATTCGACTTAGGGTCCTTCAAGAAAGTAGCGTACCAAAAACGCCGGCAACGCACTCGCGAGCCCTCTGGCAATGGGCGGTATCACTTAGCATCATATGAGTTTCATCTGATGTTAAGTGAACGTTTGCCCCCTGTTCTATAAAAAAAACAATCTTGTCTATACGAGTTCTCTCTACCAGTCGCAAGACGTAGAGTCGAGCGTACTGAAATCGTAGTTTGGACTATCATTACTTTAGATATTAATAAAAAATTGTTATAGGTGCCTGGCACCAAGACTGAAGCCCGAGTGCCGGATCTGATTGAGGGCAAGACTTATCAGTTCCGAGTGAAGGCTGTGAACAAGGCTGGTCCTGGAAAGCCTTCCACCGCCACTGACAACTTACTGGCTAAGGACAGATTTGGTGAGTTATCAAAAGATTAATAAAAATTTCCTAGTTTGGTATTTCCAAATGTATTCAGGAAGTAAAAAAAATATGGAAATATAACTTTTAATTAAATAGTGTTCTTTGCTTGTTTTCTCGGTTATTGTACTGAAACTGAATATATTATACACGTCCTTATATCTGTTCTTCAAGGCTTAAATGGGTCAAAAGTTCCTACACTTATTTTAAAAACTTTGTAACTTGTACAAACATCAGATTATCTTATAATTGTTGTCTTGTAGCCCCACCACGTATCGACCGCACAAACATGCGTGATCTGACGCTGAAGGCTGGGCAGAACATCAGGCTGGACGTCAAGGTCACTGGCGAACCTGCTCCTACAAAGACTTGGTAAGTGACACGACATGTTATCTTGTGTAGGTATAGTACCATGTCGATATATCCTCTAATACTTATTATAGAGATATTTTTTTAAATAAATTTAAAAATGAGTAATCATAACAATCAAATATACAGTATTTACAATTTTTTAATAGTAACATTCATAGTAACAATAAAAATAATTAAAAATTAATAAAAAGAAAATTAAAACTATTTAAAACGTTTGGTCCCTGTGGCAGTGTACCTTTAACGCTGGCAGCATTACCTCGCTGTATTGCGATACTTATTCGTTGAGCGAGGAAAGCACCATCTTTAATTAGCGCCTGTGCACTTGAACCACGGCCCAAGAGTCTGTACTCCAAAGGGAACATATTCGAATTAAGAGGAAAGACTTATATATAAGCCGTTTATTATAAAAATAGATAAATAATTATTACATTATCACAATGCGGCACATTTTGATAATTTTATAAATCTAACATTTTTGTTCATAGGATTTATGACACTTCAAAAACCTCTGTTTCCCTATCTATATCTCTTGTAATTTTTTTATTCAAGCGAGTACCTTATCTGCCCTTCCAAGTAACTATTATTTCTACTTAAGTTTACTGTTAATAGGATTGCGATTTCTGATTGTCAGTATATAAATGTGATTTTTATAGGTTCCACAACAAAGAGCGTCTATCAACACGTGACGATCTCACGGTGGACGTGGAAGACTACAGAACCAAGTTATCGGTGATCATCGCGTCTCGCAAGCACAGCGGCACGTACGTGCTGAAGGCTGAGAACAGCAGCGGAAAGGACGAGGCCTCCATACAAGTCATCGTATTGGATGTGCCTGCTAAACCCGAAGGACCACTTAAGGTGAGCAAGCTTATATGTTATGTCGGTGTTTTGCTTTTGTGATATATATAATAATAAATTTTGTAGTTTTACTGTGAAATATTTCAATTGTGATTGAGATAAAGTTATATGGATTCTTTATCCTTGCTGAGATATGAATAAAAGGATAAGTTCCAAGCATTTGTTGCATGTAGAATGTTTTTCATAAAAGAAATTGTGACAAAAGTGACAAAATTTATCTATCGCTAGTCCCAGTTGGGAGTCCCTGTGTTGTGGGTTACTAGAATTCAATTAATCAGTGGAACATGGTGAATGTTTAAAACAGTTTTTTTGAGAAAATAGAGTCTTAGTGTTACATCAAATCAAACAAAAATCGTGTAAGTCTGTAAGTATGCGTGAATGTATGAGTATGCGAATGAGTGTGTGTGTACATACACTCTGTATTTGAGAGTGTGGCTGAAAGTTGTTGCGTGCGCTGTGTCTGTCTTCGTTTATGGTACCCCAGAGTCAGGCCAAATTAGTCGTAAGGCATCTGCAGAAAGAATCAAAATCCAATTTGGCATAATTTTTATGTGTTTTATATTATAAGGTTATAACTGGATTTATCATCAAAAGCAGTGAATTTGGACAAATAACTTTTAAAAGCATATATTTGAGAAACTTAACCAGTTATTTCTTTACTTACAAATATCTTTTTCTATTTCCAGATTTCGGACGTACACAAAGAAGGATGTACGCTCAAATGGAACGCCCCGTTGGACGACGGTGGAGCTCCGATCGATCACTATTTAGTCGAGAAGCTCGATACAGAAACCGGTAGATGGCTACCAGCCCTCAAGACCAAGGAACCCAAGGCTGAAGTTGAGAACCTGGTTCCAGGACACGAATACAAGTTCAGAGTTTCTGCTGTCAATAATGAAGGCGTTTCAGAACCATTGGAAGCAGACCACTCCATCATTGCGAAGAATCCGTTCGGTGAGTAAATTCGATTTCTCTTCTTCGAGAGAAGTTAAATAACTTTTTATTCGTAACACAACTTTCAATGAGATTCATGCACTTAAAAATAATGCCGTTTCCAGATGAGCCCGGCAAGCCCGGAACACCGGAAGTGGTCGACTGGGACAAAGATCATGTTGATCTCAAATGGCAGAAGCCTCTTAAAGATGGAGGAGCACCCATCACTGGGTACATTATTGAGAAACGGGAAGTTGGATCGCCCAAATGGGTCAAGGCTTGTGAGGTAAGTCTTCATTAATTTAAAGGTGAAAACGGAAGAGATACACACAAATACTCGTCTTAATGTAGAATCTAGCGATTTACGCTCGGGTTCTACTAGATACGATTTTTTTTCTCTTTCACCAATTTGTTTCTTTTAAATAATAATAAAATTATTTATTGCAAGAATATGGTACAAAAATGTGTAAGGTGGTACAATCGTAAGTTTGCATATTCTGCCACACACAATGGCGCGCAAATTTGTATTTAAAGGAATTTTACATTATTAGTCATATGAATTGGTCAATTCTTATAATATTTGTATCGTACATATCATATCATATGTTATCTGATTTGCTATTATAAAAGAGTACCGAGAGTTTTTTACGCCGGCTTTTTCTCTCGGCCTACACCCTCTGTCTTCTTTGCCGATGAGTAGGGATGCCTACAGATTCAAGTTTAATGACGTGGAATAAGTGATACCTGTATCTTATGTTCCATAATAAACATATTTTATTTTTTTATTTTATTTATCAAATTTATATCAACTACAGTGTCTCACGCGAATAATCATTTATTGAATAATACAATTTTTCCAAAAGAAATACACCCAAGTCGATTCGAGAGTCTATTGGTAAATTATTGTAAACCGTGATTGCCATACAAAAGGTGTTTTTCCTAAATAGAGTAAGCTCTTATTAGATAACTTTAAAGAGAGTACTGTACTGTAATTGTCAGCACTATTTTACTTTTAAAATATAACAGCATGTTTATTTTCAGTGCTTTATAAGAAATTAATAAAATATTAGTTCTTGGTATAAGTCACCTTACTTAATAAGATCTAAATATATAGGTATATTACATACGTCACAAAAAATGCAAATGAAAATATAAACTTAAAGTATGTCCTTAAATTTAAAATGTCTAGTTTTGTGTAAACGATAACGAAAATTAGTAATGACATATTTGCTTATCAATTTCATATCCAGTTATAATAAAAAAATATATTTTATTTTCGTTTGTTCGGTCCATTACCCTGTTTTACCAAATCTGACATTCCTAGGTCGGTCCAAACGACAACGAAAAAGCGACAGTGGGTAACTTGGACGAAGGCACCGAATACGAGTTCAGGGTGCGAGCTATTAACGAGGCTGGTCCAGGTGAACCTAGCGATGCCAGCAAATCTGTCACCTGCAAACCTAGGAGATGTGAGTAAATTATATTTATATATGATTTATGATTATAATTATATATGATTCTCCAATCGGTTTTATGGGATGTTGAAATCTTTTCTAATATTAATATTAAGTGTATATACATTTATATCAAATATCAATAAAATTAAATATCTGTATTCATTAAAAAAGTTAGTTAGTCTAATTGCAATTTTAACTAAAGTACTCTTTCCTCTCTTTCCGTTAAACTTAAGTTACGCTGTGATAAATAGATACTTTAATCAAAACAGTACAATCGGACTAATTTATTTTTTTATGATAATAAAAATATTTGAGTCTCGTAATTTCAAAAATATAAACATATACCTATTAACTTTGTTAGGGAAGAGCTGGGAACGATTTTTATTAGTGAAAGCGATATTTTAAAATATTTAATTATTTCGACAGTGGCACCAAAGATCGACCGCCGTAGCTTACGTGCCATCAAAGTGCGTGAAGGCGAACCCATCTCATTGGATGTTAAAGTTTCCGGTGAACCACCACCAGATGTTGCTTGGTCTCTCAACGGAAAGATGGTCACCAGCGGTAACGGACTTAAATGTAAGTTCTTCTCAACAATTTTTATCTCTTTTTCTCTAAAATATTTTTTTTATTATTAATTGATACTTTTCGTAAAAACGTGTTTGTGATATTCCCATTACAGAAATAAATGATTAGAAAACTGTTTTTTACTTTCACTTTTGTTTTTTTTTAAAGTGGTGAATGTTCCGTACCTGAGCAAGTACCAGCATTCAAGTCCGCGAAGAAAGGATTCCGGCGTTTACAAGATCCAGGCCGTCAACAAGTATGGATCAGACACGGCTGAAGTCGAAATTACTGTTGTTGGTAAGTTATATTTTCTATTTATTTTGAGCCAGCGAAGATAGCTCATGTTTATAATATAAGTTAAACACGTTGTAAAGTTTCTTAAGGGGGCGTGGGCCAAACACATATCTAGTTATATTTTTGTAAGTAAATGATGAGAACTGCAGAACCGATAACCAGAAAAATTGTTGTCGAGAATTGCATTCAAGGCACAGTGCCTCAAGGGCACAGGCACTCAACGAATTGGTTGAAAACCACTGTATTTTAAAAATTCAATGTTTGTATAACACCGTTATATTATATAATCTAGGTTTTGAAGTGTATTTACATTTAATATTAAGTTAGAAATATTATGTTATCTCATATCATACGTTATGTCATATTTCGTATACTTTTTCCAGGCAAGCCGGATAAACCCGAAGGACCATTAGAAGTGTCAGACATTCACAAAGAAGGATGCACGCTGAAGTGGAAGAGACCTAAAGATGACGGAGGCGAACCCATCGATGCCTATCTGGTGGAGAAGTACGACACAGAAACCGGCACTTGGCTTCCAGTCGGGAAGACTATTGGAAATGTTCCCGAGATGGAGGTGAGATTTATTTTTTATATCATTCATCAGTTACCTTTAAACACGGTTTATTTATGTTATTGCACATTAGGTTTGTAAAGTATCTGATTATTAAAAGTAAAGTACAGTAATCCCCTCACAACGCAGTAGGCCGCGACCGCGAAAGGACCGCGTTATAGGAAATCACGTTGTCGGAGTATTCTCGTAAAACCGTTTTCTTGAACAATTCAAAAGCTACGAACACGAATTTAAGAAAGTAATTTTATCACAACACAATTGAAACAGTGCAAAGGTACACAAAACGAATTATGGACTTGACAAATCGTTATAAATTACATAAATATAACTTGAGAAATCTCCGCTTTATAAGGGGAAATACCGCGTTATATCGGAAATCCCGTTATACGAAAATGCCTTATAGGGGTACCGCATTATTACTGTGTTTAAGTTGGTTTGTTAAAGAATTCTTTAATTATTACAACAAATTATCAATATATATTGTCTGCAAAAAAGTTGAAGGGACTATCAAATAATTATTCTTTGAACTAAACAAATATAGGACAAACATTGATTGCTAATGGTTGGCTAGTTATTTTAAATTAGTTTCAGGCAACTGATAACGTGATTGTCAATCAGACAAAACTGTTTGTAGCACTCGAGGGACTGGACTTTTTATTTTATAGGGTAAATCATAGTTTCTATTAACATTTGCAGGTTGACGGATTAACACCTGGCCACGAGTACAAGTTCCGAGTGAAGGCGATCAACAAGGAGGGCGAATCTGAACCTCTCGAAACCTTCGGACCTATTGTTGCTAAGGATCCATTTAGTAAGGGGAACTTTTATCGTTATTTATTAAAATGCTATATCTACAGTATACGTTACAAGCAATGTTGATAAAAAAAATTAAAAGAAAATATTACACTTACAATTTTAGATTCCTTTTTGTTTAATTGATCAGTCCACTACCGAATATATAAAGCTCTGGATAAGTAGTGTTTATTCGCAAAGAATTCGAATTTAGGACCTTACTAAAACGAATTTAATAGTAAATAAAACACATCTCTGTATAATTTCCTAAAATATGTTTTATTTATAGCTGTCCCTGAAGCACCATCTGCGCCAGTGCCAGACGATTGGTCGGCCAACCACGTGGACCTCAAGTGGGAGCCCCCGTTTCGGATGGAGGGTCACCAGTCATTGGTTACATTGTGGAGATGAAGGACAAATACAGCCCGTTATGGGAAAAGGCTGTTGAGACACATACGCCTAACCCAGCTGCTACTATTAATGGGTAAGATTTAGTCTTCGACACAATTTTCATAGAAGGTATCAAAAATGATTCCTTGGAAAAAAAAATCTGAGTTAAGCATAACATTTTTTTACAGAAATTTTTCTCGCTTAGTAATATTTTTTGATTATCACGATTACATTCGTCTTGTATCTCTAATTAAATTATTAAAATCGGTAGTCTTTTAATCTACTCTTTTACTAAAAACGCTAGACAAAAAATTGTTTAAAATTTTACCAACACAATGAATTTTACAGCAAACTTACTCTTGTAAAACAGGACATGTGCTTGTGGTTTTTATTGATCATATTCGGAACGCTTGTTTTTAACGGATTTAATTATACTGATACAATTTCATTTCCAGCTTGATCGAAGGTAACGAATACCAGTTCCGAGTGATCGCAATAAACAAGGCTGGCCAGAGTAAGCCCTCGGAGTCCAGCAAAAACTTCGTGGCTAAACCGCGGTTCCTCGCTCCGAAGATTGACAGGCGCTACCTTCGCGACGTGACCCTGTCTGCCGGATCCACTCTAAAGTTGGAAGCTGCCATCACTGGAGAACCAGCTCCGGCTGTGGAATGGAGGTAAAGTGATATAATTTTCTTATCCGTAATTTGTAAAAATGAGCAAAGGCATTTTATAAAAGTGCACGATTGAGCCTTGTTATTCTGTTAAAAAAATCTTTAAAATAATTCCATTTTCTCACAACAGATACCAGAACATGCCACTGCGCTCATCAAAGGCTGTGACAATCGACTCACCAGAGTACTTCACGAAACTAATAGTTCGGCCTGTGAGGAGGGACGATACCGGGGAATACACCGTGACGGCGGCCAATTCCAGTGGAAAAGACACTGTCACCATAAATGTGCTGGTCACCGACAAGCCTATGAAGCCGGAGGGACCTTTACAGGTTCGTGTTTTTATTATAGTAATAATAATATTGGGCTCACTGGACGTACGTTTATCGAATACATTTGTGCAAAACCACATCTTTGACTTTTAGTACTCTATAGTTATGATATTGGTTGTACAGCTTTAGTTAATTTTATATTTTTTTCTAGGAGCTCTCAAGAGTTACGTTATTGAAAGTTGTACTTTTAACAATTTATTACGTATTATACGTGCGTGTGTATACTTTATACGTATAACTGCTCAACCTTTTTCTTTTATTTTTGCTGAAACCCCTTGATAAGTTTCTATTCAAATTTAAAATTATTGTATTGGTTTATTTTTGATTCAAGCTCTGCCTTTATTTATTAAAGGTAATATTTGAATTGATTGAATATTCTAGATATCGGACGTTCACAAGGACGGCGCTACCCTGAAGTGGAAGAGACCGAAGGACGATGGCGGAGCTCCGATCGAATATTACCAGATCGACAAACTGGACACCGAGACTGGCGTCTGGGTACCTTGTGCTAGATCTGATGAACCAAGTAAGCAATCCCTTATATATCACCCCTGTATTTTTGTATAAAAATCATATTATAGCCACTACTTGAATATAACATTTATTAATCTTCTTTTAAGAATTTTTCAATTCTGTAATTTTTATACGCTGGATATATCAATACTTAATGTTGTGAGTAAGCTGAGTATGTCTAACACGTATTGGATACTAACATATGGGAGTCATAGCTTAAACTAAGCTTAAAATCCGACCAATAACTTCTTTCAACCAAAATGTTGATATGTAATCTTAAATATTATGTTATTTAACATTTTTTGCCAGGCTTTATGTTCAAGAACCAATAACCTAATAAAATTGGTGTTTTCAGAATGTGATGTTACAAACCTGACACCAGGCAAAGAGTACAAGTTCAGAGTAGCGGCAGTCAACTCGGAAGGGGAATCTGAACCCTTGGTGTCGGAGACTAGCATTGTTGCCAAGAACCCGTATGATGAACCTGGTGAGTGAGATAACAGATGGGAAACTATTTATTTACCTCTAGCGTTTGATAGTCTCGAGAAAAATAACGATTGGAAATATATATTATAAAAATCCCGACTCTACAGGTGCACCTGGAACGCCGTCAGTGACAGACTGGGACAAGGACCACGTGGACCTCAAATGGACTCCGCCCACTGAAGATGGTGGAGCTCCCATTGAAGGATACATCGTGGAGAAGAAGGACAAGTTCGGAAACTGGGAGAAGGCGTTGGAAGTGCCTGCCGATAAGACAAACTGCACTGTGCCTGACCTGGTCGAAGGACAGACTTATGAGTTCCGGTGAGTACTTTTCATATGATGGAAGAAGAAGTATTATATATTTTTTTACTTTCTTGTTATGGTATGGTTAGTAGTGTTAAGCCTGAAGATGGTAAAGTTTATATATTTTTGCAGAGTCCGTGCGGTCAACAAGGCTGGTCCAGGAGTGCCAAGTGACAGCACACACCCGATTGTGGCCAAACCCAGGAATCTGGCCCCTAAGATTGACAGGACCAACCTCATTGATATCAAGATCAAGGTTGGACAGAAGTTTGCCTTTGACGTTAAGGTGAGTTGCAAATGAATTTCTTTATACTCTGATTTTTAATTCCGTAGAATTCTGACAGCTATCATTTTTTGACATATCAGAGATGGCAAACCTTTTGGCCGGGCACATTTTTCAATTTCAATACGAGTCTGAACATCTATGTCTATACATACACTGTATTTGTTAGTGAATGTATCCATTTTATTTAGTGTGGTGCTCACATTAAAAGTGGTTTTACGGCGAGTGATAATTACGTCCCTTTTCATCACAAATAGTAAAACATAACATTTTTTTTAAAGGTTTACTAAGCCTGGAATTAATGATGTCAGCTAAAGAATAAAATAAAGTAATTAAAGTTAATTCGATAAATTATTCGTGTTATCGAAATATTTGTTATTTTTGTATTAGGTGACTTAAGTAAATACATATTTAGATTTACCTTTTTGTAGGTAAAACATAAAAATACGTAGCATTTTCTTTTTTATTGCCCTCAAATGAGTCAAATTTGTCCCTTTTTCGGTGGAGAACTTTTTTAGTAGCAACACTTGTGAAATATCAGAATTCTAGGGAATGAAAAATCTAAGTTTTATTTGATGATTACAATTATATTTTGTTATTGATGATGATTATAAATAATAATATGATAATATAATATGATTTATAAAAGATGATAACCGTTTTAGAAACTGGAATCACTACTTTTTTTATATTTTTATAAATTAAACCTGGGGAGAAGACACGACTTTTCTGACATAATAAACTAATTTCTAATCAATAATAAAAAAACAGGTATCTGGAGAACCAATGCCTGAAACCAAATGGTTCCTGGGCAAGCGGGAAGTCAAATCGAGCGGTGATGTTAAAGTACAGCATTCGGACTATAACACCAAAATTACCTGCAAAGCGGCCAGAAGAGGCGACAGCGGGAAATACACAATTACTGCTGAAAACGTCAACGGCAAAGATGTTGCTGATGTGGAAGTTATTGTGCTGGACGTGCCCAGCCCACCTGGAGGACCACTTAAGGTAACGGTTTTAGTAGCATTTTCGATCAACTGCGACTATTTTAGAATTATTCCTATGAAGGGCTTTGAAGTAAGAGATGTCACGGGGACAAACTATTTGTATTAAAAATATAATTTAAAGATTTTTTTTTGATGTCTAGAATATTATGTTTTAGTAAAATTATATGAATGAATAAAAAAATATATGAAAAAAGTTAATTATGTTCATTTACAATTTTCACACCAAATTTTTTTCCTAACAGGTTTCCGACGTCCATGCAAACGGTGCTAAGCTGTCATGGAACCCACCAGGCGACGACGGTGGTCAACCCATAGAGAAGTACGTCGTCGAGAGGATGGATGAAGCCACCGGAAGATGGGTCAACGCCGGAGAAACCGATGGACCCACCACTAACTTAGCAGTTGACGGATTACAACCCGGACACAAGTACAAGTTCAGGGTCCGAGCTGTTAATAGGTAAATCTTACGCCATCTTCAGGAATAAGACCAAAAAAGCCTTCCAAACTCACAAAAATTATGCACTAAAATTTGGCAAACATTAATTTAATACGCTAAAATTTGTGGTCGGGTTTCTTTAATATCGTAAACGTGGTTTATACAATATTTATATAACCTGTTACAGGCAAGGAAAATCAGAGCCATTGACGACACCGCACGCAACAGAGGCCAAGAATCCCTTCGATGTCGCAGGCAAACCTGGAACGCCCAGGATCAAGGACTTCGACAAAGACTTTGTGGAACTGGACTGGACTAGACCAGACAGCGACGGCGGTGCTCCCATTACTGGATATGTTATCGAGAAGAAAGATAGATTTGCGCCAGACTGGGAAGAATGTGCACAGGTAGGCTCTTCACACTTTTTTACACATTTTTAAACAAAATATATTTTTATTTTTTTATTACTATTACTAATTGACCCTTATCCTATATTGTTTACTTTTAGATCGAGGGTGACGTCACATCTGGCAAAGTTCCCGATCTGATCGAAGGCAACACCTACGAGTTCAGGATTCGCGCCGTGAACAAGGCCGGCAAAGGTGAACCCAGTGACGGAACGGCGCCACACCTTGCGAGGCCTAAAAACCTGGCCCCCAAGATCGACAGAAACTTTATGTTCGATATCAAAATCAAAGTGGGACAAAACTTCGAGTTGGATGTTCCAGTCATCGGCGAACCGACGCCCACGAAAGAGTGGCTTCACGAATCAAATCTCGTTTACAATGCGGACAGAGTTAAGATCGTCAACGACGATCATTCCTCTAAAATCAGGGTCGTGGACGCTAAACGCGCAGACACAGGAATATACACGCTCAAAGCCAAGAATATCAACGGAACCGATTCAGCCACAGTCAAAATCCTCGTCATGGACGTCCCGACGGCTCCCGAAGGACCGTTGCGGGTGGATGATATTACAAAGAACGGCTGCTCATTGAGATGGAGGCCGCCCAAAGACGACGGTGGCTGCGAGATTACACACTACGTTATCGAGAAGATGGATCAAGAAAACCTGCGCTGGATTCCAGCCGGTGAAGTCCAAGGCTGTCACATTCGTATCGATCACTTGATTGAAGGACACGATTACAACTTCCGCGTCCGCGCTGTCAACAAGCAAGGAGAATCTCAGCCATTGGTCGGCACCGAGCCGATCACCGCTAAAGATCCCTACGGTACGCCCGACAAGCCTGGAACTCCAGTCGTCAAAGACTGGGACAAAGATCACATGGATATCGAATGGGTCCCGCCCAAAAAAGATGGCGGATCGCCCATCACCGGCTACGTCATCGAAGCGAGAAAGAAATACGGGCCGTGGGAGGTCGCTGCAACCGTCCCCGGTAACAAAACTACGGCAACTGTTCCCGGATTGCAAGAAGGCGAAGAGTATGAGTTCAGAGTCATCGCTGTCAACAAAGCTGGAAACGGCGAACCGAGCGACGCGTCTACCCCTCAAGTGGCTAAAGCGCGATTCTGTGCGCCGACGTTCGACAAACACCTTCTCTGTGACAAAACTGTCAAAGCCGGACAGAGAATTCAATACGAAATCCCGATAGAGGCCTCTCCGAAACCTACGGTCGAATGGCAGATCAACGGTAAACCCGTTCAACCATCTGACAGAATTGATATTCAAGTCCTTCATAACAGGGTCATACTAGACATTCCATTCTCCGTCCGCACAGATGGAGGCGTTTATAAATTGACTCTCAAGAATGATCTCGGAGTCTGCTCAGCCTCTGCCCAAGTCGTTGTACTAGATAAACCGTCGAGGCCCGAAAAACCTTTAGTCGTAGCGGATATTACCAAAGATTCCTGCTCGTTGTCATGGAAAGTGCCTCTCGACGACGGCGGCTCACCCATCTTGCATTACGTCATCGAGAAGATGGACCTGTCTCGCGGCACCTGGTCAGACGCCGGCATGAGCACGTTCTTATCACACCAAGTGACTAGACTAATTCACAAGAAGGAATATTTGTTCCGAGTTAGCGCAGTGAACGCAATCGGACAATCTGAGCCCCTAGAATTAGATCGTGCCATTGTTGCTAAGAACGAATTCGATGAACCGACTGCTCCGGGTAAACCTCAAGCTACGGACTGGAGTAAGAACCACGTCGACTTGGAATGGACTCCGCCGAAATCTGATGGTGGCTCACCGATCACCGGATACATCATTCAGAAGAAAGAAAAGGGCAGTCCCTACTGGGTTAACGCAGCTCACGTCCCGGCCAACAAGAACAAAGCTACGGTTCCTGATTTAGTGGAAGGACAAGATTACGAGTTCCGGGTCATCGCGGTCAACCAAGCGGGACAGTCTGAACCTAGCGAACCGTCAGATATTATTACTGCTAAAGACAGATTTGTCGCACCGAAGATTCTTACCCCGCTCAAAGAGATCAGCATCAAAGCTGGTCTTATCTTCCACTTGGATGTCGACTTTATTGGTGAACCGATTCCTGAAGTCAAATGGACCTGTGACGGCAAACCAGTCGTTACTAACGAAAGAACTACGGTTACGTCTGTCGGTCATCACACAATTATACACACAGTGAACTGTAAACGATCTGATGCTGGAAAATACCACCTGTCACTCAAGAATGACTCCGGCTCTGATGAAGGCAGCTTTGAGCTAATAGTTCTCGATGTACCTGGACCTCCGCAACCACAATTTGAATATGAAGAAATCACTGCCCAATCTGTCACATTGTCTTGGAACGCACCTAAAGATAACGGTGGCAGTGAATTGACAGCTTACGTTATTGAAAAGAGAGATTTGACACACGGCGGTGGCTGGGTGCCGGCTGTCACGTACATAAACCCGCGTAACACCCACGCTACAGTACCCAGACTGGCAGAAGGCACAAAGTATGAATTCAGAGTCTTTGCTGAGAATTTACAAGGACGTTCAGAGCCCTTGGTAACAGATAGGGCTGTCGTGGCCAAGAACCAATACACGGTTCCCGGCAAGCCTGGAAAACCAGAGCTTTTGTCGGCTGACAAAGATCACATTAAGATCAAATGGTCGTCGCCAATTTCAAATGGAGGATCTAACATACTGGGCTACGACGTTGAAAGACGAGACAAGGCGACGGGCCGCTGGATTAAAGTAAACCGAGAACCCGTGCGATTCAATGAATATAAGGACGACAGGGTACAAGAAGGCCACCAGTATGAATACAGAGTGTCTGCCGTTAATGCCGCTGGCGCTGGTCAACCTTCAGATGAGTCTAACGTATTCATCGCTAAACCAATGAAGGAGAAACCCAAACTAAGCTTAGACCACCTGATTGGACGTAAGATTAAGGTGCGAGCGGGAGAACCGATTAATATTAACATTCCAATTGCCGGTGCACCAACACCGACCATCTCTTGGACTAAGGGATCCATTCCGCTTGTACCTTCACATAGACTGTCTTCTGAGACAAAAGCTGATCTTACTAGACTTTGTATTGAAAAATCTACACGGGATGATGCTGGAAAATACACAATTACGGCCTCAAATGAACACGGCAAGGATTCGGCTGATATTGAAGTAATTGTTGTCGACAAACCTGGACCTCCCAAAGGACCGCTTTCTTGTACACCGGTCACTCATGACACTATCAGTTTGACGTGGAACCCGCCATCAGACGATGGTGGCAGTGAAATCACTGGCTACATCGTGGAAGTCGCTGAATTTGGCGTCAATGATTGGCGCACAGTAGCCGGTTTCTGTCCCAAATGCTCGTTCAACGTTAAGAATCTGACAGAGGGCAAGAAATATGTATTCAGAATACGCGCTGAGAACTTATATGGTATCTCAGAGCCGCTAGAAAGCAAACCCATCATTGCTAAATCGCCATACGACCCTCCAGATGCGCCTGACACACCTCGAATCACAGGCTACAGTGCAAACAGCTGTTCTCTCGAATGGGAGCCGCCAAAGAACACTGGTGGAAAGCCTATCACCGGATACTATGTTGAAAAGAGAGAGCGAGGAGGCGAATGGGTGAAGGTCAATAACTACCCAACTCCCAACACTTGCTACACCGTCCAAGACTTACGTGAAGGCAACCGCTATGAATTCCGCGTAATCGCTGTTAACGAAGCCGGACCCGGTAAACCCAGCAAACCCACCGACTCCATTGTGGCTGAAACACAGAGACTCAAACCTAGCACTCCTGAACCTCCTAAACCTGACAGAGTTACTAAAGACTCTGTTACGTTATCGTGGAGGCCGCCAAAGAGCGACGGTGGATCCAAAATCAAGGGATACATCATTCAACAAAAAGCCAAGGGCGACAAAGACTGGAAGGACGTCAACGATACGCCTATCCCGAGCCTGGTGCATACTGTACCTAATCTTAAGGAAGGAGAAGAATACCAGTTCAGACTCATCGCTGTCAATGAAGTTGGCAAATCTGAACCCAGCAAACCGACATCGGATATCGTCATCGCTGAACAGCCTAACAAACCGTGTATGGATCTTGGAGGTGTCCGAGACATTACTGTACGAGCTGGAGAAGACTTCTCCATCCACGTGCCGTACACTGGCTATCCTCAGCCGACGGCGTCTTGGTTCGCTGAGGACAACCTCCTTGACGTTGATGGAGATTCAAGAATATTCCAGAAAATTACCCCAGAATCGGCCTCTCTCGTCGTCAAAAATGCTAAGAGATCAGACGGTGGACAATATCGCTTACAACTGCGAAACCCATCAGGATACGACACTGCTACAATCAACGTTCGCGTCCTCGACAGACCTGGAAAACCAGAAAACCTGCGCGCGGATGAGTTTGAGGGTGAAGCTCTCACTTTATACTGGAACCCACCGAAAGACAACGGCGGTGGAGAAATCACAAACTATGTCGTCGAGAAACGCGAAGCTCGCACTCCAACTTGGACCAAGGTGTCCGGGTATGTCACAACACCGTTCTTACGGGTGAAGAACCTTTCGGTTGGCAGGAGTTACGAGTTCCGTGTAATGGCTGAGAACCAATATGGACAATCTGAACCGGCTCAAACCCTCGAGCCGATCAGAGCTAGACATCCCTTCGATCCACCGGGAGCGCCCGGAGCTCCCAGCGCTGTGGAAACCACGGAATCCTCAATCACACTCACATGGAACAAACCACGTCACGATGGAGGGTCACCGATCACCGGTTACATTCTTGAAAAGAGATTGATAACCGAGGACAAGTGGACGAAGGCGTCCCACGCACACATTCCAGACACGACTTACAAAGTCACAGGGTTAATAGAGAATCATGAATACGAATTTAGAGTGGCAGCAGTGAATGCGGCCGGCCAAGGGCCGTACTCCGCCAGTTCAGATGCGATACGCGCGTGTGCGCCGCCCAACGCACCTAAAATCACAAGCGACCTCAGTCTACGCGACATCACAGTTATCGCAGGGGAAGAAATCAAGATCACCGTGCCGTTCACCGGCAATCCTAGACCGAAGGTTGGCTTTCTTAATTATACTAATTTTCATGGACTCGATTTCAATTTAATTATGATCATTAACTTAATAGATTTTCATCCAAAATCTAAAACTATGCTTGAACGTATTGCCTTATTTGTTCAACTGTATCAATTTTTAAAAATCATTTATTTTGTAAGTTATATTATTGATTTACGATCCAAAACAAATTGTTTAGTAATCGTTATTAGAGTCGCAATATCTGTACATACATCCTGAACGTCCCCAGGTATCATGGATCGTGAACAACGACGAAGTCTTCCCAGACCACCGTATTCGCTTCGTCACATCCGACGTCAACACTGTCTTCTACAATACCAGCGCTAAGAGATCAGACACCGGCTCATACACTGTCAAACTTGTTAATACTGAGGGATCAGACAGTGGAACCTGCAGGGTATGTACTAAAAAAGGCGATTTTTCAAAATTTTAAAAATTATATTTAATCTGTAGTTAAGATAAAATTACCGCCAGAAGTTTTTGTTATTTAAAAACAAGTTTTAAGTCTGCGAACAATCAAATGTTCATGAACCACCTTAGGCATTACAAAGCGAAGAACTTGATTGCGACCCCCATTAACTAATTGAAATAGAAATGCTCACTCTATTATGTACTTGAAGAGCAGTGTTGTCCTAGTGGCTTGAGCGTGCATATAACCCGGAGGTGGTCCGTTCAAATCACGGCTGTGCACCAATAGAAATTGCTTTTTATGCGCACAATTAACACTAGTTCGTACGGTAAAATAAACCATTGTTTGGAAACCGGCATGTTTTTAATTTGTACTGATAGTGTGTCAGGCACAGAAGACTGACACCTACTTGCCTATTACTACTAATACTGAAATTCGGAAACTGTGGCTTGAAGGTTGTAACGCCATTGGATTTAAGTAAGACTTACGCAAGAATGGGAGTTAAAATTATATATTTTTTAGGTTCTGGTTGTAGACAAACCATCCCCACCAGTGGGTCCAATGGAAGCGTCGGACATCACACCGGACACTTGTACCGTGTCCTGGAAAGTGCCGCTAGATGATGGCGGATCGCCCATTACCAACTATATCGTGGAGAAAATGGATAATACTGGCGTAAGTTAATTTAGAGAATTGGTACAACTAATATAGTTCAAAAATATATTTTTTTATTGATGAATGTTATTAAATTATTACCGATTATAATAATTCCTAGAGTCCTGGCCCGGCTTTGCACGCCTAACGCCACGCCTTTGTAACCCTTATGTTACTCAGAGATAATGTAGCATTCTAATGGTGAAAGAATACGATCTAGTAGTTTTTAAGTTTTTACTGATATACAAAAGAATTGTTCCTCTTTATAATATTAGTTTAGGAAATACGGACAGAGGAGTTGGAACATCAAGCTTTTCAACCATACATTACTTCCTAAATTAAAATTTTAAAATATTTCCAACGCACAAATATACAGTATTTACAATATTCTTAACCTACATAGTAATAATAATAATAAAAATTTATAAATAGAAATTTGTTACAATTACTTTACTTACTGAATTACGTTTGTTGATATTAAAATCTCTCTTTGATTTTCTCCCAGATTTTACCCGACTTTAATAAAATAAATAAAAATATATTTGTTACGCAGGTGTGGTCAAAGATCTCATCCTTTGTCCGAGGCTGCCATTACAACGTGATGGGCCTGGAGCCAGAACGCAAGTACCTGTTCAGAGTGCGCGCTGAGAACCAGTACGGTGTTTCGGAGCCGCTTACTATGGATGACCATGTCGTTGCTAAGGTTTTTATAATAATATATTAACTAATATACTTACTCCAAAACGAACCTGCATGCAGTGCAATGTCTTTTACTTTTTGAAGTCATACTTCTTTTGGCGCGTTAGGGAAGAATGATGAGAGTAAATTTTATAATGCGCGCACACACCGTCACAAAAAACCGACACCCTGAAGTTAACCTTAGCTTAAGCTATAGTCACCTTTCTAGTTTTTTTCTTTTGTTAGTGTCGTTTTTTCTACAAACGTAGAATAAGGCGAAAGATACAATTTTTGAAAAGTTTTATCTTGTTACGCCAAAGAAGTATAACTTCTAACGCGTGTACATAAGTACACACACATATTTTTCTTACAATAAAGTTCATAAAAGAGAATGCGACTGTACATGAATCACAATCTAGGCTATACAAAAATTATAGCTAATAAGTAATATTATGTTGACTAAATTTTCTACAATATACAGTTATAAAATGTGGACTAAAACAGTACGGTGTTTTTGAACGACTTCAAAAAGCCCGAAAAGAGGTTTCAAATAACTTGTATTTTTTATATGGAAATAACGTCGTTTTCAAACACGATTACTTTTTAATAAGCCTGGTTAAGAAAAGTTATTTAATGAATTACATCGCCTTATTTTATTTTATTTTAAAAATTTATCGATATACAGTTTTTAAGATCATTACCACTATATTCGCACAATTATCACCTTAACCCCATACTCCACAGTTCCCATTCACGGTACCAGACGCACCAGGCGTCCCACGTGTCACCGATTGGGACGGTTCGACGGCTACCGTCATCTGGGACCGTCCCAGATCGGACGGAGGGGCCCGTATTCAAGGATACAAGATCGAATACAGAGACGTACAGGATAAGATTTGGACAAGCGCCGACTATCTTGTTAAGGACTGTAATTATCAGGTATGAATTTGTGGATTTAGTTGAATGGAACAAAGTACCCAAAATCGAATTTGCGTCTTAATTTTATAAAAAAAATTTATACTTAGAAGTTTAGTATCATTAGTAAAAACTTTAATAAATATCTAATTAAAAATTTCTATAATTTTGACTGTTTTAAAGGGGTCTGTCTATATTAATTATATTCGGATGTATCGGATTCGATACCTTACGAATAAAATCCAGTTGATTTTATTTGGAGATCTTATAGTGTTTTTCTGAAAAAAAAACAATATTATTTTTATTTAATTAGTCCCCTAAATCATTTAGAAAGCAAAGTGGGTCCCAAATCAGAGATAATGACCGATAAAGGAACCCAGAGACAGTAATAATTATTTTAGTTAAACATTAAATTTTTTAAATAAATAAAATTATATTTCCCTTTCCCAGGCATACAACCTGGAACCCGGCCACGAGTACGAGTTCCGCGTGCGCGCGAAGAACGCGGCTGGCTTCAGCAAATACTCCAGTACGTCGCAAGTGTTCAAAGTACGCGGACGTGCCGGACCACCTTCGGCCCCGAGGGACCCTCGAGTCTTGCGAGTCGGAAGGAACTACGTTGACGTGGCTTGGGATGCACCTGCTAGTGATGGAGGTGAGGCTTTTATTATTTATTGGCTTCACCTTTAGCCCACATTGATTTGCTTTACTCAATAAGTGGACCATTCTGTATCGTTAAATTCACTCACAAAACGTTAAAGATTTTCCTGATAAAAATCTTTTACTCAGGTTAAATAATAGCATTTCCAAATATAATAAGAATTTAATAAAATATATACAATCGCAAAATAAACCTCGAAAAGTATCATTATTAAACATTTTTATAACAATGCCGCTACAACCTTTTAGGTCTGGGCCTCAGATTTCTGTGTCTGTTTCGTAATCATGCATTTTTTTATATAGACAAATAGGTGATCATACTTTTGTGCTTTACGCTCGCCGTCGACTTTTTGGGTCCAGGACATGCCGGTTAAATACGCACGTCCATTGGTGCACGTTGATGCATTCAGAGTAACGACTCTGAAACCACTAGGCCAACAATACAATATATAATATGCGCTTTGAGTTCTTTTCATTCGTCAGCAAGAGAGGACTGCATTTATTTTATCCATATTATACAGTTATTTGTGTAAAACATCATTTATCAACTTCAACGATCGCAGGTGCACGTATCAGCGGCTACATCATCGAAAGACGCGAGTTGTCAAGCTCTATTTGGGTCAAATGCAATGACTACACAGTGCTGGACACCAGCTTCACTGCGCTCAATCTCAGCGAGAAGGCAGACTTCGAATTTAGGATTATTGCTGTCAATTCTGCTGGTGAGACTATTTTAAATCTAGATTATAGGTATTCTTTATTAGTTCATTGAATGCAATATTTATTGTTTTATAATCAAAAGTATACTTAGTTTTTTTGGAAGTGTGTTTACACTCAAACTCAAAATAACTTTATTCATATAGGTAACCAATTGATTCTAATTTTAATTTACTACCAGTTCGCAAGTCAAGGGCGTAGAGCGGGCGAGAGAAATGGCAAGAACTCTCCGCCACTCTTTTTAATCGCCATGTTTTGAGTCGTATAAATTGTTTAAACTGGAGCAAATCAATCCCAATTATTAGGATCATTTAAATAATCGTCAAATTTATAAAAAGCTTTATCTTTAAATTGTCAATTGTAATTAAAGTAATATCTATTTAATTATCTTTAATTTTGATAACAGGCAAATCGGAGCCATCGTCTTGCACGACGCCCGTAAGGACTGGTGAAGAAGTGGGTGGAGCCAAGCCGGAATGGCTGAAGAAGTTGGCGCCTCATCTCAACGTGCCCATGGGCAGGCCATTCACTTTGGAGTGTGTCGCCTCCGGCAGCCCCTTGCCCACAGGCAGGTGGATGAAGGGTGGACGGGAAGTTGTACTTGGTACCAGGTTAGTGTTGTTTTACTTGTATTTCTAAATATTTTATATATTTTTTTTTTATTTATCTACGAATTTATAGTATCTTCTCTTCTTTTGGTGCCTCTCCCTTTCTGGAGGTTGGCGGTCAGTCTCGTGAAGCGTGTCTTGTCAAAATAAAATGTATTAATATTCCAATAAAATATTTTTCAGATTTATAGCGGAATCCCGCGAAGGCACCCTCCGCCTGAACATCCTGGAGGTGACGGAAGCAGACGAAGGCGACTACACCTGCGAAGCCTTCAACTCCATTGGACATATTTACTGTACTGCTCATCTCAAGATTGGAAGTGAGTTTAACATTTTGATCAACCTTTAATTCTCCAGAACTGGCACTCCTGGTGTTATTTTTCGCTTTAACTTTAAGTTCTTTAAAAATTTTAAGGGCCTGGCCCTTTTTTAAGAATACCTTTAAGTCAGCAAACCAGTTTTAATTTAATGTGCAAAATAAAAACTTGGAACATCTATCTATCGAGCTCGTCCGATCGGATACTTTGCAAAGTACTAAAAATATCACTAGTTTTTACGAGTCTTGAAAATTTATTTAAGAATCTTCCTTTTCAGCATTTCTCATTTGCCTCGTAATTAGCTACCTGTAACACTTAGTAGTCTAGTGTTACATGCAATTTTATGTTTTTTGTCATTTTTGTCATTTATTATTATTACATATTATGTATATTACATATATATTATTATTATGTACTTGTACTACTAAGTAGGTATTTCTTTATTTATTTTTCATACTAGAATTACCTGAAATAAATCTCTTGTTAGCGATAAGGCCGCTCGTTGCCTAATAACTGTATGTTTAAGATAACGAAGTATAAAAAAACATAGAAATCAAATTGTCATTACTATTTCCCAGGCCCACCAAGGATTACCCGAATGCCGGGAGACTTACACTTGCCGGAGCATGACAACACTAAGATCAAGATTCTGTACACGGGTGACCAGCCCGCTGACGTCACGATCTCTAAAGACGGCCGTGCACTTAGCGAGTCTGTTCACTTCAAGTTCACAGTGTTCGATGATTACATCCTTATTTTCATCAAGGACATCACTAAGGATGATATGGGTAAGATTATTATGACATATCGATAGGAATGATAATACCTAGGCTAGAAGACTTGTGTGACTAAGTGTGACTTCCATGTGTCAAAATACATTTTGAATCAAGTTTCGACCTTAAATCTTACACTAAAGTTTCGGATTTAAAAAGCAAATCTTTCACAGTTAATAGTTTTATGACAGATTAATCTAGTTGGGAATATTAAATCTAATAGCCTGTGTGGAAATTTCTCAATCTGATGAAGTACTGATAATTCCAGGAAGTATTATTATGATTAGTATTGGGGAAAAATAAATTATAATAATCCAGCTACAAAACTTTATCTCTGCCTTTCATCAGAGCTTTTGTTACTTTTTTTTTCGTTTTTTTCTAAGTAGATATTAAGCCTTCCAGCCCCATTTTAAGATTCTTTATTTAAATACAAATGTCATTCTAAAAAAAAAACAAATATACAGTCGGTACACAATCAACGCACATTTTTAAATCTCGGAATACATGAACATTTAACACTGAAATTTTTCCAGGATTATACAAAGTGACAATCAAGAACAGCTCGGGAGAGATATCGGACACCTTCTCGGTGACAGTCACGGGATTGCCCGGACCTCCCCAAGGACCGCTCGAAGCGACAGATATCACCAGGCACACGTGCACTCTCGCCTGGAAACCACCCACCTACGACGGTGGATTGCCTGTCACCCACTACGTGGTCGAGAGGATAGATATCTCTGGAACGACCTGGATTACCATCGCGTCGTGCGTTAGAGATACCAGGTAACATAATTTGTTTTAGCCGTAATTGCTTAAAATTAACTTTGTACAGATACCGGCAAACATCTTGAAAAAATGTGCTTGCCTGCGCAGAAGCGATTTTTAGATATCACTGGGAGGGGGGGGCGGCGGGAGAGTGACGTGTCGATCGCGTGATTGGTAAATCAGTTGACGTTTGTGTCCCGCGCTGCGCATACTTTTCCCCATTCCCTTGTTTAATGTTCAAGATGTTTGCCGGTACTGTACTAACCTAGCCAATGTTATCCTTATATGTAGCGATATCTACAATCTGCGCTTACAAATCACTCCGATGATATCATCCCAGAAACACCTTAACGAAGTTATTTGGTCGCTATATGTAGAACTTCTTGGCTTCAGCCACTGGGGTCTTCGGGCCGGCCAATCAGTGTTTAGACTGTTCGAGGATCCTTTCTTTAGGTTGGAGGAACAGTACACCATTCTTCTTCCATAAAGTAAAACATATGAACATCATTAATTCAATATTTTGACTGACTATAAGAGAGACAGCTCTAGATCATCTATCTCTTTCTTTGAATTTTCAAATAAAATAATAATATAAAATCTCACGATTAAACATTGCTTATGTTACATATATAATTTTCAGGTTCACAGTCCATGGTTTAACTGAAGGACAAGAATACAACTTCAGGATTCACGCTGCTAATGAAAACGGAATCGGACCCGCCCTCGAAGGTGTTAATCCTGTTAAGGTATGTTAAATACTATATCAAAATATATCTCTTTGATAAGTATTTAGTCCTGCCTGTTTTATTAAGACGTTTTTGTTGAGTTTTTGGAAAGTATATAATTCTACATACATCTGATTTGAGTCCTTTCCTAAATAAATTTAGATGTTAATTTGTTCTTAAAACTCAAAATTACACCTATACTAAAATTTCTACGACTTTCTTAAGCATTAAAAGTAAAAATTTATTTTCTTGCCTAAGTCACAAGTTAGTAACTCTGTTTTTTTTAAATATTACAATTTGTAAAGAAAGAAGTTTTAAAAAGAAATGCACTTATGTATATCTTTTTTTACTCAAAACCTTCCCTTCTTTTCGCTTAGGCTAAAGCGCCATTCGACCCGCCATCGGCTCCTGGAGTTCCCAAGATCGTGGAAGTCGGAGGCCATTTTGTTCACCTTGAATGGGACAAACCTGAAAGTGATGGAGGTGCTCGGATACAAGGTATTGTATTATTGAGCACACTGGCCTTTATTGACGATATATGGGGATACAATCTAATACTTTTAACCCCTTTTTGTCTTTGGATAGAGTTTTTGAAGTGAAATTTCTTTACGCGCATGAGTTTTTTAAAACTCAGAAGATGATTTTTCCAATAAAAAGAGAGCTATCAATATAAAAAAAAAGTACTTATAGAAATTATTTTTAATAAAAAATTCTAAGAGAATTTGAATTTGTTTTTATAATATTGTAGCTCTCGAAAATCTAAAGTTTTAATTTCGTATAAATATGAAAAAGCCTTAAAAATTAGTTTGCCAAAGAAGTTTCACTTCTAACATGTGTACTTTGTTACTCGCCTTTTTTTTACATGTTTTTTCGTTTCGTACAAATAGTTATAATTATTTCCTTGACCTACTTCTACTATGACACTGGTGTATTTTATTGGCAAGCCGATAGTTTATATTATATATCTAATCAAAACTATTCACATTCTTTTAGGCTATTGGGTAGACAAACGCGAAGTGGGCTCTCAGAGTTGGCAGAGGGTGAACCCTGGTCTCTGCGTGGCCACGCAACTGAACTGCGCCAACCTCATCGAGGGACGCCAGTACGAGTTCAGAGTGGTCGCTCAAAACGAAGCAGGTTTATCACCACCGAGCACTAACAGCCAACAAGTGCGCGCACAGGATCCTGCAGGTAATGATCTGTTAAACGTAATATTTGAATCTACCCTCAAAAATTCATGAACCTGTTATGAGAGATCTTTTTTCTTTAATTCACTCTCGGTAAATAACTTTTAAGAGGATGTTTTGTTCAATTCTTTTAATTTCCAGCGGCAACTCCGCCAGAGATAGTGAAACCATTGAAGAACGCGAACTGCATCCAGTACCACAACGCCAAGTTCCAGTGCACCATCACTGGAGTACCTCGGCCTACCATCTCTTGGTACAAGGGTGAGTGGCTTACATTGTATTAATTGTAAGATTTTACCTAAAAAGTGAGGAATTTAAAAATATCTAGGCCACAAATTTTTTTTTGTGATAATTTCTGAACACTAAATCCAATAAGTCTTTGACATACGAGATAATAACTTTTGAAAGAAATGAGATAATATAGATTACTTATTTATATCCCGTACATATAGATTGTTTCAACAAAAGCTATTTCGACTCGTGTTACAGGTGCTCGTGAAATAATGAACGGCCCACGCTACCGCATTTGGAGTGAGGGAGACAACCACTTCCTGACCGTACTAGAGGTGTACGGTGAGGATGCGGACGAATATCAGTGCAGAGCTGTTAACAAGGCCGGTGCCAAGAGCACCAGGGCTGAACTTCTTATTATGAGTAAGTATACATTTCCTGGTTTACTTTTCGAGAGGCAGTATTAAAATTTCTTTAAGAGTCTTATCTTGAACAGAAGTCAAGTAAAAATCGAATTTTACGGACTGTTTATATTTATATTATTATAGGGGACAAAGAATTCTCAGCATTATGACATTATGTTAATGTTCTTATGATATGTGACATTATAAAAATTTATATGACATTTGCATGCCTATTTATATATTGTGCGGATTTTTATAATAAATCCATCTAATCGTACCAATATCTTAGAAAATAAACAATTTTATTATTATTTTTAACGTTATAATCACCTTTTTAAAAAGCTTACCTACGTTTGGCTACACCAATATATTTATGAAATAAAATTCGTCGAGCAATTTGTTGAAGAAAAAAATCTAGGAACTAATCCTTGTAGTAGTCCAATCGCTTAATTGGTACGCTTTGTTGCTCATGCCTACGTACAAGTACGTAGATACACATTAGATATTGTCCCGATTGTAATGATAAAATTGATTTTAATTTTAGCTGCACCAAAACTAAACGTCCCACCACGCTTCCGAGACACGGCCTACTTCGACAAGGGCGAAAATGTCGTGATCAAGATTCCCTTCACCGGACACCCGGTTCCCAAGATCACCTGGGTCAGAGAGGGAGAGACCATCGAGTCTGGACTGCACTATCACGTGGAGAGGAAAGGTATTAATAGTAATTATTTTAATAAGTTTTTTTAAACGTACAAATATACATACGCTGCTCGTACGTAATTTATAATATTACGTACGAGTATAACTTTTAAACAATTGTTTTAATTAAAAATACTTATATGTGTTTATGATTTTTTAACTCATTTTTTTTAGAACGTCACGCGATATTAACAATCCGTGACGCGAGCAAACTGGACTCTGGCCCTTACCGCATCACGGCTGAGAACGAATTGGGACAGGACTCTGCCAGCATCCACATCGAGATTAGCGGTAACATTAATAATTATATTCATGTTTTTAACAAAATTTCATTTATTTATTAGTCTATACATTATCAGAAAGAAAGGAAAATAATTTTACACAGTGTGATGGAAACACAAACTTTCATGAAGTGATGAAGAAGACACATTTTTAACGAATGTTATAGTTTGTGACCTAGGAATGTTGCTATCATAATGATATCTAAAACTATCAAGAGTATTATTTAAAAAAAGTATAGAAATTGTTGTTAAAAAATATAAATTCGAAATACCACTGAAATAATGTTACACCCAATCATGAAATAATATTAATAATAAATTGTCAAAATATACAATTAATTTTTTAGATCGTCCGGACCCACCTCGCTTCCCAGCGGTAGACAACATTGGCGTGGATTCTCTAGCTTTGAGCTGGCGTGCTCCACTATGGGATGGCGGATCAGATATCACTAACTACTTGGTTGAGAAACGAGAACACCCTATGTCTAGCTGGATTAGGGTTGGCAACACCAGGTTATTATTCTCTAGTTCAATCGTCTGAATCAAAAAAATGGCTACTTGTGTTTAGTACAAAACATAATTTACTAGAAAACTAAACTTGGAACTAATTGAAAAATATTAATTTTAGGTTTACAACGATGGCAATAACGGGTCTTGCGTCAGGCAAACAATACGAGTTCCGCGTATACGCCGAGAACATCTACGGACGTTCGGAGCCAAGCGAACCCACGTCCCTTGTGCAAACTAAGTCTATTATTAAGAAGGAGTTCAAAAAGAAGGAATATCCAGGTAAATTATAACTTTTTTTTAAGTTTATACAATAAAATTTAACTTGAAATCGACTTTTTGAAGGACTAAGAGTCTGTCTTTTGGCCTTAAAGACTTAGACTTAATAGATAGTACTAATAAAAAAAAATATTATAATATATAATTATTTAAAGTGATAGTGACCAAAATCTTTTTTAAGTGAAGTTTGGTCGTTTTTAGTAAATTTACTCATAATCATTTTACAGTGGACGAAAGCGGCAAACGTATACGTACGAACGCAGACCACGGCCCAGTAAAGGACTACGACAGCTATGTATTTGATATCTACAGTAAATACGTGCCGCAACCAGTCGAGATTCAAACTTGCTCCGTGTACGACAAATACGATATCTTAGAGGAGATTGGTAAGTACTTAACATTTGCAGCTACCCTCCGAAAGTATTTTTCGAACTACCCTTAAAAATTGTTTTACCCTCGAAAATGTTATATAATAATAAGGAATTTGTTATTTTTTTAACGGGTATATATATAGATATATTATTACTTATTAATAATTAAACTTTGCATAGAGCAGTTATTGCTTTTACGTAGGTAGAACAAAAAAAAATAGATTTCAATAGTTACGCATGTAAAGTAGAATTTAACTCACGAAGTTGCTTGAGAAATTTAGTTAACACAAACTAACCCGAGTAGTTGAAATTGAACCCTAAGTCCGTGTAAATAATGTCGAATTTCGCAGGTGACTTCGTGAGAACATCTAAACGGAAACGTACCAGAGGTCTGTTTGTGAATAGATCGATGTAGTTGCTCTATCTATTTGCATCTATCTCTCACGCATTTTAATTTATTTATAGGTGTATCTCCCTTACTTAGAATGCGTTATATTTAACCACACCCTTTCGATTGTTTTAATTATACGGCATTAATTAAGGGGGATATAATATGTATAACGCAATATAATAAATTCATATTATAAGCGATATATTAGAATATTTTTATCTGCTTTAATAATTTTTCATAAAGTAGTATAACGGTTTGAGCTATATATTTATATATGTTTAAATTTAATATTATCATTTAGTATGTCAAAATACATAACTAAAAATTGCACATTTATATGTATACCATATTTTCTAGCGTTTAAATTATAAATAACTGTATAATGTAATCATAAAATTATTTATTTTGAAATAACTTTAATAGCCTTATATTCTAATAAATTAATGTATATTAAAAATTGAAATAAATCTAGATGCCTAAGGTTTAATGGAATGTTGTAGGCACAGGTGCGTTCGGCGTGGTCCATAGATGTCGCGAGAGAGCCACCGGCAACATATTTGCGGCTAAATTCATTCCCGTCACTGGCGCTATGGAGAAGGAATTGATCAAGAAGGAAATAGACATTATGAACCAGCTGCACCATAGGAAATTGATCAACCTTCACGATGCCTTCGAAGATGATGACGAGATGGTGCTGATATTTGAATTGTGAGTATATTTGTTGGAGAATGGTTTTGCTAAGGAAATCTAGCTATGAAGCTGATTTCGTTTGACTTTTAATATTGTTCAATACTTTTCCTAAAATTTGAACACCAACCTACGCCAAAAATATTGAATTCTAGAAATTTCAAGAATTTTAGAGTGAACAGGTTATTTGACTATAAATTTATTAAATTCACAAATTTCTTGCTTACCGACATGCAAAGATATATTTTAATTACTCTTAATTTCTTTTCTATATAATAATAAAGCCCGTTTATTTCCAATCTTTATAAATGTTGACAATATACAGTTTAGATATATTTTATGTATTCAATGTCCATTTTTGTTTCTTTTAATCGTTATCCTAATTTCCTTCAGTACCATTGATCGGAATCCCTACACGGGTAAAGGGCCTTCTTCAGCTTTTTCAAAATTACTCCATCCATGGCTTTCTTTTTCTATTCGCTTCCTTCATATCATTTAGGGCGCTCTTTTCTTCTTCCCCTTCCCCATAGTTGTCTATAAAGTGCATCTATATGCCGAGATATTAATTTGTATATAAAAAAAAACTATATTAATTCGCAGCTTGTCCGGCGGCGAGTTATTCGAGCGAATAACCGAACCTGGCTATAACATGAGCGAAGCTGAGGCAGCGCACTATATGAGACAAGTTTGTGAGGGAGTCAAACATATGCACGAACAAAACATTATTCATCTGGATCTCAAACCTGAGAACGTCATGTGTCAGACCAGAACTGGTACTGATGTTAAGGTAAAGCTCAGACTTATTAAAAAAAATTCTTAATTTTTGATGCAATATTGTTTTGGGTCTTATGTGTCGAATTTATTTGCTACTTTTGTTTTAACTATACCAAAGACATTTTTTTAGGATTTTTTTTTATTTTAACATTGCTTAAAGGTCTTCGAAAGTAGCAGACACGTCCTACTTACAATGTGCAACAATTATCGTTAAAATGAAGCCTAACTTTAAATGTTGTGTGCAGAGATCTGGCGCCTTCGTCAGAAAATATCCCGTGTTGAGGAAGTCACAGGAATCTTCAATACCTTAATACTTGATTTATTTATCAAATTTTCAGATCATCGACTTTGGCCTGGCCACCAAATTAGATCCCAATGAAGTGGTCAAGATATCGACTGGCACGGCTGAGTTCGCAGCCCCAGAGATCGTGGAGCGAGAACCGGTCGGCTTCTACACTGACATGTGGGCCGTTGGAGTTTTGGCCTACGTCTTGTGAGTTTTCAAATATATTTTTGTTGCCAGCGAAGCAAAAAGCGTAGTTAAAAGTCAAGTCAAATCAATTATTCCAAATAGACCACTTAAAATGGCACTTTTGAACATCAAATAAAATATAAAGATGATTCTCGTTGCCCCTTCCAAAAAGTTTCGTGTGGAGAAGAATGACCAAGAAACTCCACACTTACTCTTTAAAAAGATTTGAATCACGCATCTGTAAGAAAGACCTATTCTCAAATGAACATACAATTAATAAAAATCGGTCGAGCCGTTTTGGAGGAGTGCGTCCACAGACAAGATAATACGCGATAGCAATATAATTTAGATTGTAATGCGTGCGAATAAGAGTACCTAAATTTGGCTTTAAAGCATTTGATACATTTAAAATAATTAAATAGGTTATCGACGAAAATTTGTACAAAAATTGAATTAATTTTTCTTCCGCGATATAGAAATTATTTAAAATTAGTTGGATGTAACAACTTTACTCGGTACGCCCTTCAGATTATCTGGACTCTCGCCATTCGCGGGTAACAACGACATCGAGACCCTGAAGAACGTGAAGGCCTGCGACTGGGAGTTCGACGAGGAAGCTTTCCAGCACGTATCTGATGATGCCAAGGACTTCATCAGGCGGCTGCTGGTTAAGAACAAGGAGTGAGTTTTGTTAAGATTTTAAAAGAGGTTGAAGATTTCAGCGTATTATTGCAATAAAAAAAACTTGTGACACTCGGGGATTGCCGCGGAAAAGCTATTGCATAGAATTTTTTATCAACTTATGCAATTATAATTATTTATTTATGCAGTATTTTTTTATATTTATTCAAGTTTTTCTTTGATATTAATTTAATCTACCAGACTCAGACTAACACGCCCATAAAGTCTGTCTCACTCTAACGCGTACCGGCCGCACCAGCCGCGCTTACGCTACGTCACCGATATCTCGTCAGAGAAATGGATGGAAAAAGTAGGTTGCGCCTGCGCCACGTCACCGATCACGCCAGACCGATGTGAGACGCAGTATGCGTTCTGTCCCGCTCTAACGCATATTGGTCGCACCTATATTACGTCATCGTGTGTTAGGTTTTTATTTTCATTACTGAATTTCTTAATTCGGTTGCCGAGCTCAAAGACCGCGGTAAAATCTATCCAATAGCTTAAAATATAACTCGCAAATGATCACATGGACTTCTGCTTACGTAAATATTGAATTTCAGAAAACGTCTGACAGCACACGAGTGCCTCGTGCACAAGTGGTTGGCGGGCGACGCGTCCGCTTCTAGGACCGCCACTATCGCCGCCAGACGCTACGAGGCTATGCGGGACAGGCTTCGAAGGAGATACGAGGTGGGTGAACCGACTTTAACTAGTATTTCTTCCTTTAACCGGCAATAATATGCAAAATTTTGAATTATTGAGTATTCTGCCAATTTCAGTAATATTTCCTTTAGAGCTAGCAAAACTTGGACTAATTAAAAGATTTGCAGAATTTGGTTAATATCCAATTATTTTATTATTTTAGTACATACGTAAAATTGGTAAACTAAGGAATGAATTCATTTCAGAACTGGTCATCATTCGTCCTGCCGATCGGAAGGATCAGCGAATACAGTTCTCTGCGTAAACTGCTTATTGAGAAGTGGAAGATCTATGATGGACAATTCGGTGAGTAAAAGCTTAAATTTCATTTTTAAAGATTTTTTTTAAATTTTGTTCAGTAGTACCTTCACTTTAATCTCATCATAACGCGTTTAGCTATCACAATTTTACATTCATTTATTAAATAAGAGCAGTGTTGGACTAGTGTCTTCAGCGTGCGTCTCTCATCCTTGATGTCGTAGGTTCAATCCTTGCCTGTGCACCAATGGACTTTCTGTCTATATGTGCATTAATATTTGCTCGAATGGTGAAGGGAAACCGGCATGTCTTAGACCCAAAAAGTCGACGGCGTGTGTCAGGCACAGGAGGCTGATCACCTACTATGATAATGAAAAAGATACAGAAATCCAAACCTAAAAAAGTTTTTATTTTATTAAATGATTTATAATTAATGAATAAAAATGAACAGACCGTCGCCAAGCGGCACCACGGTTCGTGATAAAGCCCCAATCGGCCTTCTGCTACGAGGGTCAGTCCGTGAAGCTGTACTGCCGCATCATCGCCTGCGCCGCCCCGACGGTCACCTGGAGCCACAACAACAGGGAGCTCCGCCAATCCGTCAAGTACATGAAGAGGTATAACTCTCCTTAAGTCACTATTTATATCTGCCAGAATTTATAAATTAAGAAAGAATTTAGTTTATAACAGGGTAAATCGTTCATGGTAATTTGTTGTTAATATATATATACCTTTAGTTTTGTAATTTTTATAAAAGCTGTTGGCTACGTAAATAAAAATAAATAATAATAATAATTTATTGCAAGAATAACACGGTACAAAAATGTGTAAGGTGGTACAATCGTAAGTTTGCATATTCTGCCACACACAATGGCGCGCAAATTTGTATTTAAAGGAATTTTACATTATTAGTCATATGAATTGGTCAATTTTTATAATATTTGTATCATTATATTATTGTACATATCCAAATATACGTTATTAAATTATAATTACTTTTTTATGAATTAAATGAGGGTCAGCGGTGAATCCCAAAAAATATATTACTTTTATCGGCCCGATATTTGGTGCTCTATCAATAATAATTAAAATATTTTAAATTTATTACTAATTTGAGTATTTGACCGGTCCGAGATGAGGTATCTGATCAAATCTGTAGATATTTGTTGTCCGCTTCTGTTTATAATGCTGTTGCGTCAGAGAGGTGCAGGTATTGCTTATGCGGGGAAAAGGGGGTCCAATGGATATGTAACACCTGTTTTTCTCAGTTTACATTTAAGGCAGAATTATACAAAAAACAATACTGTAGCGGTATATGTTCGGTTGACCATCATATATAAATAGCAGTTCACATTTAATCAAGTAGAAAAAAAATGTGTGTTTACCAGTCCTTGTCGTTTTCAATTACAACTTGCGTGAATACTTGACATCTAAACGTTGTAATATGAATTTTAATGTTTAATATGCAGATACGCGGCAGACGACTACTACTTCATAATAAACCGAGCCAAGTTGGAAGACCGCGGCGAGTACATCATCCGAGCGGAGAACCACTACGGCTTCAGGGAGGAAGTTGTCTTCTTAAACGTACAACGTGAGTAGTTCTCTAGGTTATATACTATGTGATATTTATTGATTGATATGATTTCTAGTATGGAATTTCAAGATTCAGCGTTATTTGCAATGTTTGAATTTGTGAAACCCTTGTAACGCCCGTCTTTTTCTGTATCCAAGTATAGTAAAACGTTTCGGGACCACCCAGTGACTCTGTATATCTAAACGTTACCAGTGTGTGGTGTAAAGTCCTGGAATGTCGAAAATAATATTAACAATAAAGCGTAATTAAATCCTCGCCCCGTATTGTAACGTTTTACAAAAGGACAGAAAAATTCGTTACGTAATACTTGAACGCTCCCAGATCAAAAATATATTTTCATAGTTTTAACAAATTATTTTTCAGTTTAAACCACAATAATAGTAACGCAATTGCGATGTTTAGTTTTCTCTGTAGGAGACCATATAGGACTCACGAGTGATGAATTGTAAAAAAATACTTAGAATTCTTGAATTATATTCCAGCGGTACCTAAAGTGCAGAGACAGCACGTGCCCGAAGCCCCTCGTCGCCGCGAGCACACCCCGTACACCTTCTGGCAAGAAAGCAGCGAGACCGCTCCTTCCTTCACCTTCCAGTTGAGGCCCAGGGTCATGCAGGCCAGGGACACTTGCAAGCTGCTCTGCTGCTTGAGTGGAAAACCACCTCCGACTGTCAAATGGTTAGTGTTATGAATAACTGTTGAATTCTTTAATATAATTTTTGGGCTTAACGAAATCTTTTAGAACTATGAAAACTTGTAATAAATGAATGGGACTAAATGATTTACTTTGCCCCAGGTACAAGGACAAACGCGAGCTATCGAAGTACGACTACGCGATGTCGAACTCCGACGGCGTGGTGACGATGGAGATCATCGACTGCCGGCCCGAGGACAGCGGGAAGTACTCGTGCGTCGCCACCAACGTGCACGGCACGGACGAGACCTCTTGCGTCGTCATTGTTGAGGGTCAGTGGTTATCTGTACACACTTATTGTTATATACAAACTCAAAAAAAAATTAATATTAGTGTTAGAAGTGTACTTATAGAAGTTATACTTCTTTGGCGTAACAAGATAAAAATCTTTTCAAAAATTTAATTCTACGTGAGTAGAAAAAACGACACTAACCATATAAAAAACTAAAATGTTGACTATAGCCAACTTCAGGGTGTCGGTTTTTTGTGACGGCGTGCGCGCACATCGTAAAAATTTATTCTCAACATTTTCCGTAACGCGCCAAAAACATAGTTAATGTTCTATATTTAAAGTATTAGTTTGTTTAGTTTGTCTAAATACAATTTTTAAACATTATCATACATTTGTGTATTAGATTTTTCATATTAATTGATCAAAGACAAATAAATATGTTTTGCCTCGAAATTTAAAAAGTATGAAGTCTAAATGTTTTTGGGTTCATTGAATATATATTAGAAGCTTTCATTCGCAGGTGAAGTAGTGAGCGAGGAACAAGCGGCCTTAGCCCACAACTTGCTGCATTCAGGCGAGAGACGATACATCGAGAAACATCTTAAGCCTGCGCCTGCGCCGATCATTACTAAGACTAAGGTACATTCCCAGTTCGTTGTTTTAAAATAGAAATTGGCTCATTTTATTAAAACAAGTTATTTTACAGTATTTTTTTTAAAAAACGTACAATATGTTTAAATATTTCAATTACATATATTTAAGCAAGTCCCATCAGTAAACATATAGTAAATAGTTTTCAAAATATATAGCTTCAAAACTATTGCATAAAGTAATATAGTACAAAGATCACTTTATATGCCAGTTTTTGGAAAACTTCGCGCTTGTGTAATAAAAAAAAAAATAACGACTCGTGCGCACTCCACTTAAGGAACTTGTTTGTATCCAGGTGACAATTGACCCGCCAAGCAAATCCACCACGATGAGGCCGAAGTATTCACCACAGAGCTCGGTAGAGGCCAGTAAGAAGAAATACGGCTCCAAACTAGACTCGGACTCTGCGTCTCGGTCGAGAAGTGCCACAAAGGAATTAATATGTGAGTGAAAAAAATATATAGAACATAGTGTCTCTTTATTTATATAAAATATTGTCGATTTGTATATAAAATGGGCTTCATAATACTTAATCAATTGCATTTTGTGTATCTGTGATATTGCTATTATATTCTGTCAGGCGTTTAATAATAAATTTACACATGAATAAGTGCGTACGTACGAACGTGTAAACCATTTTCATTAAAAATTTTTGGTTACGATAAATTCGTAGATTTTGTTAGTAGCAATTTGGAATAATATCTAAAATAAAATACGGACACACAACATGTGGACAACATTTTTGACTTAATAATATCGAAGTGTATTTGTGAGGTAACTTAATGTTAAATACCTCAGTACCAGCGGCCGACGCGAGCATGTGCGCGCCATCGTTCGCGCGCGCTCTGCCGGACGCGTGGGCGGCGAGGGACGGCGCTCCCTTGCTGCTCTCCTGCTCGGTGCGGGGAGACCCCGACCCTCGAGTGGAGTGGTTCAAGAATGGGCAGCCGCTGCACTCCTCTGAGGTGAGTAGAAGAGAACAGAATTCAGAAAACATTGTACGAGATATGTTGGAGTTGTACATTTGACGCACACGTTTTGAATGTTTGAAATGAATAATAATTTAATGGAAAGTGTTTTGGAAATTTCATTTATGAATCAAATGCACATTCAAATTTGACTGTATTAAGCAAAACTAAAAACAAATAGCTCTTACTGAACTATCTTTGACGATTAAAAAGAGTGCGAGTTTCGCCAGTTCCTCTTGCCCGCTCTTCGCCCATTGACTTTTTTACAATTGATTTAACTTCTTTTTTGACGTTCATAAGTGTACTTGTTAACCTATATGAATAAAGATATTTTGAGTTTGAGTTTGACGAGTGATTCCTCTCTTATCCTAATAAAATTACAAAATTTAGTAAATATTTGTTTTTGAAGGTTGTTGACCTTAAATACAAGAACGGCGTAGCGTCGTTGGCCATCAATGAAGTGTTCCCGGAAGATGAGGGTGTTTATTCTCTGAAGGCCATCAACAGTCAGGGAGAAGTTGAGACCAAGTGCAGCGTCAGTGTTAAAGGTAGGTTCAATCGGATAATTTAATTAATATTACGATTTCTAAAGAAAGTAATCTCAATATTTTATATCTGACGAAAATAATTGTGTATATTTGTGTTTTTCTCTTTTTTCGCAATTTTAAACTAAACTATTCAGCAGCCCAGAAACATCAAATTTAATATTCCTTTAAAATTTTAAATATTTGATAGTATATCTTTAAAAAAACATATATATAGAAGCTGTTTATCTTCCACAAATCTATATTTTTAATGACAAAATGTGTATCACAGCATCAGACGGAGGAGCCAGCGCGAAGTTGGGCGACAAGCCTCCGCGGATAGTGGACCACGCCATCTCGCAGATCGTCAACGATGGAGATGCTGTCACATTGTCATGCAGGTGAGACGGAGATAGAGAGGAATTGGTTGCTTTAAGCGTATGACTTGATCTCTTGTGTTCCTTTCCAGTTTTAATGCCGTCAATGAGTCAAATATGTGGCTCATCTAATGTGCAGTGATACCGCCGTCCATGGACACTCTCAATGCCTGAGGGCTCGCGAGTGGGTTGCCGGCCTTTAATTTTTTTTAAATTTACATTTTACATTTATTGCTTTGAAGGGTGTAGAACGGAGAATGACACCTCGCTTTAAATGTTGTCAAACATGTAATTTCCTGACAATTTGTCAAATCTAAATGTGCCATCAGAGTAACGGGTGCCGAACGATTCGATGTCGTCTGGCTGCACAACAACAAGGAGATTAAGCCTTCGAAGGACTTCCAGTACTCCAGCGAAGCCTCCATTCACAAACTTCACATCGCTGAGATATTCCCAGAAGACGCTGGTCAGTAATTTTTATTTTTAAGTAAGAGGTGACATTGGAGCGTAGTCTCCCAACTAACTAGCATACGGTTACAATATATTTAACTTTCTATTAATTAGTGGTTAAGTATTTTAATATACATATTTGGTTTCATAAGAATGTACGAAGTTACGTTCTAATGAAAAAGTATTAGAAGAGAAAGATTAAAGATCTTGTTTATTTTAAGGTAGATTTTATATATTATATTTCAAAACTTTTTGGCACTATTGACGTTTCCATATTTTTTAAACATTATATATTAATAATGACATTGACATGCAAGTGTTAGAGTTATTTTTATTGCAAAATAATTGTAAACTTTGATGTCGAAACATATCAGGCGCAATTTTTTATTTATTAATTTGGGAAACAAAATAGATACATTGGATGTTACATACACAAAAAGTTTCACTAATAAAAAATGTGTGCGTGTACTAGGTGTACACACGTAATAAGTGAAACTTCTTTATGACCTTATTAGAAACTATTTCTTTAAACACAGTAAATTTTGATACACTGCCTAGCATACAATTTACAAATTAATTGCTGCAAATTGCGATTAGCAAATTGCGATTAGCAAATTTCAAGTCGAAACTGTAATCCGTTGTCAAACTTCAAAGTCAAAAACATACTATATGTCATATTTTAACACCGATAAAGAAGTTTGACTTCAAAAATAAGAGCAAAACAAAACATGACAGATCAAAATTTATAAATCTGGAGAACGACAAACATAGTAGTAGCTATAATAAAGAAAAAAAGATACAAGGATTAACATTAACAGTTGTTTTAAATTATTTTTAAATGAAGCAGTAGAGGAGTTTAAATTATTGTACAAATTTATTATGAGTAAGAGATAGTTTTGCTAATTAACTAATTTTTTAAAATAAATACAGGTGTATACACATGCGAGGCGTTCAATGACGCGGGTGAATCATTCTCGTCGTGTACGTTAGTTGTTCGTGTTTCGGGCGAAGAGATCACCACGCCCCAATTCACGAGCTTCCCTAACTCCACGACTACGGTTAGCGCCGAGCCGGCTGCCTTCATAGCTGAGTTGGAGAAGGTATTTAAAAATATTTACGTTATAATGCTTATTAGTAATGGGTTTAATAATCTTCCTAACGTTTGCTAAAAATCATAGATTTTCTATGAAAAGGTATGAATAATTTGTTCTGTAAAAAAATTATTTTGGAAACCAACTTTAAAGATAGGTGTAATAAAACACCTCGTTTTTCAATAAAAAATTAATTTAACGGAAAACTTACTTCTAAGCGTTGGTTTTCTACTATAGCTTAAACTTATTATGATATATATTTATTTTAATATTAAATTATGTTACAGCCACCTCTCCAACTCCAATGGCTGAAGGACGGCAAGCCCATCGACGAAACATCAACCCGCTACAGATTCACAATGGAAGGCAACTCCAAGTATCGCTTTGAGATCGCCTCCAGCTCGAGCGACGACAGCGGCCAGTACCAAGCTCGCGCCGTCGGCTCCAAAGGCGACTCCTTCGCGGCTTTCTACCTTAACGTAGTCGACAACTAAACGACACTGACTGACATATAACATTTAAAGTAGCGGCCCCGGCATGGCACCCTGCGGGACACCATGAAACTCTCACAAAAACGCTATTAATTCGAACTTTTCATACGATTTTTTTATACTATACGGAGTCTTCGAAACTCGTTTAAATATATTATAATTAATTTTAAAAATATTTATTATTATTTATTAAGTAATTTAAGTGTTACCCTATCGAATGCCTACGAGAAGCTTGGAACGTTTCGCTCTAGTCATTAAATGTTTATTTATTGTCCTCTAACATGCAGCTTCTGGAGATTTCAGCTTGAAATTAATATGCGAAGATTAGAATCGAACCGACGACCCTTTGTCCAGTATTCCGTTCGCCACCACGGAGTAGGCTCAGATGGTCGCCAGTGAATCGCAATCTTTATTTTTTACATAACATGTAATATTAAATTGTAAATAAATTAATTTATATCATGTGACCGCAATTTATAAATAAATATGTATACTTAAAAATATAGTTGTGTTTTATTTTTTTATATACCGCACTCATAAATATACTATATTATATGTATAGAGTTATAAAATTTTATACGAGGTGAAGAATTTCAGTTGCTTTATTGGGGCATAGTTAGCCAATGTTGAGTAAATCTCTAATAAAATAATCATCATCAGCATGCGACTCTAATTCTCAAAAGTCATAGGTTCGAGCCCCGGCTGTTCACCAAATGCACTTATTTGCGCTATTATCATTCGCTCGATAAGGAAAACATCGTAAGTAATCGAATCCGGCTTGTCTTAGACCCAAAAAGTCGACAGAGTGTGTCAGGCACAGAAGATCACCTTGCCCATTAGATTGACATATTTTGAAACAGATACTGAAATCTAAAGCCCAGATCTAAAAAGGTTGTAGCGCCACTGATTTTATTTTATCTAATAATCTATAAAGCAACTAAACTCCAAAGTATGAAAAATCAAAGCATATTATTAAACATAAAATCTAATTGTATAAATGTAATAAAATCTATTTCGATTAACAAATTAAAATTAAACACTTAGCGTTACAAGTTGACCGAAGCAATAACACTAGTAAAATTAATAGGCCATAAAACAGTAGCTCGGACTCCAGGATACAAGCAGTAAAGTGTTCGGAACGCCATTAAGAGGGAGAAATTAAAAAACTAAACGTATACAAAAAAACTTTGTAAAGCGTGCTTACGGTTGGGCGATAGGGGTTCCGTATTTTGAAGTAGGTACAATAACCGAGATCGGTGGTTAGTTATAGTAATTTGTAGATGATTAATTATTAAATTGTTTGTCAAGTTTGTAAGTTTTCAAGGAATTTTAGATGGAATGGTAATATCCATCATTCAGTTACCAGAATTCAAAACACCAACAATGATCCAAATCCATGCACCTCATGAACTAGGTATACGAAGATACCGAAAGACAAATTCAACAAAGATCTGACAAATTTCACGAAAGACATCTTAGAATGGTATCCCAGATCTCTCTTAAATAAAGAGATGGGAAGACGAACTGCCGGAAGGATGGAGAAGATCAACTCGTGAAAAAGAAGTGAAACGGAAACAATAAGGGGAGGTTAGGTTAGTTTATTATAAATTGTTTTAATTTTAACTGTTATTAATACAAATTGATATAATCTAGATTGTTGCTTCCTTTAAAGACTTAATAATAATTACTCGAACAGGAATTTTGATAACAACAAATTCTTGATCAATGCAAAATAATATTATATTTCAAATCATGACTAACATAACGTTTCTTACTAGCAATAAAGAACCCCAACTCATTTCAAGAACAAAAAGTATCACATCTCATTCCATATTTCAATATTTATCACAAGATCGCTCTTTTCGTACAAAACTCGAAAAGGGTATGCTTGTTTTTTTTTTCTCCAGTCAGTTCGGTTTCTTATTATAAATGAATGCGTTCACTCGAATACATTTTTTAAAAATCATCCGTTTTTGAATTTAACTCGATTCTTTAATTCTGGTTAGCGTTAACTTTGCGTGGATATGACTTTATTATATTGAACTTTATTTGGAAACATGAATTACGTTTTACAATTTTAAATATATACGTAACAATCACGTATTATAAGTGAAACTATTATATTGTTTATACGCTCAGATTGCATTGCGTTTTTATTATTTAAATGGGCGTGTGTTCAGCCTGACACGCGCCAATTTCTCGCTTTAGAACACTCTGGTTGCCTTACGATGTTTTCCTTCTTATATAGTAATATTACACATACTGAATCAGTAATTATAAAAAAAATTACAAATTTGTAATCACTAATCACTGTAATAGCCATCAGCGGGTGGTATTTTGCTCTCTCGTTTGCTTAGTTATATAACCACCCACATTAAACTTATATCGACTTTTTAAGCATTTTTAAAATGGGATTTCATTGCATTAATAATATAATAAATCTGTTTCACGCGAGTGTGACACGGCTAAAATTGTGTATCATAGCTACTTTCACAGCGTTTGACTGCGGTACTTTGGGGTGCTGCTGCAGAGGTTCAATGCATATTTGTGCTGCAGAACCGAGCTGTTCGAGGTATTTGTTGTGTTTCCCCAAGGAAGTCGGTACGGAATAAGTTTAAGAAATTAAATATTATAACACTATCTGGTAAATATATTCTTGAAGCCTTGTTTTATGTACAAAAAATTTAAACGATTTTAAAACAAATAGTGATTTTCACTAGCGTCCAACCTGGCTCCAGAAAATAAACTATCCCTTGAATGGAAATTGTATTTATTTTTACAACAAACTTCCAAGCGAAATTAGAGAATTATCATTGATATATCTGGGTCAAGGTTTTTTGAAGCATACCTTGACCCAGGAACCATACAATGTTGCAGTATTTATTTCAGATTTATTTAATATATCTCCAAAGAGGAAATCATTAAGTAAACAAGGAAATTTTGATTATAAAATATTGGTGATTAAAAATAAATGAGACGTATCCATACTACTCTAACGCCGTTAAGAGGTTGTCCTTCATCGTAATAAACTTTTTCCTTCAATAGGATCGTTTTTAATCTTGGCTTTTTATCATATTTTTAATTCAGCCTTTCTTTGTTCTAGATAAAAGAATGTATCTTTTTTTGAATGGATTTAAATAATTAATAATAAATTCAATAATATGTTAGCTTTTCATTTATTTATGTGATACAATATCAACATAAACATTCAACAGGTAAGTTATGAAGCAAAGTTTAAAGGAGCTTTCGAAATTCGTATAACTCGTGTAATACTCATTATATGCTAACAGGCTATCCGTTCTCGCACGGCTTTTTAAAAAGCCGGCTACGCACTCACTAAAATGGGTGTCCATGGGCTGTGAAGACTGCCCTTTATTGGACGTCCTGTAAGTTCGTTTGCCCCTCTATGATATTTAAAATAAGCCTGTTACTCAGGGGTAATGAAACACTGAAATAGTGTAATTTCAAGTCAATTCTAGCGTTTGATTTGGTTCTTTGCAAAAATTATTTCTAATTTTAATATATATCCAATCTAATTTATTATTTCCAACACAAATATACAGGGTTTACAATTTTCTTAATAAAAAAATAAATACAAAGAAAATTACAACAAATTTAAAAGTTTGGTTCCTGTGGCAACTGGCAGTGTACGTTTAACCACCATTGCCTTGCTGTATTGCGATACTTATTCGTTGAGGAAAGCACCAGCTCTGGGGTCACCGGTACTATCTACCAGCCAACTTAAAACTTTAATTAGCGCCTTTGCACTTGTGTCTTCTCCAAAGGGAACAAATTCGAAGTTGGAGGAAAGACACTTATTTTTGAGCCGTTTATAACTGGCATTAATCTTTATTTAAGGTCAAAAGTCATTAGCTTGGTATAAATCAACTTGTAATAAGCACACGATTATATAATTCCTCATTTCTGATAAACAAAATAGAGAACACGAACAAAAAGAAACAAATGCAATCCGCCGCGTCATTTCACTCATCGGATCAAACAATAAAAATATAACGCGTTCGAGGATTTCATATTTTAAAATGTGCTCGTCTCGAGTGCGTTAATGTAGAGCGCGGCCAACGAGTATGAACCGAATAATTGAGAAAGATTTTGGTTACATATGTAGACATAGACATAACATTTATTACTAACGAAGCACAAAATAATAATAACAATAAAAAATAACAAAAGGGGGGGGGAGGGGGGGGGGGGGAAAAAAAGGGGGGAAATAAAAAAAAAAATTTTTTGAAATATTTTTTTTGGGGGGGGTTAAAAAAATTTTTGGGAGTGAAATTTCCCACCTATACACAAAATTGGGAGGGATTATAGGTGCGCGAGAGAAGGAAGAAAAATTACAAATTAAAAGAAATGATATGCGTGATTTAGAAAAAGTTAAAAATTTTTTAAAAAAAAAAAAAATTTTTTTTTTTAAAAAAAACAAAAAACAAAAAAAAATTTTTTTGGGTTTTTGGGAGAGTTTTTTTAAATATATTTTGACTAATTAACAAAAATTTATTACCTTAACGAAGCAAAAATAATAATACAATAAAATAACAACTAATTGGAAAAAAAATTTTTTTTTTTTTTTTTTTTTTTTTTTTTTTAAAAAAAATAAAAAAAAAAAAAAAAAAAATTTTAAAAAAAAAAAAAGGAAAAAAATTTTTTGGGGGGGAAAAAAAGTACGCGCACCCTTTTTTACGAAATAAGGTACATTTTAAGTGTGTATTGTGGTTGTAACTGGCCCTGGCCCAGCATTATGCTGTGGAGCAAATTATTCCACAGCGCTGGTCATTCTGCCAGAGACCACAACTGTTAGTTTGCGCCTCAGACGCAAAAAAAAAGAAAAGGAATGTATGTAGCTATCAAACTATTCAATCACCTTCCCAGTTAGAGATCACTGTGTAAGGGGAAGGTAATTAGATTTTTATAGGCAAGGTGCCTTTAATTGGAGAGTTGTCAGAGTATTTTAACAACAATTATAAATTTTTTAACTGTATAATTAT